TCTAGATTCGTTTTGTCAACTTTGAAATTCCCCTTTTCCATTACTGAGGACAACCATGTATAGTTTAATTGGTAAATGGCATAACAGGCTGGATAATGATGGGAATAAAGCGATGTTGTAAGTGTTTAATCAATACCCGAATAGAAAGAACTCAATTTTCAATTAACTTCTTCCGCAGCGTTTCTGTTTCTAAATTGGTTAACAATTGACGAAGGAAAATAGAAACATTGAAAAGGCAAATAACTGTGGTAACTGATTGTTATAATTGGTCGATTCATTTTTTTTAACTTTGTTATATTCTGAAAGGAAGCCGAAAGGGAAAAAAGCTTTTCACTAACGTTTAAACGCCCCAGTTAGCGATGAAACATTATTTATTCCCAGTTGCTAGCCTACAACTAAAATATTTTTAGTATTTTTCTAGCGTATATAAAGCTATGAGTTTACGACGAGAACCACTCTCCAGAAGTTGAGATAAAAGATTACTTTTTGCCAGAAGAACCCAAAGAAAGACAAAATGGTCCTCCATCTACATCAAGTAAGGTTTTCAATACTTTTTTTTCTTTTGAAATCTTTAGCCTGAGTTACGTTAAGGAAAAGCACTTTTGACCTATAGGTAAGTAACGTGAGTCAAAAAAGATGTGTTTGCCACATAAATGAATAATAATGACATAACAGATTTTAAGCCTTAAAAAGAACTGGTGGAAAGTTACCGAGATGCCATACATTTTACTAACAGGCGGTTCTTCCATTGCTTTTTTGCTGCTTTAAACTTCTCTTCCTTTCTCCGTTTTCTATTTTTTTCTTTGTTCTTGCTGAACACCGATGAAATAGATCCTTTCAGAATCATGCAATACAACAAAGAACTTAATGAAACGAATCAAATCTGAATCCCGCCGTGTTTCTGCGTTCTTTTTTAGACTCATTATTTCACAGTCGTCATAATGTTGGCTCTCTCACTTGGTACCATTAACTATGTTGACGCCAGACCACAGTTAAGTCCAGTACCTTCTATGTCGGTTGTAAATGGAAGCGTCACTTGTGGAGCAATAGAGGCACAAATACTGTCACAAACACCCTTATCAGTTGCTAACTCATGTACTAAGAAGATCAGGGCTGTTCGTGTCTGCAACACACTTGTAGTGCACCATGAATGCAAAAGAAATCTTCATTGTTCACGGCCGACGACCGTAGCGTACGACTTCAGTTGCTTAAAACAGAATCTGTCTTGCGGGTTCACTATCAGCTGTTGCGACGCAAATCGATCAAGAAAAAGTCCTGGAAAGTGATTATTTTTCTCCTTCTTATGGATATGACTGAAAGTTTTTGGATGACTAGAAGCATATTATGCTACTATATGGCAGAAAAAAATTAAGAATGTAAGATGTATGAACTTTAGGCTTTAAACTTAACGTGAGAATCTGTTCAGGCTCATTATTTAATGCAAATAAATATTTAAACCTTCATTTCAATTTGCAACGTTTTTCTGCGGTAACGATTTGTAACCCATTTTTCGTGGACTTTTCGATAATCAGTCCTCAGCAACACACTTGTAGTACACCATGAATGCAAAAATAAGCTGCATTGTCCACGACCGACCACTGCAACTTACGACTTCATTTGCTTAAAAAAAAATCTGTCTTGTGTGTTTGCTATTAGCTGTTGCGAGACAAATCAAACACGACAGACAACAAGAAAATGAATGAATAATTTCCTCGGTAGCGTTATCACTATTAAATGTATTTGTCGACCAAAAGCATATCATGTCATAATACAATGGACACAAAGAGAATGTTTAAGAATATTCCAATAACAAGTTTCAAATTTAACAGGCAGGTCTGTTCCAGACCATTGACATAGAACAGATAAGTATTTTGACCTTACTTGCGAATTGTTCCTGTCATGACTTAATGTTTTCCCCAGACTTCCTAGTTTAATCTTACTGATGTAGACTTTGATTGCATTTTAAATTTATCGAAACTATTATTTTCCTCATCATTGGAACGAATCACCTATTAAAAATAACTGTACTTTCAATAGTGATATGGCAAATGAGTTGGAATCCTTACATAAATTTAAGTATTATAATAAAATGGACTTACGTCGCGAATCCAGACGATCATACTCATCTATGAATAGATTCACCTTGATGACCTTTTTAATAAATCCAAGATTTTAGCATTTTATGCATGAAACATCGAGAATTTGGAGGTTACTTGCGCTCGTTGTTACTGAGTATGTTATTGACAAGAGACATGCACATGATCAAGTCATTAGATCACAATGGACAATTGCATAGTTGGGTTTTTTAGGTCAGTTATTTAGAGATGGATCACTCGATTTCTGCCAGGGGAGTAAAAAGGTCTTAAATCTAAAAGTAGAGCAAAACGTGCTATTGCAAGAGATCTCTTTACTGATTAAATACCATCAAACTTTATCAATTGACGCATATTCCTTAACTTCTTTACAGTACTGAGGCAAAATTCACGGTAAGGTAAAGAATTATAGTGGGAATTTAATTCAGCGAAAGTTGAGACCATTTACGCAGCAACGTTAGCAACAGGAATTCAACGAATCCATCAATTTGTAGTTTTAGTACTTACGGCGTTTAACAGAAGATGGTGGGGTAGTTACTGTTTAAATTGGTTACAGCAGGGGAAAGAACTAAAAGATTCTTTGAGAAATTCAATTAAAAATCCAGAGAGCAACGGACCCTTTCGCAAGGCAAGAGGCTCACTGTCTCTCCTCAGGACATCTCGGTTCTTTTTTCTTGCATTATTTTCTGTCCGCTGGAACAGGTCAGAAATGATCTATACTTTCAAACTGATACTGTACTTTTTCAAGATATTTGCTTCGGCTTTATGCCGGCCCCAAGCAGAGTAAGAAAAAAATTTCAGCCAGCTCATGATGTAATGATTAAGAAAATGATTAACGAAGAGAGTGAATAAAATAAGGGAACATAGAAAAAGAAGAAATCTCAATTAAGATGCTGTGGTCCAAATAATCTTTAAAATTTCAACTTAAGTATTAAAAAGATCACGTCGACCATTAAGGGAAAACCGTCGTTATTCTCTTAACCCTTTAACTCCCAAAATCTCATTAGTAATTCTCCTTACTGTCTGCCATATAAATTTTGGGATGTTAGTTCGGAGTATTTGGTATTGGATCAACTAATAATCCCCTAATTGATATTTTTCTTTATTCTCATCACTTGTCTGCTTGATATTATTTTGATATTGTAAGGAGAAATTCTGTCTTGGTCACTCATGGGAGGTAAAGGGTTAAGTAGAAGAATTAAATTTAGAAGCAAGTTTTAATCCATTTTGGCGCGATGTCCGATCAAATAATTAAAAGCACTTCCTTGGAGAACGAGCAATATCCGAAAATACACCTAAAACGCTAAATAAGCATCATTTCATTTGTCCAAGACATGAAAAAAGTAAGAAAGTACACCAGTTTTCATGTAAACGTACAAGTTGTTTCCTTCTATAAGACTCACAAGGAAAGGTAAAATCAACAGTATTCATATTAAGTTATTTTAATCTTCAATCGATTCTGAAGTTTGCACAGGCAATTTGTTGAAAAAGCATCGTTTTCAACTACGAAAAAAAGGAAAAAATTTTGATTTACATGAACCTTTTTTGTGATTTCTTCTATGGGTGTTGGGTTGATCAGCTTTATGACCAGCAGAGGATAACATAACCTTTCTATAAAATATTTGTTTTCTTACTCAAATATCATTTTCTCCAGTCTCATAAAATTCTCTCCCAGTTTTGTTTTTCAATCAATACATTTTTCAAGCTTTTTATGTGAAAATTTGTACTCAAACATTTCGATGCGTAGCCTTTGGATCTGAGGGCCACATTTACAGCAATTATTTTAAAAAGTTTTTGCCAAACTTGAAGTCCTTGTAATAAGCGACATCGCCTTGCAGTTTGATGATAATATTGTCATAGAGATTTTAAAAAGTCACGATAATTCTGTATCTTCATAAACAATGATATAATCATTACTTAGCACAATTTTCAAAATAGTTTCCTTAACACTGCATATTAATACTTTTATTTTCTTTAAGAGAACGTCAAATTTTAAGCTAAAATGTAGCCAGAGATGGAAATTTACTGAAGAGACAGGTTTTCCTGATTTAAAACTCTCAGATGGATTGAGATAGCAAAGTACTTCATCTTTTCAATTAAAATCAATATTGATATGAGCAAACATAGGTATTTAAAGCGTTACGTGAATTCTCTTCCTTATATAAGTTAGTTAAAATCAAATATCTATTGATTGCGTTCCTTCAAAAGCAGAAAAATGTTTTTTCTTCTGACTCTTTTAAAAGGAAACAACATTTTACCTCAGTAGTCACAAAAAGCCGCCATTTTGAATGTAGCTGCACAAAGCGCAAGTGAAATCATACACAGCAAAGATTTGCAATGCAGAAACATTGACGATGCGTATTTTCCTAAGAAGCCTGACTCGACAAAAATAGTGAAATATCATCAATATTATTGCATGCCACCGTTTTGATTATCTTTATCACTTCCTACTTATAATCTAAAAAAAGTAATTAGATCCATCCCGTGATAATACCAACAAGAGAGTGGGTTGCATCGGGGACTAATATTTCCCTGATATCAGCTCTCTTTCCTTAAATTTTTCATAATCCCTGAAGTTATACTCAATTCAGTGGAAACTTTTTTTGTATTTTGGGCAGCCCTTTGCTCCATTAAAAGGTTTGAATACCATCCTATTCCTTTTCTTTTCCCTTCAGTTGCCGTGCGTTTTGATATTTGATATTCATATGCGGTAGTTCGTTTAACTTAATTCATAAACATATCTGGTGAAGAAAATGCCTGAAGCCAGATGATTGTAATTAGATGCAAAGTATTCCATTGTCGTCCTAATTAGGTAATATGTGAGGAGCGAATTAAATACAACGAAGCTTATACTTTCTCCTAATTTTTTGTCTTTCCCGATTTTTACTGTTTTCAAAATGAGTATTTTCAGAATTTCCTTTCGCCATTCTCAATAGAAATCGGACTAAACTAATAAAAGCAAAATTGGAAATACGAAAATTAGGTAATATGTGCGAAGCGAATTAAATCAACGATGCTTATCATTTCTCCTAAATTTTTTGTCTTTCCCAATTTTTACTATTTTCAAGATGAGTCTTTTCAGAATTGTCTTATGCTATTCCAAATAAAAATCGGACTAAACTAAAGCAAATTTGGAAATATGAAAGTTAGAAAGAATAGGTCGGCAGATTTTAAGTCAAGATAAATGAGAGAATTCCAAAGAAAGTACGTCGAGTTTAGAGATTGTTAGATAACGAGAGGAACACAACATTTGAAGAATGTTCTGTTTTAATGTATCTTAAAACTGCTTTCTCCTTAAATTAAAGTTTGAAGTAAGCTTCCTCATTAAAACTTCAAAGAGGTAGATAAAAGTAAAAGTTTTGCTACAAGTACAGCCACCTCGATATTGATTGATTGCGCTAAATTCAAAATGATGCACACCTTTTCTCACTGTAAATTCGTCCCAAAATATGGTCGATAAATGAACTAGAAATTATAGAAAATACACGAGGAGTAGTTGGCAAGAAGGTTCCTGCACAGAAATCAAGACAGGCAGAGATAATTACATGATCATGGTGTCACCGAACAGATTTTCTTCTTCTCTGAAATGGAACCTAATTGAAACATAGCTTACTAAACTGCGAATACAGTTATCACGATAAACAAAGATCTTTTCTACGCCACAGACTTTTGATTACAAACTTTTGTTTATTACCAAATAAAAACAAAATGTCGTGAATAATGTATCAAATAACAAACTGAGAATTGGTTAAAAAGCCAACAGTTAGTCCTCCATCTACAAGACAAAGGCGACTTCCAGTGTCTTTTCCGTCCACATCCAGTAGTCACTGCATTTTTTAAATAATACCTGATGAGTGTACATCACGGGCTTACAGCGTGCATCACAACCATCACAAGTGGCTTTGCTCAGAAACCTCGGAACGGTGTTAACAAAATCAACAACTGTCATGTTGAATGGACATCTATCGGAACTACGCTGCTTAATGGAGGAGCGGAGGTCTCTCCTGTTCTTTCCAGGAGTCTTTGATAAAGGCGGTACAATTATTTGTTGAGGTGTTGGAGGATTTGATGGTGGCACGATGAGGTAACCATTCCGGTGAATGAAGCGCAGAACGTCACTTGCGAAGGAAGCGTTTGTGCGTCGAACAGTACCTGCACCGGCTATCTGGAGACACTTTGCAAGACCTCTCCAGGTTTTTAACTTTTGTTTTCTTTTAGACGACATTACAAAACAAGTACTGGCTAAAAGGATCCCCAAGACAATCTGTAAATGAGTAAATAAAAATCTGCATTTAAGCGCATTGTGTGATCTCTAACAAGAGTAGTCCTGGAAAGGCCTGCTATTGGGAATAGTGACAAACGTTTCGATAAGTGGCTGGAACTGAAATTCATCTGCAGAGTCAAATCAAAAGTTCATAGAGAGTGAAATTTTAGAGGAAACCTCGAATGTTATCACTTTTCGGCAACATGTTTGGGCTGCAAAACTCAAGAGGTGTTCCTCAGTTTATTCAAAGCTTCTTAATTGCATTTATCTGTGTTTGTCTTGTGTCTGTGTTCGTTTTCTCATCCGAATAAACATATATCTGAGGTGGGAATACTTTTGTGTGTAAACATGAGACACTTATTTAAACTAATTCTGCTGTATACCTCTGCCTTAATTGCTAAACACTTGGCATCACATCAATCGAAAGATTCAATCATGTTTACTTGCTCACGAAGAATGATGCGATGAGAAAGGGAACGATGAGTCAACAACAGCGTTTGATAAAAATTGCCCAACTGTATGGATCTTAGTTCAAACTTCAAAAATTAGATAAACTTTACTACCTCTGGTTAAGAGCTATCATTGAATAACAGGAGGTGCAACAATCTCTTCTTACTGAGTTTTAGATAAGCGTATCTAACGCTTTCAGTGAACAAATTTGTCAGTCAGTTTGAGCGATTGTTGTACAAGAACAAAGAGTGGAAATATAAAGATGAAATCTAACTTCAATGTAAATTACTTGGTTCAAAGGAAATTACTTGTCCAAAATATATTCTAAACTTACCACAAAAAGGGCTTTAGAAGACATCGTTCAAAGCCTGGGTAACTGCTAGTTGACGACTTCAAGTTCTCGGCGATCGATTCAGTGAAAGCGTGGTCGACGACTAAGTTTGTAGTCTGAATTTTGGCGTGGTCGACGACTAAATTTGTAGTCTGAATTTTGGCCGATATTGGTGCGCCAATGGCTTTTTCTTCCTTTTATGAACTATACGTCATTTTTAAACGATATATTTAGTCGAAAGAAGAATTCACTGGCTCAGCAAGTTTGTAATTACAGAGATAGTTGACGGTTTCGAAACAAAACTACCGAAACGATGATTAAGCAAGACACGCAGCGGTGTCTTTTCTTTTCTAATGAGTTAGTAGATTATTTTAGGTTAAAAATAGTTATTGTGGAAAGCAAAAGCAGAGGAAATAAAATCCTCTCGAAAACTCAATGCACATGTTCCAAAATGTAAATTAAAACAATGTTTAGAACTCTAGTGTCATTAGGAATCCGCTCTGTTTGAGAATCCCTTAAAGCATAAGCCACTGTAAACCTCGAATTAAGAGTAATTAGGGGTTTCCCCGAGGTGAGTACTTGACATCAGAGTTGTACTGCACAAGAATTCGAAGACAAGGAGTGCCACGCACAATTTAACTTAAGTGCCCACTAAAAGAGGAACAGTTGTGAAATGACATGGATTGTGAAACGATAAAAAACAATCAATGCGCAAGGAAAAAACTCAGGTGTTACCTTTCACCGGTGTATGATCGACATTCCTGCGGTTAGACGTACTTTGGAGTCTACCAAAACGTGAACTGAATATGTAACTAGGTGGAATTTCTATTTCCTTCTTTCAGCTGGTCTAAAGAAAGAAAAAACGTCCTTCCATCTTTTTCCTTTTCTAAGAGAACATCTGCTTCCGTTCTGTGATCATAAAGTGCGCGATTATAATCATGCATGCGAGTACCGACAATTGCATGTATCATTATACATAAAACTGTGTTTCTGAGATCTGATCAACTTACTTTCAAGACTAATGTAAGTTGCGGTCGTTACTTCTTTGACCATCATGTAAAGCGTGTGTTGAAGAAATTCGTCTCTCATCCTCACACTATAACACTGATATTGTCCTGTTTCTTCATCCGTTCATTTCTATTGTCATGATTGTGAATTAACTAGTTCGCTCTGAACATTCTGATGATACACTGTAATTATGTCGTAGCGCTTGCTTGCATAATAAGCAGTAGCAATAACGAAGAAAACTACAAATAGAGATAAATGACTTAATAGATAAAAACAAAACAAAAAGGAAAAAGAACCTGCGAAGGCGCAGGTGCTCATCCACAGATTTTATCTCTGTAGGAATAGGAGAGGTATTTACCAACTCCACGAAGCAGATAAACTCGTGTAAAAATCAGAAAAAAACGTCACAGCCATCACAAAGAGAATCCATTCGAGAATGCTGTTTGTTTTTAAAACGAAATTATAAATGGATACTAATTTATTTCATCACTGCAATCTCTCGATCCCATCATGGCTACTACTTGCTCCTTCAAAAAAGGCTAAACATTCCTGCAAAATTGTCTTCTAATCATAAGAAAACTCTCAGTCACCAAATCAGGCAGAAAGTATTGAAAAGCAGAAATACCTAATTTAGGCGAACAAAGCAATGAAGCGGTGTCTCTTACTCTTTGATGAGTCGCTGGTGAGTTTAAGCAATACTTAACTTCGCGTGAGAGTATATTGTGAGTATGGTCCTCGACATTAATAGCCCTTAATTGCTTGCCTTTTTTGTGCCCTCTCGAACCAATTCAACTACCTAGCCGACTTACGTGGGTTTCTTCCTACCAAGGGACTCATTAAAGACCTTTTGGTTACTCTTTTAAGTCACGCAAGCATTCGATTCCTGACACCCTGGGATGTTGGTAGTGTTTTACGAGCTGGCTGTAAGTATTTTCTGTAATCTGAAATATTGCATTCCATAAAGGCAAAGCTCAATGATAAAAAGGTAAATTTCTCAGTCCTACTGACATATAACTTCCGTACCGTAGGGTGACTTTTTCCCCTTCGCACCATGACAATAGTATATATCGTAACACTGATTTTTATCTTCATACCAAGTGATAAATATCCGTATTTACCCGAATTAATTTCTTTAATTAATTCCTATATCCACAACCGAGAGTCATCCCTAATCATGCCATTTAACCCTATTTAATCGTAAACGCCAGTATGTTAACCATCTCAGCTACGTCTTTAGTTGCTTACGTCAGTTCCAACCATCGTGGCACGCATGTATTCATTAGGCCAAATACTTGGACTTGACTTCTAAAAATACTTATATTTATAAGGTTTTGAAAACTCATTGTCAAGCGTGGGTGTCTAATGTTTTACTGAAGATGTGTAATATGGTAGATTAACGTCTCCTCGAAAGTAATGATGCAACATTCTAATAAGACAACTTTCTCTCATTTTGCAGTCGTTTCATATCTTCTTCCTAGCCTATTAGCCAGGCCTCTTACTGCAGCTGGTCACAATGCTCGACGCTGTTTACAAAAATGCGCAAGATTGGTTGCAAACAGCGAAAGCCAGGTCAAAGAAAGCCTGATTCAATAAAAACAGTAAAAAAATCGCTGACATCACACTGCATCCTATTGTTTTGACATCCTATGTCAATACCATCATAGAGTAGGAAGTATTAAAGAAGATCGAAGACTGAAAATAATGCGTTTAATTATATGACTAAACACTTGCCGATAAAAGCTAGCTAAATGATGCTAACTTTCAATACGAAAATGCGAAGACCACTGGAAGCAACGAAGGAGACGGAGAAGAGAGTAAGCTGGACTGAAGATTAGCAACAATGTGGAAACTATTCATCCCAGTAAGCTTCGTCTCTTTATCTTAAATTCTACTTTTTTCCTCTTTTACATATATCTTTTCATTTAGTGCCTTTTGTAGTGGGCTTCCCAAAATTAATCACCTGGTTAGTTCTATTCCGGTTTATATAGGTGATTACTATCGTTAGATCATTCATTTTCTAAGAGCATCAGCTTTGCAAATGAAAATTTCACTTCAATCAGCAAAGCTTGGTATACATAAACGTGTCATCGCTGAACATATCTGGAAATGATGCTCGTAATATGCAAAGGAAGAATTAGTGCTTCGGAAAATTTCAATTCCACGAATTTTCGCAATAATCTAGTAGTACTTGCACGTTATTTATATCATGACAAAAACGGATGACATCGCAATTTTTTCCTCTGTCGACTCCGACAAAAAAAGTACAACTTAATACAAATTTAATTGATTGTGCCTTTGAAGGCATGTAATGTTTATCAACTTTTCTGTGCAATAGGTATTATCCAAATAATCTAGTTTCCCCATTTTCATCTCTTTTTTTACTCTCGTTGACGTGGGGTTTATATGCATTTCAGGGAATTTTTCTATATTAAATTCTACGTGCTATAATTATAATTAGGAGCTATTAAATTTTATAATCTAACGCCCCGCAGCGTTAGAAGAGTTCGACTGTTCACTAAGAAAATATCTGTTTGTTTGTTTTTTCGTGTGCTTTGTTTTACGGGAGAAGGATGGGGGAGGAGTCAGCTTTTTTACAGACTTCAAAAAAACTCTTATGTTCTCAAGCTGGTAAATCGTGTGTTTTATGCTCTTCAGAAAACACACATTTTTTTCGCCTATACTATATATTGGAAGAGGAAGAATTCACTGGCTCAGCAAGTTTGTAACTATGAAGAAAGCGGAAAAGTAAATTCATCTGACGGTTTCGAATCAAAACTATCGAAAATATGTTTAAGAAAGACACTCAAGGGATGTATTTTCGTTCCTAGGAAGTTATTTGTTTATTTATTGTTAAAAATGAAAAAGGGAAAAGAAAAACCTCCTCCAGGCTCAGAGCGTATACTCTAAAACCGAATAAAAAACAGTGTTCGGAACTTCAGGTGTCATTGTGTCTGCTATCTGTGGGAGCCCCTCTCAGTGAGAACCCCTCAAAGCATGTGCTACCAAAAAGCCTTGAAATAAGAATAATAAGAGCTTTCCCTTACATCAGAGTTTTTACTGCACGAGAATTAAAAGACAAAAAATGACGTGCACAATTTAACTCAAGTGCCTACCAAAAGGGGAACAGAGTTAGCGACTTAAGTTGAACTTAGAGATCGATACGAAACTTTCTTGATACCGAGAGATGACATGGATCGTGATACGTTCAAAACAATCAATGTGCAAGGGAATATCCCACGCAGAGTTAACGGCATTGACTGCACAGTTTTTGTTGATTGAGCTTCTTGTCCTGTGCCTAACTATAGCGTCCGATATATGATCAATATTCCTGCGGTGAGACGTACATTTCAAGTGGAGTCCATCAAAACGTGAACTGAATATGTAACTAGGTGGAAGGTGTTCCTTCCTTCCTTCAGCCGTTCTAAAGAGAGGACAACCTGTCATTTCACCTTTTTGCTCCTCAGTTAAGTACATCGAAATTGAGACGGCAGCAAAAAACGAAAAACGTCTCTGAGATCTGACTCACTTGCTTTAGTAAAGAATGATGTAAATTGCGATGCTATAACGTCGACCATCGCGCGTCTGTTAATTTAAGGTGTGCCGCCAATTTATTTGAAATATGTATACAGCCGACTTACGTATTTTCTTTGCCCTATCAAGGGACTCATTAAAAATCTTTCGACTTCTCCTTTAGGTCACGCTACATTTAAAATGCTGACAGCCTGGCCTCACGGGAGTCTAAATGCTTCTTTTGTCGAGTTAACGAAAGTTTTATGTTCTTTGAAATATCAAATTCAATAGAGGCATGCCTAAATAAAAAAGATTAATTTCTCACTCTTACCAACAGTATACTTTCACTGGAAATTTACTGTACCCTAACTTTTTCCTTCTCCGTTGGGAACACCTCACAATAGCGGAACTCGGATTTTTTAATCTTAATACCACATGATAATTATCCTTTATTATAAGAATTATTGGATTAATTCGTATATCCACGACCGTTAGCCATTCTTAATAAAACCATTTTACCCTATTTAAACGTAAGTGCCTGTAAGGAACCCATTTCGGTAATGAGTTCAGCCGCTTAAATCAGTTCCAATCGTTGTGGCACGCGTGTTGACATTACTTCGAATACTTAGACAATATTTCTGTAATTACGCCAAATTTTGGCAAGACGTGCGGCATTGCTTGACTAATAACGCTTTCATGCTTATGGTTTCGAAAGCGTGTTGTCAGGCGAGGGCGTTTCAAAGTTTACCAGAGCAACGTAAAGTATACCGTAGTATAGTTAGTAATATATTTAAGTGTTCTTATTATTTACAAATTGTAATGTGTTTAATGTTTGTTTAAAAATCCTATAAGTTAGCCAGGGAGTACCTATTTGGAAAAAAGGAAAGTTAGATATTCTGATAAGGACTTGATGTGGCTGTTGGAGGAAAGGATGCGAGACTCCCTCAATAAAAACTCTGTTAATATGTTCTAGAAAATTTTTCCAGCCAGAATTTCGTTATGTTTGTGTTTCTATATGTGTGTATTTGTGTGTTTTGCACGTTTCAGATCCTTCTTAACCTTTACATCTGTTATATCAATTGTTAGCAGCCTCCCACAGAATGCTCTCCCTTCAGATTGTTACTGAAGACGAATTACGATGGGCTCTTGTGAATTCAAAATGTTATCTTTGAATGTAAGAGGCTTGAGTAACTTAAAGAAACGACGTTCAATATTTGCATGGTGTAGAAAACAAAATGCGAATAAAATTTTTCTTCAAAAATGCATTCCACGCGCGATAAAGAGAAAAAATGGAAAACTGAATGTGGCGTTCCTTTAGAGCTCGCTCATGGGAGCAATAATGCAAAGGTGTTGCGATCTTATTACGAAATGGCTTTGATTGTAAAATAAAACAAAATTTTGTGGATCCTGCCGGTAGATATATTGGTGTTCAAGCACAAATTAACGATGAGAATTATTATTTATTTAACGTTTACGGTCCAAACAATGATAATCAAGCTGCACAATTTTATGATCATCTCCTTGCCGTCCTGAAAAAAAAGATCTCGCTTAGGAAACCAGAGGATTATTGGAAGGGACTTTAACTGTTCAATGAATCCGATGTTAGATAAACAAGGTGGGATAATAAGGACCAGAAAGAAAATTGTTGAACGTATTGAAGAAATTTAAATGACCTTTAATTTGCATGATATTTGGAGTTTTCGACCCCCTATAAAGTTGCAAGTGAAACTTATATCTGGCCTTTTCAAAATAAATTATTAAATAACATTCTGTTAACAAATACCAAATTATTCAAAATTGGGTTAATTGTGTAGGAGAAGTGTTCCTTTAGCGCAATTTACAAAGAATACCTATAGCAATGAGCATCTCTTTTATGACTGCTCCTATGTGCGCGTCTTTTGGAAGAGGTTTTGCAATTGGTGGTCTAATATTCTGAGTGAAAATCTAAGCTTATCTGTCAAAGATGTTATTGTTGGTATTTAAATAGAAAAGATATATTAAGCTATCTGATAATTCTAAGTAAACTATGTATATGGGATTGTAGAAGAAACAAATCAGTCCCAAAGTTCAATCTGTTTCTACACAAATTAAAGTAGAAGCTAAGCAAGAGACTGAAAGGCTCATTGCCACAAGAAATAAGAAACTTCAAGACTTTAGGAAAGGATGGGAACCATTATCGTGATATTTTTTCATATTTATCTATTTTGTTTTATACCACACGGAGAGAATGTGTAGTTGACTCATTCAAAGTCAGTACTACTTTTTTTTTTCTCTTTTTTTGTTGACGAACTTAAGCTCCGAAATGTAACTGAAGGATCTGCATTGTGTCTATGTTGTGCTGTAGTCTACCTCTCATAAAATGTAAAGACCTCACGTAATGTGAGTAAATATTGTTTAGTATGTAGAGTAAGCTAATTATTGATTTAAAATTCGTAATGCAAATAGGGTAAGCAGCATATAATTTGTGATGTAAGCTAGTTTAAGAGAAAAGTCCTTTTGTAAGTGGTCCTAAACGTGAGAATTGATAAGTATAAATAGATATAGGGGTAGTATTGTAAGTAACGTGTGCATTGTTAGTATCGTAATTACTGTAAGTGTTTTTACGTAGTGTTAGTATTTCTCTGTTGTATGAAAGTTAAAAGCTAGTCAATAAAGACAATTTTAGAAAAAAGAAACGTAAAGTAGTCAGGTTAAATTCAAGTCAGAAGTCAAGATGCGTTACTCTATTTGTAACTTCAACACTCTAATAAGGAAATATCCTCCCATGTTGTAACCGTCTCACATCTGTAGCTTGAGCGATAACCAGACGTCTATCTGGACGCAATCAGCTAAAAACTGTTTACATATCTTTTTGACCCAAGCTTTGTTGTAAATTGCAGTAAAACCCAGGCGAAACGTTAACCGGATTTAATAAAAACTGGAGCACGGTTATGGAATTTCTAGCCTTCTGATTAGCTGAACGGAGCCTTGTTATGAGCTTGTAACCAAGCTCAAAGACAAACATGGTCAATGAATTCGTCAGCGAAGATCGTTTGTCGTAAGAAATTAATTTATGCTATCAATTCCTATTTAGATTATTTACTCTTAATTATAACTTTTGTGCACTAAGAAAAACTCGAGTTTGTTAATTTCAATTAATTTATTTAATTCTCTTTTATAAATAAAAAGAGACCTACGGCCTAAACTACGTACGTGTAGGAGTCGGTAAGTGTAAAGCCGACCGGCGATGAGAATAATATTTAAAATAACAGGAGCCATGGAAGGTCACTGTGTGTAAACCGCACAACCTCGTTCCCATGGCCTTTCCCTTACTTGGGCCGCCATCCCTTAGTAAGGGAAAAGGCCATGGGAACGAGGTTCTAAACCGCACAAACAACGATAAAAGATAATTAAAATGTGACTGAAATTAACTTATTCAGAGAACGAAAGGTTGTTTGCGAGAGAAACAGATGATTTCGAACGACAGCAGCGCCAACCTGAAGAAAATTTAGCCTCCAGGGAGCAAACTTTCTCGCGCGGTGGAGGAGGTGTAGGAGTAATTTTACAAAATCATCCCCCACAACCAGGGAAGGCTTGCTCACAAGCTTATTGTGAAGGATCAGCTAACCCTAAGTTCGACCCATTCTTGGTCTAGTCATCATTGATGGAAGCAGATCAACGCACTGAGTCTGTTCGGGTTACAAGCCAAACTAAGATACCCTCTCCCCTTCGCAACTGTAAACAATCAAATTTCACCAAGTTTTGATGGATTCCTTCCTTGCTCCCCGCCCACCTCCATTCGTGCATTGGGGAATATTAAAAAGAGTATCGCGCCGTGGGGTTACCTTCTAGGAGTTTAATTCCGTTTTCTTATAAAAATTTTCTTTATTGCAAAGTCTTCACTATCAATTCTGAGCAAATGTCACGGTAAAAAAATGTAAATTAAAGAACGGAAAGTATAACAAAGTACTTGGAAATATTTCTCGTTAAACATCAGTTTACTTATCTATTTAAGACAATCTGCAAAACAGGCTTAATATTTCTCTGATTGCATGATTGACTTTTTTAATCAAAGAATATTGCAAAAACAAAATAAAACGAAACAAAAGAGCGACAACAAAAGGTCTAACATCTAATTAATTAAGCGCATAAATAGAGTCATTAATGCTGGCGACCTGAGTATAATGCAATGTTGTTCGTTCGAAACTAATAGGGGAATATTTCATGAGATTTGCTCAGTGCCAAAATGATTGATAAATCGGCTTTCACTTGGCAGGAACATAATGAAACTCGGGATGGATCTCAAAATGGCTCGGGAGACGTCGATGGGGCTGCATGAACACTGCGCTCTTGTTTGTGATGAAGTCTCCGGTGGCATTCATGGAACGTCCTTTGGATTTCTTGCTCCTCGTCAGGGTTGGGCATTTAACTGCTTGTTTGTCTTTTGACAGCTTTTGGCGAATGTGATCGCTAATCGCATTTCGACCAGCCCTGATAGAGATAAAAATAAAAGCAAAAATCCTAAGAAAGGTTCAGCATAGAATCGTGCGGATGGTAAAACAGCAGTCAGGAGGCCAGAAGAATTGATAAACCATAGACCAGAAACCTCATCAGGAATGGAGTGCGTAGCTGTTTGCATCGCTGCGGGGGTGGGGGAGGGGAAACGGGGGGTGGAGGAATGTTTGGGGGACCATCTGGTTTTCAGGGGGAACGGAGGGAGAATCGGTCGTCACCAACAGAGTAAAGGGTCGGATTAAAGAAAGTCCATTGCCAGTTCATTGCCACTGAGGGAGGGGGGGGTCATAAGAATGTTACAGAGCTAATGGGGGATCAGTACATGTCATCGTGGCACGGCCAAAATCTTCCAACCCTCCTCCCCCAGGTGACAAATAATGACCTTTGACCGGTTCCTTAGGAAGTATGTTTCGTGTTCGATTTCATCCTTTTCATCCTGTGTAGTCACCCTCCCCTCTGACATGCACATTCTCAAACTGAAGACGACTCGGCTTCTAAACTCTGGACTTTCCTTTTCAGGTCTCCTAACTAAACCTACCTGGATAACTCTGCCGTCCTGTTCTTGTCGATACAGTTCGGCAATTTGCAAGATTTTTGATCCATCTCCCAATCCTGACGGCACGATGAGTTTCTTTTCAGCTTGTTAAGAAACCTGAATACAACATCGCGATCTGAAAGGTAAAAAGGCAAGGCCATTGCAAGGATCTCCAGATTTTAAATTTTTTCTTCATCCTCAGAGCTTCCTGATCATTTTCTTGGTTTTCGTATAAAAGGTCTAGTGATGCCGCCCTAGGCCAGAATTCAAGGCTCTTAGCAGGGTGAGGGTGTCACAAGTGGGTGTAGCGAGCCCTTACACTTTCAGCGAGCCAAGTTTGAGACTGAATTGAAAAATTGTCTCAGCTTGCTGTGTTTTTGCCTCAGTAGATTTTATTCCGATTCGTGCTTAGCTGAAACTGAACACGAGCCGCCCAAATGCTGAACCAATCAAAATCAATAAGGGTCCACTTGCTTTGGCGTTTCAATTTAAAACGCTAACGGGGTCTCATTTGTTAATTGATTTATAAATCAAATTCTTGAAGAAAAAAAAATCGCGAGGCGACCGTTATCCTTCGAGTTAGTTGCCAAGGAAGGCTAAGTATTGCAGCACGGGTATTATAATCGTCGCTATTCCACCCGTAAAAGAAGATGAGAAAAATAAAACCAACAAACAAACGGAAAAAAATAAATAAATAAATAAAGGAAATCAGTCATCACCTGTCTCATCTTGAAACTTTAGCCACTGGTGTATGGCAGGTATCGCCTCCGGGCGAACAACGTGTCCAAAGTTCTGCGGAAAATTCTTTTTATTAGTATTATTATTATCAGATTATCATTTTTAATGTTGCAACCATTGTCATTATCATTTTCATTATTATTGCTATTATCATTTTTTAAAGCGTTACTGATAAATTAATTAGCAAAATATTAAACCAGCAGCATCAAACCTTGTCTAATAAAATGAATGAAGGTTTAAGAATTAAATAAGATTTTAAAATTCAAAGCAAAAAAGACAACTGAGAGCGTAATGATTAATCTTTTACCCTTCCCATGTATCCGATATCTCCAGCGTCTAAACAGCTCTCTATAATGTTTTTTTCTAAAAATAAGGAAAGAGATAACGTGACATAAAATGTATAACAGGTATATACGCTTGTGAGCTCGAGTGGTATAACATGAAACGTCAAAACAATATCAACTGATATTCTTGATCGATATTGATACTCTTTTCAGTAGAAATATCCAATAGAGGCTCTACTGTTTCATACTCAAGCCAGCGTTCAGGCGAGTTTGTATCACACTTAGCAGTGACATAGTTGGACTTGAAGAGCGTAGAACGGATTTGGCATAGTGAGGAACGAGGACGAGAATTTGATATGGGAACCACTAGCTTAACCTTTTCAAAAAGATCGATTTTTTTTGCCAAAAAAAAAAACTTTGCCTACAGCTTGTGTTGCTTAGCCACTAGAATCACCCACCTGACAATGAAAGAAAGAAGACTTAATTCATCTTTAATTTGGTCAAGTCTTACCTTTTGTGGGTGCCCTGGAGACTAGAGAATCATACTCGTTTCCTGCGTCTTTAGAAATACACAGAGGTCGCATCGTGCGCTGGAAAATAATACACATGTTAACCCCAGTTTCGATAAAAATTATAAGATAAGGCAATGGAAGGCAGGAGTTGTTGACTTAAATTAACGTTCTCATAATTTTTTTTATTTTTGTGATAGGCGTGGTTGACTTATGGTTACTGCGCTGTAATCCGGTGAGATATTTATGTCCTGTTCCTGGACAAGACACTTTGCGCTTTCAGTGCCTCTCCACAGTTTAGAGTATCAATGCATGAGTACCAACCGATTCCTAGGGAACCACGAAAACACAGATGCTAGAGGATAGTAATACAAATGCTAGAGGATTGAATCTCATCTGGAGGAAAGAAAAGCATCCCTTTGAGTATGGAAGCGACCTTCTCAGTAGTGAACACAACTATAGAAGTAGTGAAAGTAAGGCCTGAAAAAAATTCAGACCTGTAGGGGATTTTAACGCATGACATCTGAGATACCGGTGCAGGAAAAGTATCCCTTGCCGCTTACAGTCAAGTTTTATGAAACTTGAACCGGTAAAAACTTCGGCCAGATGAGCCTATGTGCTCACAAGGTGACTTTTACTACCAACAATGATGATAATGTCAGAGGGCCTAACACAATCAGCGGTCTTAAGCAACCCGAGTTCCAACGGCAATAACTGCGCTTTAACTCAACCAACCACCTGGAAAACCATTGTCGAAGCAGTTCAGACTAAAGGGCCTTAGAAGCCAAAACTTTCGAAAATCTCTTGTTTTCCAATTTCAAATTACAACTTTTCTCTTCCTCTCCCCCTTTGTATTCTTTTGCATTCACTAATTAGCCAATCACGTCAAAGAACTCTAGCCTTGGCATGGGAAACTGATGTGGTCATTTTTTGCGTACTTTTGCTGTTTGTTTTCACGGAGTTTAGTTAGTTGTTTTTCATTTTTGTTCGCGCAAATTTGTTACCCTTTTTTCGGAATTTTAAAAAGATTCAGAGTTACTTATTTTCTACGGAGTTCTAGGACTCTAGCCTCTTTTTTTCTTTAATGGATTTTTTACAAAAACATTCCTTTTCAGACAGCCAGAAGTATCTCTAAAGTTAAAGCTAATATTTATCATGAGAAATAAAAGTCAGCAATTGTATGTTTTTATTTAGAATTACAACACCTCTCACCCTGCGAGGGCAACGGCGTTCCTCGTTTAGTTTGTCCTGTAGGCCAGCTCTTTGAAGAAGCCTATGTCCTATAAAATAAAGCGTTGTTACCAAACGGAAAGTGATATCTTTAAATTCGCGGAAATGATTTTTTTCGAATTTCGCTTCTTAAGTAGGAACGTGAGGTAATTTTATAACAACAATACAATAGCCTTTTTCAGGTTCTGATCTTACTTGGTAGACGACAAGGAGGAATAGGCCCAACTTCCTCACAAAGCTCTTGCTTTTCCAAATCTGAGACTCCCTCCCCTACAACATAACAGATCATCAACCAGCAGTTTACAAAGGTTGTTAAACTACTGCAGAGAACGCGTTTTAATCTTTCATCCAAAAGAGAAGCACACTTACTAAAACTGCCAACATAGTCATCGTAAAATCGTTCCTTGGTTTCCAAAACTGACAAATTCAGGAAAGCTTCGTCTGCGTTCGAAGTTTTAGGGCCCGTTAGTGGTCTTGAAGGAATGCGCCAGTTGAGAAAATTCTATGTAATTAACAAATAGATTGTGATCTGTTCTGTTGCAAGGCACGCAGAAAGAAGTGTATAGAGAAACAGATATCAGAGTAAGCTCTTAGTTGTTTATTGGAAGGGCGGCCGATGTAATTTCTGAGGCTTGATTCGGTACGATGACCGAAGAAGACCATGATGAGCTATCCGCGATGAACTTCAGCACGCAGGATTGCAGTCGCTCTGACACCGTCATGATTAGTATGAGCTTAAACAGTTATGCCCGGTCTGGCTATATTTTTCATTATTCCTGTTTTGTTCTGTTTCAGTTGTTTTTTAAGTATTATATATACTACACGAGTGTTAGCTGTGTTTGATTTTTATAACCGTACGTAAGCTTGCAATCTAACTGAGTGTGAAAACCTTCAAAACTCGAACTGTCCATTTCAGATTTCACGATAAAATAACATCAATTACGGCGTTTGTTTATAAACCGTTGTTTGGTTCTTCTCTTGCTATTTCCTGGCTTCCTTGTTCCAAAATTTCACTTTCAGTGAGTGAAAAAAAGCTAGAGAGAAGTCCGGAAAATGGTTGGACATAGCACATAATTTGGCACATGGCGTTACAGCTTTAGTTGCCTTGCTCTATGTTCTGTACTCTGATAGAGCACGCTGTTTCAACCAATGACAGCGCGCGCTATATCCGAACTTTATTATAAATGATAGTAGAGTATTGGAAAGTGTATCTGTTTTTATTAAGTTTTCATACGAAAATATTCCCACCACTTTTTCGACGTAAGGCTTTCAGAGTTCTGACTAAAACTGAGTATAACGCCCTCCTCAATGATGATATTTAGTTTTGTGTATCTCAAGATTTCATTGGAAATTTGGAAATGTTTTTGGTTTGCCGCCGAGACGCATTCATTAAAAAAATACTCAGGTATCTGGCCAAGGTTTTAGGATGAATTAAAATTCCTGCCTTATAGTCGTTATGGATAAAGAATAGCACACGTATACTGGGAAGGTAATTCAATTTTCTTTTTTACTGCCACCGGAGGGGTGAAAGTTTCTCATTACGTCTGTTTGTGATTCAGTTCCATGGTTTTAACAAAAAGTGATTATTAAATTGGTCAACAAACCTGAGATGGATGTGGTCGGTTTCTTCTTGTGGCAGAACAAGGTCTGGGCAGCGCTGGTTTTCCTTCTTTTTTGGCGAAGTCGATAACGTAAGACGTGATTGCGCGGTTCATATCATCACTTTTTCTGCTACTAGGATAGATATGCGCCGAAGAATCGTGGACCTTTTTCCGCTGCTGGGCAACGAAACGTCCGGGGGGATTAAGCAACGCCGTCATTTTAGTGAAAGCGCAAGGAATTAGAGTTTATGTCCTGGCTTTTGTACTAACGGCATGGTCTCACTGCAATTAATCTTTGCGCATAGTTATCGCTTTTTACAAAGGCGTCATAATATATTAAGTTTACGTCATCAGTTCGATTTTTCATTGTATAATTAGCTGGCGGATTCCATTTTTCAGCATTTCTGTCCAGTTTTAGGTCGCAGAAGACGTCAAAATGCTGGTAGAAAAACGAGAGACTCAAAAGTGGTACTCATGCCGTTGGCAAGTGAATCACTTATCCTCTTTACAATATTTTGACGCCGCGCCCACCGTGATTTGTAACCGAAGAGACACACGGGAAATAGAATATACCTGCTGGTTTATGAGGAAAAAAATTAAATATTCGCTAATTTTACGGAAATTTTCCAAACTGTGGGCCATATTGGGCAAAAAAATCGTCGTCAGCCGTGTGTCTATATCCTTAGAAATCATAGGCAACTGCCTATCACACAATGTGATACTTATTTGCGATGAATGAAAACAGATTATATTTTTTCCTAGTTGTGAAACGACTGAACATTTACCGAGAAAATACGTGTTAGGGCACTTCACGTAAGATATGTCAGAAAAAGAAAAGAATTATGTTTTAAATTCATAATTGTATGCTTACTTTCAAAGAACTCAACCACGCGCATATGCCGCGTTAAGACCGCGCATACACAACGTGGCAAGTAGCATATAAGCCCGCGAACGAAAAAAGCCAGCGGTTAATATCATGGCAGTAAACATTACTTTACTGTACTATGGATGCAATAAGGATGGCGACTACCTCCATGGTTGAAAAGTTTCGTGAAATTCAACTATTTCCCGAAGTTTCGGTCAGTTAAAGCGTTTATTAGATATTATAATTGTGTATCAGCACAGTAATGGTGTTTAAATTTGTTGTTTCAGGGTAATCTAGTCATAGGAATTGTATTTATCACTGCAGTCATCATGGCTGTTTATTGTATCAAGACATTTAGAAGAAGAGGTGAGTACTTCACATAGCCTTTTTTTTTTTTTTACCTTTTCTCGAAGTTTTGTTCGATTTCGAACTTCCTCTTATTTTTTCCTTTTTCTCTCTGGTAGTTGAAGTCCCAAATGAAGTTCCAATGAATCAAGAGCCGAGATTTCGCAAACGCGATAAGATGATATTTTACGGCAAAAAATATCTGCGCAAGGTTTGGATGACTATATCTTGTATCATTAACATACTGATTAACTTGAAAACATCTATGGAGGCTCACTATTAATTATATTGTTGTTTATTTAGCGTGCAGTCTCGGGTTTCGTTTAGTTGTTTGCCATCTTGAGAGCCAATCGGCTTTGCTGATCATGTTATGTTATTCTCTAAACACAAAAATCATCAATTGACTTGTACTCTCCGGGGAATGCCTGTTTGGGTAAAAACAGCTTTTGTTCTCTAAGAATACTTTATTAAGAGTTGCGTTGGCCGTCTCCTTTTTCATTTTGGTGGCTGGCTGCACGTACAGCACCAGTGTGAGAACCAGACGGAAAGCATAGTATACCCTTTTAATGAGGACAAATACCAACAAATATTAAATAAAGAAACATTTAAGTTTCCTTCGCGATCAAATCTTAAGGTTTCGCTTTCACCCACACTTTTAGTGCTTTTGTTTATGGAATGAAAAATTGGTGGATGCATGCAGTGAGCACATTTTGCTCTCTAAACCTACTATGTTAGTTGACGTCAGGTAGTGATACAAGTTACCTGATTTTACTGAAAGTGATGTGAAATCCATCCTCCAATAAAAACTTCCCGAAAGAATTAGTGGCAAGTCTAAATACTCATTACATGTGGCTGTTAAGAACTTGGTTTTATATGTACCATACGTGCTGTCATTTCTGTAAATATACCACTTGGTAGTAATGAAACAATGATGTGTCAAGTAACGAGTCTCCAAGGCCTTGTCTCAGTCAGTACACACCCCAAAGCAGCATGACCTCCAGATAATCAAAGATAGATTAAGCTGTTTGACTGGGCTCTTACAGAAGGAATAAAAAGTAGTTATCTAACATTAATTGATACAACTTGACTACCTTCCTCATAATCATGAAAATATCAATGATAAAATATGTATGACATTTATACAAAACCAAATAAATTTTTTAGGACTCACTGTCCTGATCAGATCAGTTTAATTTCAGAGAGTGTTATTTAACTATGCCCATAATATTCTCATTTGCACAGATTTTTACATTTTCATAAGGTTCAATAATAAGGTTCATTAACTCTGTAAACCCTACAAGTGATCTGTTTCTTAATTCTCTATACAGCAATAGTGCTGAATCATTCATTACAATTGTGAAAATAAAAGAGAAGCTTGGATTGTTCAACAAATTTTCGTTGTCAGTCCTAGAGGAAATGTATGAAGAAGACCTGATAGTAAGGTTAAAGGCTTCCTAAGTTCTCTCTTAAATAGGTTTTTACATTCTCATACCTGTTTGTGCTTCCTGATCCCATTACATGTAAAACAGGGTAATTAAGTATTTTCAACTGAATTGAAAATGTAAATTGGCCACCCAAAAGAGTTTTAAAGCAGACACTGAAGAAATGTAAAATGGTTTCCATGTTTACATAGCCTGATGTAAACACGCAGGAGGTTGGGAGAACATGAGATAAGCGTAGGAAACCACAACATGAAGCGGAGTGGTTTCCAGCTTATTGAGTGTTCTCCCAACCTCCCAAGTGTTTACATCAGGCTATGTAAACACAGAAACCATTTTACATTTCTTTTATAAAATAACTAATGAAAGAGCCTCTTCTTGCAATGAAGGAAAGCGACGTGCTTGTCGTTGTTGTTCATTTGGCTTTTTGGCTGTTTCTTAACTACTGGGAAAATTAAACTCCAAAGAAAAATTAGGAAAATCTTCTTCTTCCATTACTGTACTCAAAACAAACTTAAAGAAACTGAGTTACTGCTAAATAAATAGCAGGGAGAACTCCACGAGAAGATTCGTATGAAAACCGTGTTTAGATACACTCATGTAAAATGGTTTTATGGCCACTCAGAGCACACGTACTATTTGAATTATTTTATAATTTAAGAGTTAGCCATTTTTTGGGGCATACAGTGGCCAAGTTACATTATCAACTTAGTTGATAATTTTAAATTACCCTGTTACACTCTCTCATTGATGTAGCACCACAGTTTCTTTAGAAAGTTACCCTGTTTATCCATTACATGTAAGTTACACTGTGGAGACTGAATAGAGATCCCAGGTAAAAGTTGTCGTTCAATCAAGATACTGTATCTCTATAAGGAATTAATATTACAGTGTGTGATTATGTTGATTTGTTTTTGTAACAGGTGAAACAGCTCTCACAACCACAAGATGGTGGATATAGAAGGACTATAAGAAAAAGACAAAAAGTCATGTTTAACTTTGGAAAAGAGTAAGAACAGAAATTGTGATTTGAATAATTATTTTTATTTTCACTCCACTCCTTTTATCTACAGTGTATATAATACAAGTATTGGTCTAATGATCATATTATTCCCAGTCTGACCTGTTGAGAGAAAGACCCCTTGCATGCTCAATATAAAATTTTCTGACCAACACAATGATTATGAATTTTCTCTTTTCCTTTATTGATCCCATTTGGTTCATTTGATAGGAACCTTTTCTAGTTACACCCTTAATCAATTTTTATGACTAATGAAGGAGGTGTGGAAAGGGAAAGGGAGGTTGTTTGCACCCCTCAAGAAGAGCAATTTATTTCTAAGGGTTGCCTAAGAGTAAAATCGGTTAATTTGGTTTATAATTTTTCCACCAACAGATAAATATTGAAATATAATCTAACCATATCTGAAGCTCATCCTAACTTTTTAAAATGATATGGTGTTGTCTAGCTGTAGGAAGGTTAAGGACTACTTGTGAAAAAAATGTAATATTTCTTGAATTCAGAGGTACAGTGCATGATGTTTCGGGTGTAAGTTTTGTGTATCACTTAAATCTTTTCAGAGTCTCCCTTTTTTAACGAGTTACCAACACATTTTTTTTTTTCAAAGTGAATGTGATTCAATAACCATTCCTATGCTGTATTGGAGCAAAGTTATCGGCTCTATTAATTTTATTGATTTGTTTGTTTTTAACATAATGGAGGAAACAAATTAAGAACAAGAAAAACAACATCTTATTGCATGAGTGAGGATGGACAACATTCTCAAATTTTCCCTTTATATTTATATTAAAGAAAGGTGATCACTTGTAATGGCATATTTAATTAGGCCCTGTTCTTTCAGTTGTTCTGCTCAGAACAGTGTTCCCTTATAGGTGTTTGCTGCTTCAAGATATAATAATTAATGAATTTTATGAATGGGCAGCTAAAACACACATGTTACTCTTAATGTCTGTCTGATGAGAAATCCCATGAACTTTTTCTCAAAATTATTTTTCAGTTCCCATGTTACCTGAGAAAACTAAACTTTTACTACAAAACCTAATTTGATGAAAATTTTATAGGATGTGTTTAACTAGTTCTTTTTTGGATGCACTTGACAACTAGATTTAGATATTCCAACTGCTGGTTGTTAGGGGTGGGGTTATTATGGTGTTTCAAGAATATTAACAGCCTTTTACCAGTTGTTGAGAATGTAGCACCTGCTGTATTGTGTAAACTTACCTTTATGTGCAAAATGTTGGAGCTTAATGCAATTAATTATTGATCACCCATCAACCAGCTGTCCACAAGCTTACTTGCTCAAAGATTTCCTTACATGCTGAATCTGGGTTTCAGAAACAAATCTTTGGTTGCTATTTTGCAACCTTTGTAATTTGAAATCAAGGACATTTGCATTGCTGCATTGAAACAGCATTCTGGTTACTACTATAGACAGTTGTGTTTGCACCTTTGAAAATTAGACTACCAGTCATGTAGAAAAGTGGCAAATCTAGCTGTGTCTGTGAGTCCATGGAATCAATTCCAGATTTCACCTGGGATCTCTTTAGTACTTGCTTGGACTTTAATGTATTTGAAACGTGTGTTACATGGCCCTTTAGGTAAGGAGGGAACAGTTTTTTAGTAACAATACTTTAGTTGTGGCTTTATCTTTTAAGCATTTACCTTATATTTAGTTTTAAGAGGCAGCTGCTCTCTTCAGAGCTGAAAATGAATTTAGGGTTAATGAAGGATAACCCTGCTCTGAGGCTGTTTCTTGCAAAAATTCCTAACAGACATTTAATTTTTAAAATGCATAAGTTGTACTACTCTTCATTTATGGAATAACATCATATACTCTGTGTACTTACTGTACATTATCCTTAAAATATTATTTTAATCAATATGAGTAATCAACCAACTGGTATTTAAATCATTTTAAGACAATATCTAAAACACATGGAGTGTAGTGGACTGAGCTGGTACAGTGTGTTTTTTCTTGTGATAATCAAATGATTGGGTCCCTATTACCTGGAGATTTATGGTATTATATTCATCCTGCAATGTGATATAAGTGTTACTGTTCCTTTAACTCTGTGATTTTCATTGAGTTATACATAATTTTCCTCAGTCTGTTAAAATTTGCTTTACATCTTGTTCTTTGAAAAGTTTATACTTACATTTTCTTGAAAATGATGTCTAATCTCTTCTTTTATGGTGCTGAATTTAGGTGAAAGGGTCTCATAAAATAATGACAGTTTTTTTTTTGTTTTCACTGCAAACAAACAATTTAAATCTACATAAATTAAAGAAATTTAAATCTACATTGTGTTCTGTAGCTCTGAACACTGCATTTGTGCCATGAAGTAGTATGTTAGGTCAGGTTATGAAAAGTTTTCTCAAAAAGTTTACGATAAATGTTTTGAAGAAAAAATACATGCAATAGGAACTTTGTATGTATGCATGAGGCATGGGTAGTATTCCTGCTTAGTCTCCCAATTCATTTTCAGGCTTTTAAGGTTCGACAATAATGAGCCTGGAAGGCAACTTAAACAGCCACCAGCAGCATTCCTGGAAGCTGACTTGGCTGAGGTGAGACCTGAGAACCCCTTTTTTTGAAAACCTTCAAATCAGGATTTCTAAAATTGATGAATTGCCTTCCTATGTGACAGAATATATACTGAATGTGTATGTGCAATGGAATGTTACTGGTTGTAGGAGTCAGTCCTCATCATGTAGCTAGTCTGTGAACAAGTATGTCTAAAACCTGAAGGGTGTTCATGTGTATTTTTGATTACTTTTTTGTTGTTTTTACACGTAGGTTGATATCAATGAACCTCGTCTTCCCCCAGAGGTTGTGTACATGCTGAAGAGTGTAAGGTAAATTCTACCATCCTAAAACCCTTCTATTTCCTCAATGTTTAGGTCTAAGGTTTCTAATGAACCTTTTTGCAATAATGAAAGATTGTTTCGCTTGAGTTGAGAATCTTTAATAGCCTATTTAAGGTATATGGAAGAGGAATTGAGTTACAGCTTTGCCATAATCTTACTGACAGTTAAGTTGTTGTCATCCACAATGTCTATGCTTTCTAAAAGGGAAGAGAATAATGGAGTTTAATTTAAAGCGTACATTATGCTGAAAAGACTGACTCGGTGTGTTGCAATTAAATGAAAACACATGCAGTACACTCTTTGACAACTACATTTACAAACCTCATAGCAATTGGAAGGGCTCCAATGTCTCTTAAATTTGGAAGTTCAAATGAGTCCTGAACTTTAGCTAGAAATTAAGGATAAAAATCTGTTCAACTTAAAAGTTCTAATTCTACTTTCAGGTCTCATTTGAGTTTCCAAAATTTGTATTTCCAAAATTATACTTAGTGAAAATTTTCCACTTTCTTGTTTTTGTTGTCTTAAAGAGTATTTGGTCATTTTGAGAAGCCCCTTTTCTTTGAGCTGTGCAAATACATTCAGACTAAGTTGGTTCCAGCCAATGCTCTTCTATTTAAACCAGGGCAGGTAAGACAATTCATAAGTACTAGAAATTGCAAGTCTACATACAATAAGTCATAGTTAGTCTAGTCTGCTGATTCACCCCAACTTCTCTATTATCAATGATGCATAGTGTACATGAAAGAGCCCCACAATCTAAAATCACAGGTGGACTGAGGGGTTTGCCATTTGCGATGATGGTTGTAAGTCAACATAGTTACATGCAAAGAACACAATTTGAATGTTGACTACCAGTTAACTTTCCTAGAATTTTGCCAGGTTTCTTTTATAGAACGTGACCTTGCATTCTCACACCAAGGTGCATTAACTTAGCAAAGAGGTGCATTGCACCTTGGGGAAAAAATGTTTTTTGTGTCATATTGAAGAAGGTTCATTGAATGACAAAGCTCAAATCATTTTGCGCACTTGCCTCCTGCATCAAAATTTAACCCTTTCACTCCCAAAGATCTTGTTAGTCTTTCTCTTTGCTGTCTGTCATACAATTGTTATGATGTTGATTCTGAAAATTTGGTATTGGATCAACTAATAATCAACTAATGGATATTTTTCTTTATTCTCATCACTTGTCTGCTTGATATGGTATTAATATTGTAAGGAGAAATTCTGTCTCAGTCACTAATGGAAGTTAAAGGGTTACCATATAAGTATGTAACTGTGAGACACGATCTTGAAATAGTGAGGAAGAAATAATTTTTTTTCAGCATGATGATAGCATATACGTAGTCCAGAGTGGAAAGCTCTCTGTCTCTATAATTGAAAAGGTGAGTGCTAAAGATAAAACAGGTTAAGTAATATGCCGAAATTAGTCACCAGACCCAGCTCCTAATGTGGCTCTGAACCTGCCAAAATGTCCCAAAATATGACTTACACAGTCAAGCATGTGTTTGTAAATCAGGCCGTTAAAAGATGATGGGATAGAAATGAAGAATATCTTGTGTATCAGGAAGCCTCAGTCGATATAGTGGATTTAGTTGTTACAACATGTACATCCGCCAATCGGTAAATCGGACGATAATCGGTCGTTTATTGTGTGCCCCAAGACGATCGATAGTCGAATGACACTCGACCAGTACTCGGTTGATGTCCAGGTGTAGTTGTCGGCGGACTATCGCCACACCGAAATATGGATCGACTACTATCAAGTGTCGGTTGACTATTAACGGACTGTCATCCAACTGTTACTCGACCATTGGCTGACTATCGACCGATTTATCGACCGACTATTGACTGATGAATCGATCGACTATCGACAGATATATCGACCAATTTATCAAAAGAAGATCCCCGATGGGTTACCACACCTGCTAAAGTAATTTTAACTGATCGTCAACTTGCGTCTCGCATGCTGTGTTTTTACGTTAACAGGATGGCACGGAGGTGTGCATGAAGGAAGTTCTCACTGGAGAGAGCATATACAGCGTGCTCACTATACTGGACGTTCTTACGGTAAGTCTTCGGTCACGGGATTGTGTCGTTTTTGACTTAATAGATATTACAAGATGATGCAGTTTCATCAACTGAGTTGATGAAACCAAGGCAGAGGTTTCGAGCGTAGCACTTCGTCAGAGCTCCAACCTCCCATCCACACAGCATCACAGTTTCTTTAGAAACTTACCCCTCCTCCCCTCCCCTCCCCCTCCCCCCCTCACTCATTCCTATTAGACATTGAAAGGGACATTTCGGGAATATATAGGGGTTTTTTGTTGGTATTTTTCACCATAACCAAGTTTTGTGTGGCTGTGTTCCCACAGCAGTACATTGTGTGCGTTTGCGTAACCGTGATCTGTTGGTATATGTGGGTAATCGTGATCTTTTGATGTATGTAGGTAGTCGTGATCTATTGGTATTTGCAGGAAGTCGTGATCTGTTGGGAGGCTTTATGAAGTGATAAGACGTAACGTGAGATCTACTTCATGTAGTATTCCATGCAAAAAGAGTGGCCTTGTGGATCTGAAAGATCTGCCCATAAAACAATCCTTTACATCGTAATATCAGTATGCAAATTCTCCATACTGTTTTCCATACATTTCCTAAGGCTTACGAGGAGAATTTGTTTAGCAATCAAGAGCTTCTTCAGTTGGCGATCGTTTCCGTTATCCTTGAAGCCTTAATGTTCGATTCAGGAGTGATGTTGTAAGGAGAAATCAGATTTTAGTCACTCTGAGAGGTTAAAGGGTCAAAAGACTAAAACTTTAAAAAAAACTAACTGTTTTTATTCGTCTCTTATAGGGTCATCATATGACCCTTCCCCAAATATGCTGTCGGGCAGTTGTGGATACTCATGTTCTTAGGTGACTACTTTTTAACCATTACGTTTACATACAAATATTTCCCCTTGTCAGTGCGGCAAATGCGAGTCTTACAATGGGATAGATATTTGGCACTTCTGTTTCTCAAAGGGATTCATCCTCAAGGTTGCGACGCCGAAATTAAATTTCACTCCCCTTTCAAGCATTCACTTTTCGCCATTCGTTGTGCCCTTATAGTACGCTTTGGCGCTTACCGTTAAGACTGTGGTATATTTTTTCCAGCCGTCCTGTTGAGACAATCATTGCAGTCATGCGTGGGTCATCTGTTTTGCACCAATATTATGTCTCAACCCTAGCACAGTTTCATGAAGCTTTTTTGATTTATTGTGCATCAATTTTAGTTTAATGATTTTCTCTTTTTAATTTCCTGAATGTATTTTCCAGGTTGCCGGGCAAAGCTTTTCAAACAGTGTTTGAGCAGCATCCAGATTCCTTGGTCAGAGTTGTGCAGGTTTGTCAAACTCTCATGCTAATTCCCACTGCCAAAGTTTCAAGATAAATGGAAAAAATGTTTCAGCAGAAAAACAAATCAGAACTTAAGTGTTGTGCTTAAATAGCATGGAAACGTTAAGTATTTAAAGGAAGAAGGTTTAAATTCCAGCCTATTTGCGTGAAGCTTGTGTGTCGCCTCTCCGCAAATTATGTAATTATTTTTAGTGTTATCGGTTCCTGTTTTATTAAACAAGGGAATGTTAAAAATGGTTTTCGTGTTCCCTAGATTTTACTAAAGAAACGTATCACCTTTACAGGATATTTTTGTTAGCGTGTGTAAGTTTCAAAGGAGCGTCAATCGTTAGACCAATTTGCCTGTTCTGCGTTTAAACTGAAATGTCACAGCTGAAATCTATTTCTTTTTTTCAGATTATTATGCTTCGTCTTCAGCAAGTTACATTCATGGCGCTGCACAACTTCCTGGGACTTAGCTACGAGCTCATTGCGAGTGTAAGTGTACACGTACTAACCTTCACTGAAAGTTCGCGATAAACTAAGAAATCTTTTGCGACGAAAAATTACTTACAGGCTTTTTGTGACATCTTCGCTTTTTACCAAAAATTCTGTGACAGGGACAAAATATAGTCCTAATCTTGAATTTCATTGAATAGTTCTTGGGCTACATATGTTTATGTTTATGATTTTCACCTGCGTTTGTATTGTCTGTGATTTTACCAACACTCGAAACACCGACTGCGTGCAATTTTCCTCAAGTCGACGATTTTTCCTTCCTTGAACAATTTAACTCCAAAGATCTGACTGATAATTCTTCCCTTTAGCTGCCACACATTTCCTTGTAAATTAGCTACGAGAATCTGGTGTCAGATCAAGATAACAATCTCTATCTGATTAGTTTGTGTATTCTCATTACCTGTTTGCTGGATTATGTTATGAGGCGAAGTTACATGTGAATCACTTCTGGGAATTTAAGGGTGAATGGTCGGCCAGAGAGCCATTTCTGTTTTCGAACTTTCACCGGACCCATTTAAGTTCCCTGAGCTGGCTGATTGGTGCGGTCGACGACAAAATCAATTCTAGACGTGTGGTGGAAATATTATTCAACAAATTGATTTTGTGTACATTTGTTCAGAGCCCAGCGTCGCGACGGAGGCCGTCAATTTATGGAATCACATCAAGTCCAGTAAAAGGAAAGACGACAGAAACTCCTGCGGGGAAAGAGAATCAAACGAAGACGACCAAGAAGATTCCTCTAGAAGTTGACTCTGGTGCGAGCAGCGCTGCAAGTAGTAAAACAACGACACCTGATTCAGCCGTCGGTAATCCTAAGGAGAAGGAGAATAAAGGTGCTTAGCTCAGAAGTCCGTTTTACTTTATGTTTTGTCTGAAGTGTCAGCTTTGTTCACGGCCCAAGTTAGTCGAAGACTGTATTTAAAAACCATGCAGAAGTAACAACAACGCATAAATTTGCCTAGTCAGTATTGTGGATGTGAACGGGAAGACGAAATAAACTTGAAACTCTTCGAAATTACTCTACGTCAAGCATGGCGCCTTCGGGGGTATAATAATAATACTAACTTCTGCTTTAAATTTCATGTTCATCCGAAATCGTTTGTGTAAGTGAAGCTTTTCCTTCTGGTACCGTTCCTAAGTTTCTTTACTTGAAACGTCAATGTTTTGTGTCGTGTTCGACTTTAACAGAGCCAAGGGGAATCTTGGGAAAGGAAAACAGTAAGCCAATCCCAGTGAAGAAAGTGCCGTTACACAGGAGTGTTAGCTTCACGGAGCCTGAGCACGAGCGAAAAGTTGACAAACAAATTGGACGCTGTAAGTCAGCTGCCACCCTGGAAACCATGTTGGGTTTTGGAAGCGATTCAGGTGAGTGCTGTAGATCACGTTTTCCTGAATTCGTCTCAGACCAAGACTGAGAAAGGAGAGAGTCCCCTTTCTCTCTCTTTGTCTGATCGTCGGTCTGTGTTTTTGGACGGCTTTTTTGTCTCCAGGTTCGGCTACCGGTCTATAAAGAAATTTTCAAATCCTTACTTTTACGGCAAACGGTAAGAATTGACTTTCAGTATTCAGCCGCTTGGTACTGGAACGAAAATGTTTGCTTTTGTTGTGTAGGGTTGATGTAGGAATTATAAGAAAAGTGAATGAAATAAGGTTTAGTTTTGCAAGGTGCTGTCGCCCTAATGTCATGCATGAAGTCCCAATGGTTAAAATAAGTGGAATAATATGAGCTTATTAACTCCTATATTAAATTCTACCCCTCAAATTGAACAAAACGTGACCAATATTGTTACACCCAAATTGCACAAAAAAAGTCCTAGGCCTATTCCCATAGCAGGATTACCTGCCTACTGAGAGATGCTAAACCGTTTCTTCTCGCTTGCAGACCTTTCTGATTTTGACGCGGCCCTTGGCCGAGCGCGCTTAACTGGTTTTCCAGAGTCACCCAGCCGCACAGCCATGTTCGACTTGGAGGCCAGCGACACAGAAGGCAGCCCCTCTTCCTCCTTGGAGGGTCGTTTTGACTTCCCTGCAACTCCAGTAACTGAGGACCTGTCCAAACAGTTTCTCACTATGGACCCTGAAGAAGAAGATAAAATGATGAAGACAGCGGCAAGCGAGATCGCTAAAAGTCTTGATTTACCGGTACGAAAATTGCCATCAGGGGAATACAATAGTTGTCGTGTAAAATTATGAAGTGCGACGTTATTGATGTGTTGTCGCGGCCGTTCCTCGGCCCGTGGACCACCTTCGGGGAGGGGTGGTGGGGTGGAATGTTTTTCCCCAACTCGCATTCATCCAACATGGCAGCCACAATTTTCGATATTATTTTACCTCCTGGAAGTTTGCTAATAAATGAAAAATACTGACCTGCGTCATTGGCTCATCACTTTTAACTTCATTCGCACGATATTCAACCAGGCATGCATGTGTTACTAGCTGAGTATTGAATTTTTTTGTTGGTTTTTTCAGGACTCCTCACTACTGGAAGGACTTCTTTCAGTTGCATGTATTCCTTCTGGAACGGTCCTTATCAAACAAGGGGACGTGGTGAGTGAAATTTAATTTTGTTCCTTCTGTCTGAAACCCCTCTTTTTATTTTACTTTAGTTTCTTCGTTGAAAACTGTCCGATAGAATTCCAACAAGGCCCGCTTTTCTCACCGACAGGATTGCAGTTTGTATTTCGTGGTGACCAACTCCTTGGAAGTAACACAGAAGAGTCTCAGTGGCGACCAAGAGGTAATTAACACGTTCAGTCTGTTGTGGGTATGGTTGTTTGTACCTATCGCCTTTTGCGTTAGTGATCTACAGAGTCTAAGGTATAAGCGTCCCCCCCAAATGCATTCGTCTGTTTTTCCTCTAAGTTTGGTGTTACCAATTTGTACTCCCGGGTGGATAAAGACATTGTGAGAGTAAAGTTTTTTGCCTAAGAATACAGCAAAATTATCAAGGGGCTGTCCCTGATTCCATCTAGGTGAGTGTTTCTCAAAAAAAGAAGAAAGAGAATTATCTTCCATACATTCCATACATTTTATTTGCTTTTGGTCTTAAATTTTATTCTCAGTACCACCTGTACACGGCCCTCCCCGGTGAGTTTGTTGGCGTCTTGGCAGTTGTCACTGGAGAACCTTCCTTCTTCAATGTCAAGGCAACCAAGCAATGTCACGTGGTTATAATCAGCAAGGCCAACTTTTACAAGTAAGTAACAAGAATGACTTGGTTGGAAACTTTTGACTTTAGTGTCCATTTTATCTCAGCTCCAAATGATGTCTCGGTGTTTTCGAGGTAAGGAATTGGGTACAGATTGATACTTCCACCTCACTCCCTTGCTGTTTGCCTCGAAACTCGTATCCAATTCTCTCACGGTTCTTTCAGAGTACAACGTTCAAGCTTTTCGGGGGTGGGGAGAACAGCTGACTTCTTCCACCCTACCCAATAACTCTTGGTTTCCTTTACTCTCTGGCTCATTTCTTTCGTGATTCTATTTACTTATCATCAAACTAAAATCAGTAAAATACGAGAAAAAATTTTAACAGACAGATTGAACATGATCAGGTCACTGAGTAATCTCAGCCTGATTACCGAAGCCAGTTATTGGACGGTGATAATGATTTCGCGATGTGTGATATGAGGTTGCATGAGTTTTTGAGATGCCCATGGGTCTTTTTGTCAGCGGCTGGGTTCACTTCATAAACCTATTCATTTCTTTTCTTCTTCTTTATCGTGTGACGAGGTCAGGCGCTCCATGAGCCAAGATTTATCACCGATTGTGTATCGCTGGTTAATAATCAAATTCAGAATGTTATGTTTTATTGTTTGCCAACAAGGAATCGGAATCAGTACTTCCGACACGGAAACATCTGATTGATTTCTCGCCCCAAGCTTTCGGTAGCGCAGATTAAAGTGCCGCTCAGTAGCGACTTTTAAAAAAAAACGTTATGAGCATTTTGAACAAACGTTATTGGCAAAGAGTTCCCAAGAAAAAGAGTTTGCCCGTCTCTGTTTTTCTCATCGCGGAATTTTTTTTTTTTTTTCTTTTTGCTTCGTACGTGCCATTCAAGGTCGTCTTAACGACTCATTCGTCTGTGGACCTCCGGTCATTCTACCTGACTGTTTAAAAACATCAACGTCAGATTCATGTCTGGCGTTTTAACACTTTAGTCGAATGACCACCGCCATTAGGTAAATGTTTGCCAATTCTAAGAGCCGATGTCCGCAAGTTGTCAAAGACGTGCTCAGAAAACAGACAAAAAAAAAGGCCCAACCATTGATTTCAGCATTACTTGATAACGCATTTGTGATATTTATAGCAGGGTTTTGTCCGAACGGTTGTAATCAGCATATCTTTCAATCACTAACCGGACTGAATTTTAAAATGAAAGATAATCTCGTCGAAGCTGTAGAATAATTTGATTAGGATGCGTCATTATAGCGTAGACGCTCTTACGATTTATGATACAAAATATATTTGTTGTGTATTTTTTGCTTACAGAAGTTAAAATAAGAGGAGGTCTGAAGACAGAAACTAAGATTTAGTGAAATAAATGAGTTATCTTGTAAGCTAGTTAAATTTTACTTGAAAAATAAGCTTTTATGATACATATCCCGGGTTAAGAAAAAATGCAGCAAATAAGATTTTAAACGAGGGAATGGCTGGTTTCTACTTCACGTCCACTCTTTTCGCAGCTTTTTTTCGTAAAGAAATTCGTTTCGTTGCGAAAGCGCGTTTCATTCCCTTCCTGAATTCGTCGTTTCGTAGTGAATATAACCATGGATTTATTCCGGATGAAGAGAACGCTATTAGCTCGACCCATAGCCACACTGAACGCATTTGTCGCTTCAAGCAATGATCACTCGTTGTCAAATGGATAAAGGACGTAACTAGACTTGGTAGCCACGAGATGATAAACAACGCTACGACAAAGCCTACCGTGGTAGCTGTCTTTCGGTTCCGAACTCCCTCGATGACGAGCTCTACGCCTCGCTGGACGTTGTGCTTCGCAATTATTACATATTTTTTTTTGGCAACATCCAAAATCCGGTAGTAGCAAAAAATGATTAAAACCATCGGGATAAGAATTGTCACTACCGTCACACACATCCATAGTGCCGGCAAATTTGCAGGGTTTGTAACAAAGATCCTTGAAAGTCCAAACGCCAGAGATGCCAGCCATACAAATACTACCGCCATGCAGCATCTTCTTGTTGTGACGATCTGATTGTACAGAAGAGCCGACCGTACTGCGATGTACCTGTCCAAGCTCACAATACACAAGCTAAATGTTGTGGTTACACTCGTTTGAATCCATAGCGAGTCGATGGCGATTTTAAACGGATTATGATACGGACGCCGTGGTAAGACGCACCTTGCGATCCACAGTGGATCAATGAGTAGCCCCACTAAAAGATCCGCCGTTGCTAACGAGCTCAGTAGAAGGTTGGAAAAAGTTCTGATAGTGCGAGCTTTGTAGATAACCCAAAGAAACACTACGTTTCCAAGGATGGCGGGTAGCGCTACCACGCCGTATAATGAAGCCAGAGTAATCGATGTAGAAAACTTTAGTTCTGTTCCAAAACAGGGATTCGCCATCTTCTATTGATCCAACTTCATTTTAGACTGGTCGATGTTTCAGTTAACGCGAGACCACCTGCCAAGTTGAGGAATTGAGCGCCTGACTGTGGAAATGACACCCTTTTCTCTCAGCGCTTTCTGTTTTCTTTGATTAACACGGTTCGAATAAACCGTCTTGAACGCTTAAACTGCCCAGTCTTTAGTCTGACTTAAAATATCTTTTCCTGCAAACATGAAAGGCAAACAGGGTTCCAGCTGATACCTTCCGTCTATAACACGCTGCAGAATTTCGTCCCCACAGAACTCATTTAGTTGCGTCTTGTTGGCGTTTTTCGCTCAATGAACTCTTTAAAACTGGCGTTGGCGTGGGTGTTTTTCGGTTAAGTAAAAAAAAAAAAAACTCGATCATGATTTCCATATAAAGACGTCACAGTGAAAAAAAGGGCCCATTAACATCTGCTTAACTAGTCACACGCTGGGGTTTCGCTCTCCGAAAATTCACAGGTAGCCATATTTCTTCCTGAACAGAACATACTGTGTTATATTTCTTCCTTTCGATTGGAAATACACGAGTGTTTCGTTTTTTATTTAACAAGAACAGATCACTCGATAAAGCTAACAAGATACGAGTTCGACGTGCTAAGTGGCTCCTAAAGAAAGGGTTTTGCTTTGAGGTTTTATTCTCAAAATTCATATTTGGAATCTTTCCTTTGAAGAAAACTTAGTTTCATATGTTTTCCATTTTAAAGATTATATTCCAGCGTTTCCTTCCCACATTTACGCGAGAACGTGTTGCTTAAAATAGATCAATAAATTTCTGAGAAAGTTGCACAATGGCTTTTAAATGAGTGATGACACATTGGGATTTCAATCTCAAAATTCATGGTTTGAATCTTATCTGAAATTACGCCCTCACACTTTTTTCCAAGAGTGCAGCACTTATATTTTAAACAGTACAATTTTCAGTGAGATTTGCTGAGTAGTATTTATTGGGCACCGAGTCATTTCAATAAAAAATGTCTTGTTGGAAATTTTTCCTCAGCATAATGAAAAGTGCCAAGTTAATCCCATTTAAATGATGTTCCGACATTAGTGCCTCACTCTAAGATTGGCATAATGGACGGTATGGCACTCAGTGTTATATAGCGAATGGAGAGCGCCTTACTTCTTGACACCGAATCCGTTCCTCGTAAAGGGCGTAAAGGTCCTTTGTAGGATGAAAGTCCAACTTTGACTCGATTAAAGTGAAAAACATCTAATCTTTTTTTAATTCAATAATAATTTTGTGCGTTTTGTTGTAACGGACGTTTCAAAACGTGAGATGAGAATGAGTAAGATTACTCGCAGACAGACGGGTTGACAGACAGTTATACAGTTACACTGACTGACTGACTGATAGATTAACTGATGATTGATAGACTGATTGACTTCCTGATTGATTGATTGATTGACTGATTGATTGATTGACCGATTGATTGACAGATTGATTCATTGATTGATTTAATTCTGTGTTTCAGCGTTATTCGTCACAAGCCCAGAGTCATTCTGAACGTGGCTCATTCCCTTATTGGTCATCTTTCTCCTTTCCTGAGACAAATCGACTACGCTTTGGATTGGATGCATGTTGAAGCCGGTAGAGCAGTTTACAGGTACACTTGTTGCATATAACAGGTTTTTTTTTTTTTAATTAAGCACGTGTGTTCAGAGCTCATGACCGACATTAGTGCTTTACTTTTTTAAGTCTCGGTTACGCGATGAACGACTTCTCGCTGTCTGTTGAAGTTTGTGGCGTAAACTCCCTTTTTAACCTTGCATTTTTCCTTGCATTTTTTCTTTCAGTTTGTATTAGATTTTGGTCGGCAAGCGTATTCACGATTCTGTGCATGCGTTGTTAGTTTATGCAAACCGCGATATTTCTTTGGCGTACTTTTAAAGGAAAGTGAATCCACGTATTCTGTAAATTGTATTTCAGGCAAGGAGAACAATCGAACTGTATTTATATTGTGTTAAATGGCCGCCTTCGTTCAGTTGTGACGTCAAGCAATGGCAAGAAAGAACTCGATCGCGAGGCTGGCCGCGGAGAACTGGTGGGAGTGGTGAGTATCGTCCACTTACGTCATGTACACAATTGTCACGAATCTCGTTCCCAGGGCATTTGCCTCTTCTACCTACATGGATAGGATTGTGAATATTGAACAAGGAGACTCAAAAGCCCCGTGTGAATCCCAAAGATTCAAACCCTTTTAAACTATTTCTAGATTATTCCCTGCTTTAGAAAACTCCAAGGAATTTTTATCACGTGAACATCGCATCGTAAGTTTATTTGTTTTCCACGCGATTTTACGTGTTTTATTCGCTATTCCCACGCGAAGGCCAGATACATTTGACTATTCAAAGGATTCGTTCTCTTTTCTTCCTGATTTTGGTGAAAGGGATCGTAAATGCTGTTGTTGGTAGACTAGCAGAAAAAAAACTCTCGTTTATTGATAGAATTTCCGACTTTCGCGTTTTTACCTTTCAAATTTCTGTTGTTTTACCATATTTAGTTCACCCCACTGACATCCCCCTATCTAACTTCATAAAGGGTCTCGCATACTAGAACAGTCCAGGCAAAGCTATTCACTCGATAGCATGGTCGATGTTGTTAAAAACGAATCTTACCACTCTGCCGCTTTTGACATACTTATGTCAATGATGTAGGTTTATTCCTTGTTTATAGGTTGAAGTGCTGACACAAGCTCGGAGGGCGACAACAGTTCATGCTATTCGGTTTGTAGATCCTTTTGTATGTATGATTCCATGAAGGGCTGTTTATTTTCTACAGATACATCTAAATTCCTTTCGAAGGCAGCGATTGCGATCGTATACAATACAAATACAACAAAAGAATTGAAACAAAAACAAAAAACTGAACTACATTAAGAAATTAATTCACCAATGTAACAGATCAAAATAAATGAAGTGTGTTCAAGTGCTATCTGTACTTTTATTAATCGGATGTCACTGAAAATAAGTTTTCTAATTATGTTGTCTGACGTATGGTTGACATCAGCCCATAAAATGTTTGGGTGACGTCTCGACAACCTGAGCAGTAGTCATCATGGATCAATGTCAGTATTTGAGAAGCTGCGCACCTACCCCTCCCCTAACCTTAGCAGTTGCTCAGATTCTGACATTGATCCGTATTGGATCAATACTGATACAGACATTAATCCGTCATCGCCGGAGTCACCTTATTTTAATGATGACTTCCGTTTAAGTCGTCGAGTCGTCAGACATTGTCAATGGCATCAGTCCTTTTCAGGACTACGCTCAAGCAGAAGATTTGACCTCAATATCAATTTTTACCATCAAACCATCTATTAAAGGATGGTTGTTTTTAGTAGTTGCAACCACTCAATAGGTATAAAAACCGTCAGTTTAGCTCTCAAGACTGCAACTGAGGTATTTTGTAAACTCGTGCTTATTGGGCCTGTTATTTAAACAAAATTTAGCCGTTGTTTCTCGAAACAGCGTTGTAAGCCATCTTCGATTGAGCAGAACCTTTTAGCTGAACATCTACTTTGGTGAACATTGTTAAGAGAGCCGAAAACTAACAGTGGAAGGACATTTATTTAATTAAATCAACCCTTTTATATAGAATCTCTAAGGCCCACTGCGTGCGTAAAGCCGCGGTATAGGTTAGACCTCGTGAAAATAACCGGTCTTTCATGTTTCCACACACAGGGACACTGAGCTGGCAGTTCTTCCCGATGGGTTGTTGAACACAATCAAGAGACATTTCCCTCAGGTAAACTTGTAATTATCGTTTAACTAAATGACCAACACCGTTCTATTCTGCTGGCAATTGTATCTGTGCAATGTACTTTATAGCCCATGCTGTCCTCTAAGACTTAACAACATGCCTATTTTTTCTACTTTCAAGTGGGATTTATAATCATCTCCTAAAGAAAGAAATCGTAAAAACGTTTCAGTTTGGTTTCTCTTTCTTTTACAGGTAGTTACTCGTCTGATTCATTTACTTGGTGAACGGCTGCTGGGACAGTACAGACGAAGTTACGCAAGAAGCGAAACATTGCTTGGTATGAAGATACTTCTTTACTGTGTTGTGAAGCGTACGTGTGAGAACGAAGATAAAAAAGTTAAAAGTATTGTTCACAGCACCGAAGTTACTAATCAACGGCAAATTCTAATCATCTCAGCAGATTGGACAGTCTGGTCAACTCTTGAATGTTACTTTTTGATTTTGTAATAAACTCTTTGAGCGCTTTGACCAAAAATAAATACCTAAAGAGGCATTAGTTTGTTCATTTCCAGCTTCACTAATTTACTGGATTTGGTTGTACGTTCGACTTTTGATCTCTTCGTTCCGTTCTCCGTTGTTGGGTCGAATAATCGTTTGCGTGTTCGTATCGTGATGGTTGCCGTACTTGTTCTTAGATTGTCTTGGTTAGTGGTTAGCGATTTTGCTTCCTTCTGTGCTGGGGTGTTTTACACACACAAGGAAGCATTTTAGATCTATGTTTGTAAGATGCTTGGAATACTCTTTTCAACTCATATGGTAAACACGTTTTGATACACAGAAAATCACCTCCCGGTTGATAATCAGATATTCGGAGGCTCAAATCTCGGCACAGTTGCCATCATCCCTGCGTCAGAGGATGTCCCAGTCTCAAACTTCTCATTTGAACTCAGCTTAGCTCTTCATACTATCGGTAAGTACATAATGAAGGAGAAGTTGGTTTTGCTCCACCATACTCTCTGATTGGACAGCAAATTTCGCGCCAAAACTGAAAGCAATCGCGACATGGTCACTCTTGTTTTCCCGCGCTTAAGGCAGTTTGCTTGTTCTACATCGAGTTCTCATTGGCCGCTTATGATGTTTTTCGGCCAGTGTAATTACCTTGATTGTAGGTTTACGGTACTCGGTCGAAGTGACATATAGAAAGTAAGCCAGTGGACTGAATTGCTACATACAGATGGTCTTATTCCAAAGGTTAAAGTTATTTTAAATTTTAGGAATAACTAGAAAAGATGTTCAGGGTCAACACCGGAAAGACTGTTACTCTAAAACCATCACAAAATCTTGGAGTGTGGGTTTGCTATTCACCTGCATGCAGGTTTACTGATTTGGAATTTGTTTGTTTGTTTGTTTCAGGCCCCACCTTGTTGCTGACCAGTTCATTGGTCCGAAGCAGGCTTGGTAGCTCAGCGATGGACAGGTATTGAACGGCTTGGAAACTTTTTCGTGGCAAGTGTGTTCTTCAAGAAAGAAACGTTCTTTGTTTCATTCGGAAATGAAAGTTTATCGACGACAGCAGCGGGAGTAGAATTTAATCTTTCTTGGTCTAAATTATTAAATTCCCAAAGAGTGTGTGGGAGGGGGGGTTTAACCACATTTTTCCCTGAACAAGTATTTTTGTTCAAAAATTTCATTTCGCCGTTCGGAAAGGGCGACTTTTCTCTGAGGAAATCTTTTATGTATTTGAGTGCTGCGTTGGAAAGGAATCGTGCTAATGAAAATTTGGCCCAATAAATGTTATTATTAAAAGTAGAATTTCCTTTTGCGTATTATTTAACCTTCTTCTGTTTTGTGTTCCTAGCATGAATGAATACCGTTTGTCCAGCTGGCTTGGACAACAAGAGGATCTTCATCGTATTGTGTTGTATCAAGCTGATACATTTATGTCTGCCTGGACAAAACGCTGTATAAGACAGGTAGAATGTCAGAAAGAAATTTTTTATTTTATTTATTTATGTATAACGATTTAAAACGCCAATGTGGTCTTATAGAAAATCGAAAAAAAAGCAATATAGATAATGGTAAAAAAGGCGTTTTTTTTATATTAGTCCTATTCTGTGGAACTTGTATTTAGCGTTCACCCTTTATTAAGTGGTCACCCTTTATTGAGTGGTCACCCTTTATTAAGTGGTCACCCTTTATTGAGTGGTCACCCTTTATTAAGTGGTCACCCTGTATTAAGTGGTTACCCTGTATCAAGTGGTCACCCTGTATTAAGTGGTCATCCTGTATTAAGTGGTCACCCTGTATTTAGTGGTTACCCTGTATTAAGTGGCGACCCTGTATTAAGTGGTTACCCTGTATTCAGTGGTCACCCTGTATTCAGTGGTCACCCTGTATTCAGTGGTCACCCTGTATTAAGTGGTCAACCCGTCATTCCCCTAGCTTTTATCAACTTAGTTGATCAAACCGAATTATCTTGTTATACTCCCACCGACGCAGTTCTTCAGTTTCTTCAGAAACGTACCTCCTTTACTTGTAATGAATCAGATGTTGTTGATTTTTATTCAACTTTTGCACTGGCAGGTTTTCAGTTTGAAGTCCGAACGGTTTTTAGCTTAGTATTGAGGTTGAAATTAGTATTCTTCCGAAATAGACACTGAAGTACGATGGTGGTCACTGGGGTTGGTAAAAAACCTTAAGCGCCTTAATAGGAATTAGAATTAAGCAAATTGAAAGCTACGGAAATTTTTAGAAGCCGCGAAGGTCAGGTGAATGTGACTCCCAGCGAAAAACATGAACTGACTTTGACGCACGGGAATGATAAAATGACAAACTGAACAATAGGCAGTGTGTGAAATGACACCGCAGCTTCTAGTGGCGTGCCTGAGGGCATGGCTAATTAAAAATTTTTTAAATATCTTGACCACAATTAGTATTAAGAAAACTGAACACTTTGCCGATACCCTTTACTAACGTTCAGCAAATGGCTTCAAATCTTGGAAATTGGCAATTTGGAAAATATTGAAAACTTCACCAGGACTCTTAATGGAAGTTCGACGAGCGTCTCAAAAACTTGAAGAAGTTTATATTTCATAGACACATGGACAAGTAAACAAGGAATAAGTCAATGAACCGTCACAAAGAATTCAATAGAGCATTTGTGAGAATATTGAGAAATGATAGTCAGTCCCAAGCAATCGATTTTTATTTGTTTTGGCGAAACTCTCTTAGAAAATAGTTAAAGGTTCCATCAACTTAGTTACGGGAAAAATTTTAAAAAGTTTGTAATTTCGGCTTATCCTCGGTTCTCACCTAATTAGATATGCAAATTTTTGTGTTTCTTTCAGCGGGGCTGTCCTGGTGTACCGGTACACGGGGGAATTCCTATTGTTTTCATATCCATACATGGAGTCGTAACGCAGTTCGTTAATGTTTCGTTCCATTGTGTACCGGTACACGAGGACACAACCCTTTCAGCGTTCACCAGAAACAAAAACTATCTTAAAAACATGACTTTGCATACGTGATATGCTATCCTTCTATATTAAGATGATGTGATTATCATTCGCAAATTGTCTTTGCAACTTCTGTAAATCATCCTACTTTCGTTTGCCTGAGGGGTGAGGAGGTATTCCGGCATTGGGAACACGGAACTTATCTTGGTCTTCCATGGTGTTGAAGTCCATGCCGGCACTGCGTTTTCCCTGCGGGGGAAGAACGAACTTATCTTGGTCTTCCACAGTGTTGAAGTTGATACCATTAGTGTGTGTGCCCGGGGGAAAACCGAACTTATCTTGGTCTTCCACAGTGTTGAAGTCAATGCCGGCACTGCGTTTGCCTGGGGTAGGAATAAACTTATCTTGGTCTTCCACAGAGTTGAAGTTTATGCCGGCGAAACGTTTGCCCCTGGGAGGTGCAAACTCATCATGGGCTTCTACACCGTAGAAGTTGTCGCTTCCCTATAATTTGATTTCAAAAAAAAGAAAAAACTATTGTTAAAAGACAAATTGGCATCTAGCAAGAATTTTCATTGTAGGTGTTTTTTTTTTACTTATTTGAACGTTGAAAATGAATGGAAATAATATATTAGCACAAGCCACACAGTAAAAGTTATAATAAGCCAATTGATCATTTCTTATTCCTTTTGGCGGTCTTATCTTACAGGTATAATTTAGCACGCTCGACACCTCTTTTACTTAGAGGTGACTTAAGGTGTAAACATGTAGTAATTTTCATCTTCCGCACTGAATTTATAATCAGGTAATTTATACGCATAGCACGTAGCTCTTTTGGGGGCGGTACCTTGGGTACGCCCTTTCTTCTCCGAATTTTCTGTTTGTTCTGTCGTTATGTGACAGTCTTCGAGGACCATTTTCTCTCAGGATATTTCCTCAACTTTGATTTTAATTCTGTTAGTAAGTTTATTATAATTTTTATATTATCAATCTGGTTTTTGTTTCGCTCGACCTTGACCGTAAGACTAAGAAATTTAAGTTAGAAAGTCATTTTGTAAAGTGTAAACATCGCGAAGGTATCTACTTAGTATGCGAACTCCGCTCTGCATAGATTAGCGTGATTCGCTAGTTAAGTGTAAAAGTATGACGAAGGTTAGAGATTGACAGCACAGTAAGCGTCACCTTTATATGCGGTGACCCACACTTTCCTAGAGAGACCAGAGCCAGTCCCCGTTGTATTGACTTGCGTAAAAAAAGAGAGAATAAAAGAAATAGTCAACTGATCGACGAGTGTTAGGAAATTACTTCTAACACTATAGAGCATCTTTCTAGTGAAACAAGTCAAAACAGCGATCTTACCAGATGAATTTAAGGACAGGTCACGGTGGTTAGATTTCTTACCTCTTCGTTGAGTGATGCCCGTTTAAAACGCTTAGAATCCATTGTTGGAATTGCGATGAGGACAAAGAGGAGCGAAATCACCAAAGGGAACTTCATTTCTTTAAATTTTCGTGCGACCTGGTACAAATGAAAATAAAAACACGTTTTTTTTGTAACGAGCTTACATCTCGCTGGGTCGCTTGAGCGCACTCAACAGGATTTCTAGTGGCGGTACACATCTAGCCGCGTAAGACGCAACATTGTGTCAAAAGGAACGACAAGAGTTGATATGCTCTTTGTTTATTAGTTTTCATGTAAGTTAACTATATAGTCATTCAGCCGTGACACGACCAAGACTTCAGGCCTTCGTGAAATTTTATAAACGTTTAAAGAAAGATTTTAAGCATAATGCTCGAGTTTAGGACAAGGAGAAAAGACCTGAGTAGTTATTGAGGATTCTGAACCGCCCGGACCGTCACGGTTTTCGGATATTTTACTAACTGAGCGATAGTCGATGGCGAACAGTATTGTTTGAAGCATTTTTAAGTTAGAGTCGAAACACTTAAAGACGTCATGAACATACAAGAGCTTGACGATGCCCATGATCCGATGATCTCCTAAACTTCCCAAATTATGCTTGTTATTAAACCTTTCTTACCTTTCGATCCTGTACTTCAAAGCTTCTAGCTAAAATTTTATCTCAACTCAGTTCTCGTCGACGAATATTTGGTCCTTGTGAGAGAACAAAGTCTTTACATGTGCAGGAGAGAAACACGCTCGCGTTGCGTAGCGGGACCAAATAACGCTGGAAGAAGACTAAAGGGAGTGTTCTCGCTCTGGTTCAATGATATTGTAATTTTTGTTTACTTAACATGGTTTTTAATTTAACATGCCTAATATGCTTAAATGCTTTTCAAGTCCCGGCCGTCCTTGAACTTGAAAGAGTCTTAAGGTCTGAATTGTCGATATAAGTTTCGGTGTTCTATTATAAGATATCATCAGAAAACTATGGAAGTGGATTCTTAAATGATGTGAGATGTCTGAGGGACACTTGCATTGCGGACCGTAAATGATCACATTTTGGCCACCCCTGACTGGTGTTCATTGTTAGGGTAATTATGCAAAAATGAAGTTTCTGTGACAGAGAAATGAGATTGCAAGCGTGACTCAGTTTTGGAGGGTGGTTTTAAGACATTTTCAAATTGCTCCTTTACCTAAAGGCGATGTCACTGACACAGACTGTGAACAAATCACTTTTAATGAGCGAATGGCTAACGAAAGGCTAACGCTTGAAACTTTAGCCGTAGAAAATCTTTACAGTGGTCAATTTGCATTATATATCAACTTAGTTGATCAAACCGAATTATCTAGTCATACCCCCCACCGACGCAGTACTTCAGTTTCTTTAGAAACTTTCTTTACAAACTCCTCCTCTACTTGTAATGATAAATTTTTGTTGATTTTTCGTCCGAACGGTTTTAGCTTAGAATTGAAGTTGAAATTAGTATTCTTCCTAAATAGACACTTAATTTCAATGGTGGTCACAGGGGTTGGAAAAGAACCGTAAGCGCCTTAGTAGGAATTTGAATAATGGCGTGACTGATGGCATGGCTAATTAAAATTGTTAAAATAACTTGACATGAATTAGTATTAAGAAAAGTGAACACTTTGCCCATACACTTTACTGATGTTCAGCAAATGGCTTCAAATCTTAGAAATTGGCAATTTGGAAAATATTGAAAACTTCACAAGGACTCTCAAGGGAAGTTCAACAAGCGTCTTAAAAACTTAAACAAGGAATAAGTCAATGAACCGTCACAAATTCAATAGAACATTTCTGAGAATATTGGGAATCGATGCAGTGTTAGTGTTGAAGATGATACCAGCACTGCGTTTGCCTGCGGGAGGAAGAAATTTATCTTGGTCTTCTACGGTGTTGAAGATGATGCCAGCACTGCGTTTGCCTGTGGATGAAAGAAATTTGTCTCGGTCTTCCACAGTGTTGAAGTTGATGCCAGCAATGCGTTTGCCCGGGGGAAGAATAACTTATCTTAGTCTTGCACAGTGTTAAAGTTGATGTTGGCACTGATTTTTCTTGGTGAGGAATTAACTTATCTTGGCCTTCCATGGTGTTTAAGTCCATGACGGCGCTGCGTTTGCCTACGGAAGGACTTAACTCGTGTTTATTTCAGCGGTCACCAGAAACATAAAAACTATCCCAAAAAAACATGTCTATGTGTACGTGATGCTACTTTAAGATGATGTGATTATCGTTAGAAAATTCTATTTGCAACCTCTTTAAATCATCCTACTTTCGTTTGTGGGTTGTATTGGAGGACCGAAACTCATCTTAATCTTCCTTAGTGTTGAAGTCTATGCCAGCATTGCGTTTGCTTCTGGGAGGACGGAACTTATTTTGGTCTTCCACAGTGTTGAAGTCGATACCGGCAACTTGTAATTTAGGTCGTCCACAGTGTTGAAATTTATATCAGCGATACGTTTGCCTATGGGAGGTCTAAACTCATCATGGGCTTCCACACTGCAGAAGTTGCCAAAAAAGAAAAAAAAGTATTAAACATCCACCAAGAGAAACAAGTCCAAACAGCGGTCTAGCTCGGTCTTACCAGATGAATTTAAGGACAGTCTACGGTGGTTAGAATTCTTACCTCTTCGTTGAGTGGCCCCCACTTCGCAGGCTTAGAATCCATTGTTGGAAATGCGATGAGGACAAAGAGGAGCGAAATCACCAGAGGGAACTTCGTGTCTTTAAATTTTCGTGCCACCTGGTACAAATGCAAATAAAAACTAGTTTCTTTTGTAATAAGCTTACATCTTGCTGGGTCGCTTGAACACACCCAACAGAATAAGTGCTGGCAGGACACATCTAGCTGCGCAAGACGTAACACTGGGTCAAAAGGGAACGACAAGATTTGATATGCTCTTTGTTTATAAGTTTTCCTGTAAGTAAAGTACTCAATTATTCAGCAGTAGTATAACCAATACTTCAGGCCTTCGTGAAATTTTATAAACGGTTAAAGAAAGATTTTAAGCATAATACTCGAGCTTGGGATAAGAAGGAAAGACCTGAGTCTTCATTGAGGAGTCTGAACTCGGATCGTCACAGATTTACGGTGGGATACTTTACTAACTGAGCGACAGTCGATGGCGAACAGTATTATTTGAAGCATTCTTAAGTTAGAGTCTAAACACTTAAAGACGCCATGAAGATTCAAGAGTTTGACGATGCCCAAGAGTAGCAAGACTCTCTCCTAAAGTTCCTAAATTACGCTTGTTATTGAACCTTTCTTACCATCCTCTCCTTCTCAACTCAGTTCTCGTCAAAGAATAGTTGGTCCTTGTGAGAGAGCAAATCCTTTATATCTGTAGGGGAGCAGATCATCAGTTTCCCTCATTGGCTAATGTTAAACAATAGAAAAACGAATCCACAGAGATAGGATGTGCAGTGATCGAGTTTTTCTATTACTTTTTGATGTATATTGAGCCCGGTCCAAGTTACGATGGAGTAGGAAATAACGGGGGAAATCACCCTCTCTGAGAAAGCTTACTCGCACGTTAGTTTGAGGGTCGTTGTCCACGAACTGAGCTGTGCATTAACTTCTTTGTAACTAAATTCTGCCACAACAATGATCCAAGAATACTAGCACAGTCATCAAACGTTAAGTGTTGTGTACAAGTTCGATTGCATAATTTAATAATAATTTTTCTTTGTTTTCCTTTCTTAATTGAACGTATTATTTTGTTTTCCTCTCTCAGGCGGATTCCATTGTCATTGTTGGTGTAGCAGACGGAAGCCCAGCAGTTGGTCAGGTATCAGCTCCAGCAATTTTATTGGGTTTTTATCGATTAATCCTCTCATATTTCAATTTTCAATTGAATTTTGACCATAATGAAGGACTACTTCGTTTTGTCTTTACTACGCCCTCTCACTTGTCTTAAAAAAACTCGATGCCCTCTCGACCAAAACTAGTTTTCCCAGGCTCCAGTCTTTTTTTTTTTTTCGTTAAGTTCTTATTAACCCTTTACACCCTAACATCAGTATTCACATTCTCTATACTGCTCTCTGTACAGTTACTAAGGTGCTGACAAGGAGAATTTGTCTAACAATCAAGAGTTTCTTTAGTTGGTGATCATTTCCTTCATTCTCATGACATTGATGTGTGATTCAGTGGTGATATTGGAAGGAGAAATTCGATGCTGGTCACTCTTAGGGGTGAAAGGGTTAAGTTCTTCTGATATTTTCCTCTCTTCTGATAAACCTTGTGATTACCTCGGTTTTTGGTTTTATCACACTTGATCGAAAAGCGCTTTGATTTGGGACAGTTTGTTCTTCAAGCACTGCTAGGAAAACTTCTATTCTGATAAAGCATATATACCTTACCAGTTTTGCCATTTCACACATTTCTCAGATTCAGCTTGGAGTTTCGAATGTACTTCTTTCGAGTGTCGCTAAACCAAAGCTCGTTGTTTCTCCCTCACCTAAGTTTACCCACGGTTAAATCCGGTCGAGAGTGAATATTTTGAGTTCCTGTAAAGGTTCGCTAAGATAATGTCCTTTATTCTGACTAGCGGTTTAGATTTTCTTAGTTTGGCTCACGGAACACTTAAAGGGCCCACATTGATTGCAAATATGCGAAAATCATGTTTGTGAAGTAATATATCAAACACGAGGAAGAGTGTTTCATCCGATATCCAAACGCCGAGAAGTGGTTGAGAAAACGAGGCGCAGCCGAGTATTTTTTAACCAACTTCAAGGTGTTTGGATATCGGATGAAACACCCTTTCGAATGTTTGATATAGCTTCTCAAACCATTAATAATTCTTGGAGAAAATCAAAGCAAAAAGTCACCAGATTTTATGATAATTAAGATCACATGTCCAAACCTCCTTCACGGTTGTAATTTCCTTTGTTTTCTCAGCATGAATTATTAATGTGTTTGAGAACTGCCGAAGCGATCTTCGCAGTAATGAACACTACATAAGCAGTAGTGAAAATAAGGCCTGTACGGGATTTGAACCCTGACCGCGGCGATAATGTTGCAACACTCTACCAACTGACTGAACAAGCCAACTGGAACTGGTCGTTATGTTGGTTTCCAAATAAACCCGTGGAGTGGTGTGAAAATGACTGTAGAGATCTGAAAATCATACATGCGAACTGTGGACAAAGATATGAACGTGAAAGTGATCTTCGCAGTAATGAACATTACTTAAGCAGTAGTGAAAATAAGGCGCTATATTTTGGCGCAACAAACAGTGTAAATGCATCAAACTATTCAACTCTTTGACACACATGCTTACTTGGGTAATCTCCCGTTTAAAGGCTTAGACAGGATATAAAGTTCTGATGTGCTGGCAAATGCTTGTTTGTTTAACGTGTACATTGTAGAGTTAATCGTATTTCAGTGCGTAGTGATCATTCTGTTATATTTACCTCCCTTTTCAGCTTGAAAAACAGCTGGAGAATATTGGTGTACGATCCCAAAAGGAGCTTATTCTCTTACACCGTGAGGATGGCGCTAAAGGTTTCCGAATTTCACACACTGTAGATTGGTTGAACGCGCGCGGCTGGATCTGCGCTCATCATCATGTAAGACCACGTTTAAGAGCAATTTATTTTGAAATGAGTGTAGGAAGTAATTCGTGGTTGCTTTGGTCTCACTTCACAACACTCTTTAATGATCTAAAAATTTCGCATTGTCCTCTCGACCAATCAAATGTAAAACTTACACAAATCGAATCGTTTCCCTTATTTTCCTGCGCATTCGACAGTTTGCTTGTTTTAACTCTGAGTTCTCAGTTAAATTTCCCTTTTCGCTTATTTTCAATCTCAGATATAATTACTTGCGTTAGATTTTTCCAGCTCCCAATGGAGTACACTAGTTGAAGTATAAGTTCACTTTCTAACGAGATGTAGTAGTTCCACTGTGCCTTGTTGATTGTTAGACTCGTAATGATTACTTCCTCACTTGTTATTTCTAGGTTCGATGTGCTAAGAAAATCTTTGGACGACGCCCGTTGTCTGAAAGGGTAGGAAGGATTTAAAACTACAACATCAGTCATTTTGTTAGCGTATCACGACCGTTTCGATTTGATTGATTGTTGATGTGTCATTCATTTGTTTCTTCATTCATTTTAGTATGCACAAAATCCTGCAGCGTACCCATTACCAGAAAGGTGAGTGTTGCTCTACCTCGATATTACAGTGAGAGCGCGTTTTGACCGAGGTTCGTCAAACCAGAATGCTAAGAGATCACGTCAAAGTAGGACAATTAAAAGTATCACAAGGAGCCAAAGAGCTCTTAGAGCTAACGCGCGTGACCGGAGTCAAACACGAGAAAACGCACGTCATCCAGTCGCCATCGGTTCAACGGGGTAATTAAGTATTATCAACTGAGTTGATAACGTATAAATTGGCCACCATAAAGAGTTTTGAAGCTGACGTGCGTTCGCCCTTCGTAAGAGCGTATGACATTCGGTCTGAAGAAGGGCTAATGCATCAAACGTCGGCTTTAAAACTCTTTCCGGTGGCCAATTTACGTTCATTTCAGTTGATCATACTAAATTACTCTGTCTCTCTCCCACCGACGCAGCATCACAGTTTAGTTAGAAACTTACTCCCTTTATTCAGCTGTCGGTTTAAGTTTTAAATCTGATTGTTTGGGAAGATGGTGCGATATTTGCATACCAATGACAGAGATGAGCAAAGCATAGCAAAACCTATGCAATCTCTATATACTTTCGACTCTCAAGAGAAAAATTTTTCTTTGAACTTATTAATCTTTTTGTTGTAAATCCATACTATCCTCATCTCACTTTATGTTCGAGCCTAAAGCTGATCGCGAAAGTGCCCTAACTTTCAATCTCCTGATAAGATAAACTAAGATTTATCTTAACAACTTGGGCTAATTTCTTTTTATTTTACTCTCAGAAATTCTGATTTTTCCCGACTTGCACGAAGACTTACAGGGACCTCCATTGGATTAATTCTCGGAGGAGGCGGAGCCAGGTAAAATTTTATAGTACAAATTACTTTTTCTTTGAGGATTTCCTGATAGTAGTACATTTGTTCGGGGGGGTAACAGGATTGCGCGCGCCTCCTCTGGTCGAGGAAGACGTCGTATCTTTCATAAGCCATCTCGTGTGAGGTGATTATAGCACTTGAGCTTTACTTTTCGGTTCGTCAACCTTAGGATTTTTTTCGATGCTTCCTAAGAATAAAAGTTAAGGAAAATGCATTCATCAAGATATTTGATAACACAGGGCAGCAATCAGTACCGAAATAAATACTTTAACCTGGCTTCCAGAGTCCAAAAGCGCACATCGGTCTAAGAGAGAGACCGGAGTATGCAGCTTTTTTTCCTTGTATAAATGTCATTAACCTAAAAATTTGTTATTTCCTAGGGGATTATCTCATGTTGGAGTCATCAAAGCATTAGAGGAAGCAGGTTAGACCTTTCACCTGCTTTATACGTTTTTCTTTAAATATTTGTGGACTGTTAGAATTGAATGAGGTAGATAATTAATTTTGAGCTCGGTCTTAAAATAAAGTAGGAAGATGTTACTCTTAGCGCTCGAATCCCAGATCTTTGAATTTCACCGTTCAGTGTTCTACTACTGAGCAACAGAGAGCTCGGTGACGACCTAGGCCATTCCTAGATTCAGTTGTGATAAACTGCATACTACTCGGATCAGTGATGTTAAAAGCGTCGTATGTGTAAATGTTATAACAAAGATGATAAACTTTGAGCTCGATTGTGACAAAACGAACAGTATCTTTCTCTACCTTCTATTAAAAAGCCTTCTAAGTTAGAAAAAGCGTCGTAAAACTTGTGAAAGATGTTACGCTGTGAATTTCTGTAGGCTTTGGAAAGCTTGGTTGTCGGGTACTCCCGAATCACACTTTCAGGTTACGAGAATAAAGGAAATGATCAACATTTTAATAAATTTTTGATTGTTAAACAATTCTCCATGTCAGCACCTAAGGAAATGTATAGAGAACAGTATGGAGAATATGGATACTGATGGAAGAGTGTAAAGGGATTAAGCCACTAAAAGCAAGTTGTGCATCTTTTCCGTAACTGCTTTAATTTCCTTACGGCTTATGTTCTGGGACTCTATACCCTGAGATCACAAACAGTTGCAATACCCAAATATTCTGAATCGGGAGTTGACATCAGATGTATCTTAGTCATGTATGCTTTTCTTGTAGGGATACCTATAGACATGGTAGGTGGCACCAGCATGGGATCCTTTGTCGGTGCAACATACGCCGAGACTGCTGACGTCAACAGGATGTGTCAGAAGGTCCGCGAGTGGTCAATGGTAAGAACTTGTAGAGCAACACTTGAGTGAAACCCAAATAGACATATAGGGATTGACCATCTTTTCCTTACAACGTGATTTGTAACCTAAAGGTTTGGTGTAGTAAGCTGTGAAGAAATTCGCATTAAACTTTGTCTATTCACTTTGAGTTAGTTTTAGTCTTAAGACTAAACAAACGAGAGCTATTCGTACAAATTCCTACCTTTACTGGTTCAACAACCACCTTCTCCAAGGCTCGTAACTCGGCCATACCCTGAGGGAGGAAAGCGGTACGAGTCCTAGGCTGATCTGTGGGTTGTTTGCTAACAAGACAATGTTACTCTCTTTACACTTTGCAGGACATGACGTCTTTATTTAAGAAGATCCTTGATCTAACGTATCCGTTCACCTCCATGTTTTCTGGTGAGATTTTTCATGTAGTACTCTTAATGTGAATCTGAAAAAAGACTGAGCCTGATATCTTCTGACATTTTTTAATTTTTCTTTTTTTTTCCATTTTATATATTTTATTGGTTTTTGTTGTTGTATTTCTTTTAAGATTATTTTGATGTAATGCAGCCATTTATCCTTTCTTCTATTGCAGGAAGTGGATTTAACGCGAGCATTAGAAGTAGTTTTGGAGAGCGTCAAATAGAGGTACAAAGAAAAGGATAACTTAATTGTGTTATCGCGATAATTAACTGCATACAAACTGTATGGTAAGAGATTATTCTTTACCTATCGAGTAACTCTTAAATAGAAAGAATAACAGCAAAACAAACTGATGTTCTTTGTAAACAAACACATAATCACGTAGAGGAAAGTGGAGTTAAACACGACATATCTGGCGGGTAGTCTTCAATACTGACTTTGAAAATGTACCATTAATGTGACCTGTGTTTATCATTTATTTGCAGGATCTCTTGTTGCCATACTTTTGCATCACAACTGACATAACGTCTTCGAGAATGAGAGTACATACCGATGGTAAATAATGCTATATTTGTCTCATTCCGCGTCTTGCAATATATTCAACTTTTTTTTTTCCTTTTTTTTTTTTTTTTTTTTTTTTTTTTTCCAGCTTCTTGACAGATCCAGATCCCAATTGGTTGGATCATTCAACCCTTTAATGATGTATTCTGTGATGTAGCTCACACCACAACAAATACTCACTCCCTCTGAAAAATCTTTGCCGACCTATGAAAACGCAATTAGCCTACCAAACCAGATTAACTCCGCATGAAGCACGTTTAAGACTACCCTATATGTTTTTCTTTCTTTCTTTTTCCCTATTGTTTTTTATGTGACACAATGAAATTTGTGCTTTCAAAATATAGGCCAATTCCCAGTGCAGAGGAATTCAAAATCGTCGGTAATGTGAATGTAGTAAATGCCCTTAACCGTTGCCAATTTTGTGCCACCGATCCTTTACAACCTAGCGGATCTTCCCTTTTTATTTCAACATTTAAGTTCCTCTTAATGAGGAGTCATTTGGTTAACAAAATCGAACTACTTACTTAAAAAATCCACTTTTAAATTATATTCGAGGGGAATGAATTTAACGTAACAGCTTCTTCCCTTTACAGGCTGTTTATGGCGTTATGTTCGTGCTAGTATGTCTCTGTCGGGTTATCTACCACCACTTTGTGATCCCAAAGACGGACATCTGTTACTGGACGGTGGATACGTCAATAATTTACCCGGTGAGCAAGTGTTACCATTTTAATCAAACCACTTTTCCTGTTATGTCTTTTGAGGAGCCTGTAGCTCGCATAAACCTCTCGGTTTCTCTACGAGTTTCCTCGCCACGTTATAATTACAAAATGGCAAAATAAACAAATAGACAAATTTACAGCCGACTCTTGTGTTGTTTCAATTTGTAGCGGACGTAATGAAGACAATGGGAGCACAGACGATCATAGCGATCGACGTAGGATCGGAAGATCCCGATGATCTCACGAACTATGGCGATCAGTTATCAGGCTGGTGGCTTCTGTGGAACAAATGGAATCCTTTTGCTGAAACTGTCAAGGTTGGTGAAATTATACGAGAAGCGATTTTTGTTATTTGATATTCAATGCAATATGCTCTTAATTTTTTTCACTTCGAAAGATTCCAGACATGGCCGAAATCCAGTCCCGTTTAGCCTATGTATCTTGTGTTAGGCAATTGGCGGAAGTTAAAGAGAGCAGTTACTGTGAATACATAAGACCGCCAATCGACAGGTATGTCTATGCAGAATCCTTCACACAATTCAAAACACTTGGAAAGAATAGTCAGATATGGTTTTAGGGTCCGTGCAGTACATGAAAGTGCATCGAGGTTTCTCTGTCGGTGATCGATAATGTGCGACTGAGCTGTTTGATTGATCGAATGAGTCAAAACTGACTGGTGGACAGGCTGACTGAAGCTGACCAATTGACTAATCAACTGATTTCCTGACTTACCTAACGACTGGCTGCCTCACTGACTTGGCGACTGACTGATTGACTGACTGGCTGACTCACTGACTATTTGACTGACTGATTTATTGATTGCAACTGATGGACAGACTGATTGGTGTATTAATTGATTGGTGACTAATTTTTCGATTGGTTGAATGATTTATTGTGTGCTTGCTTGCTTGCTTACTTTCTCGTTTGACGGCTGAATTGATAGATTGGTTTGATTAATGTTTGACAGATTTAAGACTTTGGAGTTCGGTCGCTTCGATGAGATAGTGGTGAGTTGAATTTGATGCATCAAAAACGTTTCATTACCTTGTTATTTTCTACTAATTAAGCTCTCATCTCCCTGATTGTTGCTGTTTCATTGAATTTTCTCTGCAGGATGTGGGATACCATCACGGTAAGACTGTTTTCAAAGGCTGGGTCAGAGGAAACAAATTACCCGATATCTTCAGAGAGCATCCATCTAGGAGTCACATGACCCACGCGTATGCTACTGGGCAACCTGTGGGGAAGGTAAGAAATCAAACTGGAAAAAATTATCTCGCACGGCAGGGCGTGATACTATTGATACGTAACCGTAGCAAAAATGTCAAGAAACAAATTGTTCTTACATTGATAAATAGTTCAAATGCTGGCAATGCATCGTTCTAACCCTATTAACTTGTATATTCAATGAGGCTTAATTTGATCATTAGGATATATTTTCGTAGAAAAGGTTGTGATTATTCATCATGGTGAATAACAATAAAAGCTAAGTTTTTTCGTTTGTCTCACGATGTAGTCACGGGTGATGTAGATCGCGACGTTTCGACTGCATACTGCTAGTCTTCTCCAGGCGATGAAGAAGACTAGGCACCGTTTTTTCTCTTTGAAGCATACTTGACACGATAAAACTAGTTTTGAACATGCTCTTTGAATTGTTTTCGAAGGCGTCAGAGCACAGTACCTTCACTAACTTGGCGGAGCAGATATCCCGGATTGAACCTCCGTACACTCACGAGTGGTTACCATTCTCATCCTCGGATGAACTGCTAGGTTCCAGTTCCCCACCCGGTCACCACATGTACTCGGCCTCGGAGGAAGACGACGAGTACGATGAAGAAGAAGAGAATCTTGTTCGTGTCAGACCAAGAACAGGTTCTCTGTCAGAACACGAAGATTTACTGGCCCTTAAGACGGCTCAATTCCAAGTTGTTCGGCGCGAAGAGGCTGGATATGATGTAAGTTTCATAGTTTTGCTTAAACCTTTAACTCCCATGAATGATATCAATACAATATCAAGTAGAAAAGTGATGAGAATAAAAAAAATATTAACTAAGAGATTACTAGTTGATCCAATACCCAATTCTCCAAACTTACATCACAAGAACTATATGGCAGACAGTAAGGATAATTACTAATGAGATCTTGGGAGTGAAAGGGTTAAAGACGTCAATGTCGTGTACGGTAGATCTATCAGTTTCACGTAACAACTCGTAAGTTATCATCTTGAAGCCGATATAGTCCTTTTTATGTGCGAGTAGATACTGCAGTGCGTCAGTGTACAAACGGAAGCGGTTTCCTGGCTCTGGGTGATTTTATGCTTTCATTTGACTTGATTTCTTGTCGTTCTTTCTTAAGTTTAGCTATGGTTTTAAGCACTAAAAAATACGCTTTACATAACCATTGTAAGGTTTACCTTGACTGACCTTTTTTCTAAACTGTTTTTATTTTCTCAGTCGGATGATACTCATGTGAGAAGAAGACTGGGCTTGCATCATCAACCGAACAGTGAACCATAGAACAAACGTATGGACTCTTAGGGATGGTAGTCATGGAAACGCCAACGCAACCCTCTAAAAGAAAGGAATAGCACCTGATATATGGTGTATTTAGATGACGAGTGTGATTTGGGAATGAAATTCAAATTGTTTGTGGCATGCATTCATTGTCAAATGCAATGCGCGTAATAGTGATAACAAAGCTAACACGGGCGATAGACAGGTCCAAAATATTTTGCACGACCAACAAGGGGGCCTCTCCCCTCAACTAAATCACAAATAATCGATTAATGGCGATCGGACCATTTGCTGTTAAATCCTAGGCTGGGTTAAGAGTCAAGTCAAATTTACCCCTGTAAAGTGTATCAATTGTGTGGAGAACATTAACCGTTTTAATAGGAAGTATGGCAGGTTTGGCAGAGATAATTCACCTCTCAAGTTTCAGTGTGCGTGTGAACTCCAAGTTTAGGAGGTTTGCCATAACATTTACGTAATTTTGGTCTCTTTGTAATAAGGGAGTGTAGCGTATAATGCCATTGAGACAACGTTGAGAACTTTTAAGGAAATAATCAGGAATAATAAATAGCGCCCCCCACCCTTATGGAGATAGTGATGCGTTTCCTCAAAGAGAGGAAACTTGTGTTTGCATAACAATCATTAACTTAATCATTAACTTATTTGATATTCGAATAAAACCTTTTCCAAAAGTGCATGACACTACCTAGCAAAGGTCTTCGTCGCAGCTGCTATATGTAAGTAATACGTTGAGTACAGTTGAGTCCTTAAGTACCAGAAGAACGGCATGAAATTAGTTCAGTTTTAACAGTTCCAGATGCAGCAATCTTAAAACATTTCTCTCCTCTTTCTTTTTCTTTCTCTTTTTTTTCATAACAAAATGCATTGTGTTATCAAAGGCTTGACTGCAGTTAATAGTAAGTATTGCATTTATGCATTTATTCAGTATTGCTGTACTCAGTGACGGTTGAAAACTGACTCGTCTCCAGTCGTCCACGCTGTAGTCCACATCTGTAGTCCTCAATGTCGCTAGTGAATCGGCAAGTGTATTCAACAGCGTAGCAACAGCTGTATACGAGATTCCTAATTTCTTAGCAAAAGAATCAGAATAACTTTTCCGTTTTTAAAGTTGAAATGCAAATTCGAATCATGAATATGAGAATATGGATTTTTTTCTGACTTATCTCCTCGGAATTTGTAGCGCTTTTAAGGACAAGTTCATTGCTTATTGATAAAAATGCCCTTTAAGATCAGTTTATTTTTTCTCATTCCTGCATGAATTTTTTTCATTGACATGCAAAGAGAAGACAAATGCTGACTTATTTTAGTACTAAATGTGGGAAAAACACACTAACTGAAGCAGAAGTGGAAAATTTCTACACATCACTTGAAATGTAAATGATTGATATTTGTAATAAAGAATTTTGTTTGCTTATTGTTGGTTGTTATTATGAATTGTAACCCCATGAAGTGAGTCAAAATGAAGTTATGAAATGCATCCATCTCCAGTTGTTTCCTCGTTATGGATGAGTTTTATCGAACACAATGTAAACTGATGTATTCGTGAGTTTCCCCTACGGAAAGGTTGTAATAGGTATAATGAGGTAACATGTGGCTACTATGCCTAGATTGCATCAGTTTTTCAAAGGTTTCACCCTGTAGTGAAACATTTAGCTAGATGTTGCTTGACTCTTGGTTGCATAAAACAGATTGCTCCAAAGTCACATTCGTCTATTAAGGGTCGCCGAGTGGTACCTCCCTTGATCACCTTGTTTCGCCCAGATTCTCGAAAACCAAACCCCTGTGAGATTGGTCACGTACTGGATCCTGTTTCTAGGGAGTGCCGAAGGGTAATCAGCATGAAAAGGGACATCGACAAGAAACTAACTTTACCTTTCTTTAACAGATATAAAGTTTCTATCGAATTTGAATCTCAGTTTGGTAAAACAGATGGGAATCAATCAAAAAAGTAATAACACAGACTCTAGAGTCTGCGTTAAGAAATTGCTCTGCAGAAATACTTTCCATAAACGTTCTAAATGGCACATCTATATCTGCAAATATAGTGGTTACCTTCCCGCAAAGTTACCTGAGTCAAACTAACGGCTCAATTACTTGCAATTTAACAGTAGGGAATATGCCTTTCTCTGTTGTCAAGGAGGAGTGGGTACCTTTGTTATGTGTCACAATTGACATTTACAACCAAAGTGAATACTTGGTAATCACGAACGCTGACTCCGCTATTTATGTTAACAGCACGAAAGACAAAATTCTCAAGACAGACTACTGGTCAAACCAAACTGAGTCTAGAAATGGATCTGTTGTTCCTGTGGGTGACGTTCATGTCTGTCGAAAAAGCGTCATATTGAAGTGTTCTGGTGTCTTAATTCAGCTCAAGGAAGAGGAATACGTCATTTTAGGAAACGGATCTTTGTACAGAAATAACTCAAAAGAAGTATACGGCATTCATGATTTCGTGATAATAGACGGAGAGGCTACAATCTGCATCATCCCTTCGTCTGCTGATAGCAACACTTACACGGCACTTCTGATTTTAATTTACGTTGGAATCAGTCTTTCTATTGCCTGCCTTTTGCTTGTGCTCTTTACGTATTCCATTTTCAGGGAACTGCGTACTTTGCCGGGTATTAATTTAATGAATTTGTCCATCTCTTTGCTTTTCGCCCATTCCTTTTCCATGATTGGGGGTGTGAATCAACAGCGACAGGTTTGTACATCAATTGCTGTTCTAACCCATTAATTTTACCTTGCATATTTTACTTGGATGTCAATTATCGCATTTGATACCTACTACACTTTTTCCAGAACCTGTCGCACCCGTCAGAGAACAGCCAATCGGAAGGGTTGCTTCCTTGCCATTGGTTGGATTCCTGCCCTTTTGTTTGTTGCTATTTGTTACTACCTCGACCAATCAGGGTTAGTTGCTATAGGATACGGTAGCATGAGTCACTGTTGGATCAACAATACCAAGTCTAACATTTTTGTTTTTGTCATCCCGGTGGCTCTCTCCATTTTGTTAAACGCGATCCTGTTTTCGTTGACGGTTATTTCCATTAACAAAATAAAAAAACAAACTTGGGTAATCGGAAATGCTGCAAACAATCGAAAACAGGTTGTGTTGTTTTTAAAGCTCTCAGTCTTGATGGGATTCACGTGGATTTTTGGATATCTATCGATTCTTGTTTCTAGTTACTTTGATTATCCATTTGTTGTATTCAACTCACTTCAAGGAGTTTTTATTGCTTTTGGGTTTGTGTTCACAGGCAGAGTGTTAACAGCCGACAAAGTATTATCATCAACAGCACAAACTTACGATACTCAGATATAGGAATCGGGTAATTCGGTATTATCAGCTGAGTTGATGACATCAATTGGCCTCTGTAAAGAGTTTCAAAGCTGACGTTTCGAGAGTTAGAACTTCCCCAGAGCGAAACGTCAGCTTTGAAACTCTTTTACGGTGTCAAAATTACTTTATTAACTCAGTTGATAATGTCAACTTACCTTATTTATTTACAAAACCACAAAGGAGAGCATATCGGTTATTTACCGAATGTGAAGGCCAAAACAAATAATTTATGACAGAATTCAATAATTGTTCGACTAGTCACTCTGCCAGTGCAAGGAGGTGATCTGCCCTTTTTCAAAGAAGTGCATGCATGAAACTCGGCATGGGCTGAACATAATTTAAAGTAAAGCAAGGGCGCTAAATTTCGAAATGGCTGCTCTCCTCGCGTTTTGCCAATGTCACGCAAGAAGTGTTCAACGAGATAACAGAAAATACAATTCTGAAGAGCACATAAGATGCTATTAAGTTTAGCCAACAGTCTTCCAACGGTTTTTGCTAATTAAATTAGATTAGATAAACCTGTTAAATGCTTGTCTCGATACGAGCAATGAGAGGAATTGTAACAGAATTATTTCAACAACAAAACGAATTTACAACAGAATTCAAAAACACATAGTGAGCAAGTATACTAAAACAATTATTAGCTGGTCACATAGAGGACTCTCCTCACACGAAAACAAAGAAAAACACTCTGGATAATAACCTACAACAATGAACAATGATTATGAACTATATTTCAGTAAAACAAGTTTTTAATATATTATCATTTCCAATGGATAAATTCTGAGATAAATAGAAGTATAGACTAAATATCTTTAAAGTAGAAATAAAGTTCAAAACTATCTGGGAAACCAGTAGATGCACATAGATACCCAGGTCCCAGTTATACAGTGGCATTAAATGTCAAAATATAGACATAATCAAAATCAAAATGGGAATACCAAGGACACATTTTAAAAGCAATTATTGTTCACAGTTAATAAAATCATTCAATACCACAGGTATCATAAGTCTTGATTTTTCATGGAAATTTACAGTATTATATAGATTATAAATAGAAAAAAAAAACTCCAAACCAAGTGATAGCAAAATCTGATCTCCAATGGAATGTTTCAGTCACCCACACCAACACTATCTAAAGTGCAGAGCTTGTCAAACAGGGTTCTTGTCAGAAAGAGGGAATCAGGTGCAAAGATCTGATGGTTACTTCTCTCTTCTAGCTTGCCATTCATTTGTCTTGAAATAATCAAGACTGTTTGATGGCTTATCACAATAACAACCTCTCTTGGACTGCGTCCTTAACTGTTTGCAAGATAATGTATTAAAATATAAAATAATCAAGATTGTTTGATGGCCTATTGGAATAACAACCTTTCTTTGACTGTTCTCTTAAATTGTTTTCTTGATAATGTACTAACATTATAGGGATCCATCTGGAGGATTTATGAGTTAATCGCATGTTTAACTGACAAAATGGGAGTAAAAAATATAACCAGTAATGGAAGTGACCTTTTCTTACCATATATTGCCCTAAATTTATGATACATTAAAGGTTTCTTCCTTGTGCACTGTAACCCTGTCACTAATAGGAATGACCAAGAAGTACTTTCTCCATACAGAATCAACACATCGCCAAGCAGACAGGTGAGGAGAATAAAGAAAAATATCAATGTTGGGATGTTGTTTGATTTAAGACTGAAGGTCTTAAGACCAAATTCTCAGAATTAACAAGACAAGAAAATTATGGTTGATAATAACAACTGAGTTACTTTTCTAGGAGATCTAGGGAGTAAAACGGTTTAAAATTTAATAAACAAAGTAAAATAAATTTTTAGGCACAATGTGCTTGAACACAACAAATCTGCTCAACATCCTTAACAGCTGAGCCTAGCTCCCTGATCCTTTCAGTTTGCTCTCATCATCAGCAGTAACTACAATACATGGACATCATGCTTTTGTCCTCTTTCATACACTGGTTTCCAGTTAAGTTCAAACAGCCTAAATGCCCTCAGTAAGGAACCCAGCTGTGCGATAAAGACACTACTGATGTCCATTAATGGTTGTAAAAGGTTTCTAATGCCAGTTAAAACATTCCGTGTGAAAATCAAGGTAGGTTGAATAATGCGGTTAAAAACCAGAGCCAAGTATGGTTTTAAGAAATGATCTCCAACCACAATGATGATTCCCCCAAGTATGCGGAGCAAAACATAGTGGAAGACAAACCGTAATAGTTCCAATACAAAGATGAATGCAAAGTCAGTGATGATGCGAACTGCACTGAAAAACTCCTGCCAGAAATAGTGAAGCCATTTTTCAGATCTACAAAAGAAAAATTGATCATGAATGTATCAGTAAACCTGGATGATCAAAATATTAATTATAATTATAATAAATTTATTACCAATTATCACTGACATATTACATTCACATTGTGTTTTTTTTGGTCTCTTATACTGGTTGTCTCAGTCATACAAAACACACATCCCATGCAGTGGCCATTGTGTACTGTGCACACTATAATTGCTGATAAAGAAACAGTTGAACACTGACTTAAATACATCGCTCTTTCATAATATGTAAACCTAATAGGTTGAATTAAAGAGGATGTCAGGTTTCAAGAGGTTTTGAAGTAACAATTATAGGGGTGGGTGATCTAAAAGTCGTGCACACACGTGCGTTTTTTTGATGTGCACGATTTTTTTTATTTGCAATTGCATGCGATTTTTTGTGCATTTTATTCGCGTTTTTCTGTTAACGTATACGCAAGCAGTACTGTACATGTATAGCAAATTAACTGCCACTGAAAAAAGGGATTTTACCTGTCTGCTACTCCTTTCATGTAAGCTTCTTTCCATTCTGGTCTAACATCAAGATGATGGTTGTGACCGTGATCAAAATAATATGAACACCTACAGGTAATCAATTGTTAATCAATTTTATATTACCTCAAAGCACAATAATTTCCCTCTACTGATATCAAAGTCTACCACATGCATATTGAAAGCTGTATGTTCAAATCCAATCCATCTTACTGCTGTAAAGCCACTTCTAGAGATGCATGAGTCTGCATAAGGAAAATCACCAATGACAAAACAGAAAACTCTGCAGAGCACATCTCTCTTGTGTGGGTTATGTGACTTTCAGTGTGAGGGTAGTTTTAAGAATAACAACACTTCCTGTCTGATACAGTGTCTGATGTTTCGATGACCCAAGCCAAAGTCAATATCACAATCATCTGACTAATCGTCCTCTATAACTGTCACACATACAATAAGATAGACAACATCCATCTGTAATATTCAAACAACTTAAAAGTAATTTTGCATATATACAAATTGTATTCATGAATGAACAGGAAAGCAATTGCTGATTATTACACAGACATCAATCACTTACCCACTTATTTTTCTTTCACTTTCCAGAGGCACACAGCATGTTTCTAAACTCAGAACCTTGTCATGATTCTCTACTATGGCTGTTTCATGTTCTGGGTGTACACTTTTTTCTTCATGGTTATCTGCTTTGGAATTTTTTTGGCGGGGTGTCAATGGTTCTCTGCTATGTGACACCAATTCTTGTTCTTGTTCACTGTCAGAATCCCAAGAATGGTTCCCATGATTTGCTTGCTTGGTTGTCAAATAAGATGACTTGACTTTTCCCACCTTAGGTTTCTCACTTTGTGTAAGTTTTCCAATATTTTGTTTAGGGAGATTGGCTGACGTAAGAATTTGAAGAATAAACCACCATTACAAAAGAATACTCAGGGGATGAAAAAGATAAAAATTCTACTCCTGACAGTAAAATAGTTATCAATGACCAGCAGGACAGAAGTCATTTTGGCATTTTAAAAGCAAGAAGAGGCAAGCATGAGGCAAGTGCAACCCATGAGACACACAAAAGCAGAAAAGCATAATTTTTTTGGCTTGCCTCTCTTTGCCTCTAAGATGCACAAAAATGTGGCCTATTCTGCAGGCTATAGCCTGTAGCTTTTTAAGTGCAACAGTACCTTGAAAATCTGTAAATGGTGGATTATGTCCATAATGATCCACTTCATTCATTTCTAAATGGATTCCTTCATTTTGTCTTCCCAGTCTGTCTTGCTGCAATCTATTCTCATTCATATCTGGGCTCAGCTCCTTGTTCTGACGATTCTCCAAGCCACTGTCAGCACTCAAGCTCCTGTCAACAAAGGTGGTAATTCCAGGTTTACCATATAGCTGACTTGGTCTGTTTGATGCAGGTGTCCCAGGTTTGGATATGGGCTGTGTTACTGGTGAATTAGTTATTGAGTTTTTCTCTGGGGTTGCTGCCTGTGACTTAATCTGAGGTCTCTTCTGAGAAACATGCCCCTTTGGAGAATGAGGTGGAGGGACTGGTTGGTGTCTGGGAGTTGAATCAGGGCTAGAGGTTGGTTCTTGGACATCTCCAGGAAGGCTGTCCCAGTCAGAGTCACTTTCAACTTCTTCTGTTTTCTTTGGTTGAAACTGAAACATAACAGCAGTATTTAAAATTGTGTGAAAGAGAAAGACAACTATAATTGACAGTTGATACCAAAAAAGGACTCTATCGCTACTACTATACATGAATATTTACATGTTGTTGTATGAAACTGAGAAGTTATGCACAGCTGTAACAATGTTTTGTAATGGATCTTTCACTTCAAGGTCAAAATTAAAACACCTTATCATATGGCAAGGTAGTCCTGAGGTAAATCCAAATGTTCTGATAGGTTCTTACTAGATAAGGATTTTGCCATACAGACCATTTCTACAGAAACAGTCGTGAGCCCACTTATTTGCTTCCCTTATGAGAGCTGTACCTGTAGGGGAATGTTGGCCTTCAGTCGTTTTTGAACAGACCTCACTGTGCTCTGTCGTTACTACCACGACCTTAAAGCCAATATTCCTCGGTACAGCCCTTGCCTGCGGTTAATAGGAAAGTTAATATTCTACAAAAAAAGGTCCCATTCACCACCTGTTGTGAAACGGTTGTGCAGTTAAAAATTGAAGAAGAGGAAGAATTCGGCCTCATAAATGTATGACTCAACAAAAACTTGCTATACGTCTTTCAAAATGAGACTAGATATTGCAAGAGTATGTGCGTATGATATATAAGTATGGCATCGCACACGTGTAAGGGTGATATTTCATTTCAATTCCTCTTTTTCCTTTACTTGTCGTGATGTAGATGAGTTTACTGCACCTTTGAGTAACATAACCACATCGGAAAAAGAACTCAATAAATCACATGATCATGCGCCAAAGATTAAGTTCACGATAATTTACCACTGTTTAGAGAGCGGTTGCTATTCACTGACCATAAACAGATGCTATGGAAATAACCTTTGGCAGTCCCGCTCGCGATCACGCAGTCAGTAAATATACACAGTAATTTTCTTCGTCAAATCTGACGTATTTTCAATGTGAAAATCATCATCACGACATTGAAAATAGCTTTAGGAAGTATACCATTATTTAATATACAAGCAAAGAGAAGAGACCTACCATAATTCCACGATGCTATAGCAAATGAATCCTGAAGATTTCAAGTGTAACACTATTGCAGAACCGGTGACAACGCCAGATTTCGCCAAAAATGAATTAAATTTTTTTTCCATCAAGACATACCATCAGTCTTTAAAATAGATCCGCGCAAACAGCTTTTCATTCTCGAGGAAAATGGTACGCTAATGGTGAAAAATTAAAGAGGAATACGGTGTTAAATCTCACACCGTACTGTTTTAGCAACAATCATCGGCAGAAGTTAACGTGCATTCTGGGTAGCTTTGATAAGCGAAAAAACTGGGAACTAATTACTATCCGCGCGAATTTCTGTCAAGGAAAACATGTCCACCTTTTGTTTATTTGTTTTGAGGATTTTTGTTCGGGTTTTGTGAGTTTTCTTCGAGGTCATCCAAGTCAAATAGGTGCAAATAATTTATTTGAAGTATTGAGCTACTTTATGAAAGTACATGCGTGGTGCCATGGGTACATAAACGATTTTGGTATCCACAGATGCTCATGATGTTAAAGTTTTATACTTCCTCCAAATCTTGAGTCAGCAGTATTCCACAATGATAACATGGCAACAGCATGGAGGAAAAAATGTTTGGATGGCTTTGAAAAACTTTAAGGAGCAGAAATGTCTGTGAAAGTGTGACGACGATTAGGGTGATCGACTCTGGTTGATGCATAAGCGTAGTCAACAAAAATTGATCAGGGCCATAAATTAATAGACGCTAAAAGAACAAGCATGGACAGCACCAACAGGTTAGTTGGGTGCATAAATGTAAATTTATGATGAGTAGAGCTATGAGTTGATTTAGAAACAGATGTGTCGTCATTAAAGCATCATGACAGGTGTCTGCAACAAACTTACAACTGCCATGATGAATATAGTCTCACAGCTCCGTTAAATTACAAAAACTATATGTTGATCAGCTAATTAGTACTCAAACTGATAATAATATTCTAGGTTTGTTTTTTTTTTTTCATTTTGTGCCCAGCTACGATGCAGTTTAGAAAACCAGGAAGTGATCAGAGTTATTTTGCATCCTTTAAATGGTTATCTTTCTTGCTTGTTACTGCAGAGCTTTGAGGGAAAAGATGAAAAAGAGAAGGGCTGCAATGGAGGTAATTGATGTACAGTATATTTCATGATCAGTGGTGATGTATTCAGCTGTTTAGGAAGAAGTATGCATTAATTCCCAGATAATTCTGGAAAAAGTTTTCTTTCTAGTAACATTTAGTAAAATGTAGTTACATCTCCATTATCTTTCAAATACACAAACAGGCCACAATTATGTCAGATACAGGCTCGTACAGATCTGATGCTGAGGATACTCTACAGCGCACAGTGACTCCAGCTCGCAGCACAGACACGGTTAGTTTCTGTAGTTGTTACCCCTTGCCCATGTCAATAGAAAATTTTTGAAAATTTTATATTTGCTATAGAAGAAATTTGCTGAAAGTATTAAAGTAATGATTTTCTTATCCATTCACTTTTCTATTTTTTCTAATATCTAGCTTTCTTTTCCATATAAATCAATACTACTATAGCATGAGACTATTGCACTGCGTTCAGGGTATAGATTATCGACCAAATGTGTTGTTAAGATGGCAGGAATATCAATTAAGTTTTTCTCCTCTATTTTTGTGGCCAATATGATGTCAAAGTGGGTATCACCCTTAACATGTAAGATAGGTCCATCTTGCTGGCTTGGACAGCCAATCAGAACACAGGTTTCACTTTATTTTGCCCACTTACATACTTAGACATATCATGATATTCCTTTTTGGATCATTTGTTAATTATAGCCTGTAAGACTAGTAACTGGGACAGAGGTAGAGACTCTTAGTCTAGCAGGAGATACTATGGTTGAGGTGAGCCTTTCAAAAAAATTTAACATGAATTATTTAATTTATGCATGTATATTCCTTTAATAAATTTTATCAGCAGTAAAATGAGAAAAATGCATAATGTTACCTCTACTAATAATTATATTGTTTGAAGTGCAATTGTTTCTCACATTACTTGGTCACTTTCTGATCTGGATTGAACATTTTTATTATTGCATACTGCTAGTCTTCTTTTACTGACAGTCTTGTAAATTATGAATGATGAAGTTAAATATCAGAGTTGTCCTTGGCTGCTTTTCACCTTCCTTCTGTTTCTTCCATTCCTTTTATCCTTCTCTATGTTTACAATTTTAAAAAAGGCATTTACTGGGAAGGTTTTGCTTACAGTCCTTACAGGATCTTGAAGATGATGGGGATATGTTACAGGACCTTCAGACAAGAAGGCAGCAGAGAAAAGAAGAGGTAAAATTTTTGTTAATATTTGTAGGGCTGTGAGAGTGCAGTGTATTTCGAGGAAAGCAAGTACAGGTCATGATGATTCTCAAGATGGTTGGAGTTTGCTAATTATAGCCTTAGTTTATTATTAACTGAATTTGACTTTTATTAGCATAAAAGTGAACTTTTGAGATTAGAGTAAAACCAAGCTTAAATCTTAGTGAACAATGTAATAATTTTTGTCCTTGAGGAGCGAAAACTTTGCAAGGAGTCATGGACATCAGTTGTTATCTTCACACTGGAATATTTCTTTTATTTCTTGTCCTACACTTAAAGCTGTATTTCTATCACTTTTTCAGCTTTCCAATACCTTTGGTGGAGCATGGGGAGAAGAAAGGACCGATCCAGAATCACTATCTGCAGGTTGCCTCTTTTTCTAACTTTTACAATTACATATATAGTTGGTTCATAATTAGCCTAATTACTTGGACTTCCTATGGAAACACCAAACTTTTTAACTACCTTGTAGTTATTGTATATCACCCAAAGAGGCACTACTGGCATGTCTGTGTAGGTGCTGATTATCAAAAACTTTTATAGATGAATGATTAAAGGGGGTGCATTTCTAAAGAAACTGTAGTGCTTTGACAATGAAAGAGGTATAACATGATAATTTGATTTTTAAGTTTCTTTGGTCTGCAACATACATGTAGAATATGAACAGTCAGTCAAAAAGGAAAACAAGAATGCACACGTACAGCTGATTGCTCAAAGGGATGATTTCCTTTTAAGGTTACATGAAGTGTCGGAAACATGGACAAGTTACCATGTCCTGACTTAATCAACCTCTAGTTGATAATCATGTAACCTAAAGAAGAGGCTTTTTCTTTTCAAAGTTTGGATAATGTATGTAAATTGTATATTCATTTTCTTTTTCCCCTTTCCTCAATCAACACTCCTTGATCAGTCTGTATTGATTATTTTCAAAGGTCCCTCCAGGCTTAGTGAGCCAGGTCCTAAACTTCAGCAAATGATGGATTCTGGCAAGTCCTCAAGTCTGAATGCCTCCATAAGAGAAAGGCTCAGAAGTAAAGTGCGAGGAAAGCAGGTATTTCTTAAACACCACATGCAGTACTATTGGTATGGGCATGGCAAAGGAGAGACATTATCTACAGCTAATCTACATCGATTTCCAATTTCAGCCAAGCTTCATTTAAATGATGCATGAGCAGTGAAAGTCCACTGTAACACAAGTATCCTAAAAAAAGTTCCAATAATCATGTAAACATGTAGGAAGGGTTTCCAAATTTATATCAATTTGAATTAATGCACATGTCATGTTTAGTGTTTATTTACAACTTAATAAAATAAGAACTTTTCACCCAAAAAAGGGAAGGGGGCTATTAGTGGATATCCACCACTAACCACTGGCACTGAGGTGAATAGTTGCTTAGTATACATTGAAACAGTAGCTAAAGATAAATTAAATATAGCTCAAAGCGATGTTCTTGACCCATTTGTTCCTGCAATGATTTTAGTATTTTTGGCACAAATCTCACTTGAGTTACCTGTGGGTTAATAGCAATTGATATTTGGAGTTTGAGTAAAGAGTGCACCTTCATAGCTATCCACTCCAACTAGTTTTTCTTATATGTACAAAATGAATAAACATATTGACAGACACACCCAAAATTGTAATTCTCTGAAGTCTGGTTATACCTCTTGTTTTAGGCAGTTCCCAGATCTGGAGATGGAGAGGTAAACTTGTCTAATTACTCTAGATTTATAAAAAGATCTGAAACACTGAAATAAGGCAGAAAAGTTTAGTTGCATAAGAGCAAGAACTTTTATCTTTTAAACCCTTTAACATCAAGATCACATTTGTAATTCTCCCTACTGTCAACCATACAATTCTTATAATGTTAGTTCAGAGAATCTAGTATTGGATCAACTAAGTATCCCCAAATTGAATGATGTTTTTTTTTATTCTCATCACTTATCTGATTGATATTGTATTGATGTTGTTAGGAGAAATTCTGTCTTGGATACTCATGGGAGTTAAAGGGTCAAAGGCAGTTCTCAGCCATTTTAAACTGATTTGTTTTTAATGATAACATTTCTTTTGGTGGAATTTTTTCAGTCGTTTAATATAAAATTACATTCCTCCTTTTGTTTCCATCAGGGCACACCAGAACGAAGACTGCGTGGCCTAAGGGACAGACCTCTACCAACAAGATTTGATGATGCAGGGGTAAGGTGGTCTGAAGAAGAAGGTCCATTTAGTCAAATTGCTTATTTTATGATGACATGAATTTCTATGTTTTAACTTAAATATCATGAAATTTATTATTCAAACTAATTTTTAGCAAATCTTTACATTAATATGGATTTTCTCATGAAGCAGGAATCAATTAAGTTAAATGCAAATTGCCAATCAAATGTGAGGAGTTGAGGTTGAAATTTGTTTGGTTTATAATTCAAGGCAGTTGTATGTTCCACAAAATAATAACTTATTAAACAATATTGGGTGCATTTTCTCTGATTATATACTTTTAGTGTATAGTGTTTGTAAGAATATTGTCAGTGTAACTTCTCCTTGTATCATAAATTTATTACTCTCTTTGGCATACAATCCTGAATTCATTGTGGTGTACAGTTTTTCCTAATACAGTTTACAGACAGTATATGAATATTGCTTTAATTTGTATTAATGAACATACTTTTGATGATATTGTGATTTAAGATTAATGATTGTGGTATTGTCACTCTCCGTTCAGTCATTGATATCAAGGCTTTCTTGCAGAGCCAGTCATATTAATCACAAGACAATCCCATTTCAAGTAAATGAAATATTTTCTCAATGACTTTGATTTCCCTTAGCTTTTACGTGATGTTCCAGAAGAAGATGACACAGAAGATGCTGAACTTCAAGCAAGCATAGCAAGTGCGAACAGGTGGAGAAAGATGGCTGCACTGACAAGACAGAGAGCTGCAGAGGTATTTACATTATTTTGCTACTTCCTAGTTAGTGTCTGGTATTTTTGTTTTGAGCTGAGTCTTAACACTGAATGACAGAAGAACCTGACCCTACACGGTACACATTCGACATGAATAAAATTTAAAATTGACCCTCAAAGAGCTAAATTTGATGATTGTATAATTTGCTTTTGAGACTGTTCAGGCATGAAAAATATAGTGTTAGTAAAATTTACAACTGATGGAGCCAAAAGAATAATTCATACCTCAAAATGAAGTTAATTAATTGTTTGGGGTGCCAATTTTAAATTTTCAAAGGAACTGAGTTACAGAGATGTGATGCCCACTCTTCCCAGTTTTCAAATACATTCATAGTGGTGGTATTAAGAGTTTCTCACAAATGGTATCTTAAAAGGGGTAAGAGTTTTGAACTCGGGGCCAAGTAACTGCAAATAAGCACAATACAGGATGCCCCCTGCTTAAGAAGTTGCAATATTTATTCAGCTTTTCGACATATTTAGAAGTTAAACCCCTTATTTGAATGTATACTTTAGAATCTGATGTAATAGTGTAAGGGAATTTTAAGTCAAAATGAATTAAATATTCTTTGATTAGTATTTTCCATCATTCCAGATAAATCAGCATTCCTTAAATGTGGGAAATTATGAATCTAACTAATTTGAAATAGTTTTTCAATTACAACATGCACACTTGATATTTATATTGTAAGTGTGGTTTTACTGCACTTTTGTCAGGGTATTCCCACAGAAGAAGAAGCATTCAATTTTTTTGTGGGAAAAGAGACAATGGACCAAGACAAGAAAGGAGCAGAAGACACTGAAGAAGAACCTGAGGTAATATAATTATTTGCAGTGCATCAGATCACCCATTCTAGTTATTAATACTTTGGGCATTTTGCTATGATAGTTCTGCAGAATGGAGTTTATAATTAAGTTGTTCACACATTTGATTAATGAATAATTGTTAAGTATACAAAGTACTAATTCAAAAATTGATTGTCTTAGGAACCAACTGAACAACCACTAAGAGAAAATGAACTCTTGACATTCTGGGGCAAGCCTCCCTATAAACCACTGGCAAAACAACTAGAGGATGAGATGAAGCTTTACAATATACCCAGTATGAGATCTGGTAAGATCCTATACTGCTCTTGTAAAGATGTTGTAAAAAAAATACATGTTGTGCATTTTAACTTAACACCTATAGAGTTGTGATGTTGCATGACATTGTATTTCATTAATGAAGTCTAATGCCATCACCATTGGACTGTGTAGTAATTAAGTTTGTTACAATGCATGTAAGTTGTTTTGCTTGCATAGTAGATCCAGAGAAGACAGTTTTCAGTTTCAAAACAACCAGTTTATTTCATACAGTTAAATCATTCCTACATAAGATCCAGGATATTTGCCCCAATAGGTGTGCACCCTCACACCTCGAATTACAGATAAACAGTTCCTATTGTAACAAAAGAGAATACATAATTTAATGGTGCAGTGGAAGAGTGCCCAGCCCCTACTCCCCCAACAAATCCTAATCTTAGAATCAGGTGTAAGGTGACTTTTTTGGTTCACTTGTCATCCTTTCCTGAAGGAGTTTTTCTCAAGGTTTTTGTCCCTACGTAAAAACTTACTCTCTAACTAATGTTTTGAGTAGTAGATAGCAGATAAGAAGAGATACCTAGTGGATTTAAGTTTATTAAATCTGATCTGTTTTTAATCCAGATTTATTTTCATACGTGCCCATGCTATGTCATCATGTTAAGTGTAAATCATTTCCTTAAAACTGGCAAAGAACTGTTTTATAACCTACAAGAAACTACGTTGAGTTGTACTCCTTTTTCAGTTCCATTGGATGAAAAAGTGCCTGAAGGTGCTGAGCCTCGATTTTGGGAAGAAGAAGGTTTCTATGTGGGCAAACCACCACAAGTTTCTCCTGCCAATTTGAACATCATGGAAAACAGGATGAAGGAGGGTAATCAGACCCAATGGTTTGGAGAAGATGGCCAACTAAAGAGGTTATCCTCACCCCTAAAGGAAAAACCAACCAGGCCCCCAGTTATAAACTTTGAGGAGATTGATCCTCTGTTACAAACAGAATGGATAAAGGTATGATTTTGTAAAAGTATAACTCTAATTTTAAAACATTAAGTTCTTCTTAACTGAGCATGAGGGCGGTACTAGAGGATATTGGCCTGAGGTGTGAGGTCTGTACAAAAACATCATATTTCCCAGTGCATGTTGAGGAAGCAAGGTTGGTAAGTAATTTATTACACAGCACTTGGACTAAACTTGTTTATTTTTAATTTGTATCAAAATGGTCTGTATGGCAAAATCCTGACCAAAACCAATCAGAATTGCAATGAGAAGGTCTGAGGTTCAATTCCTTATGGGAACACAAAGTTTTTTCTTCATCCCACACTCGTGACAAGATGAAAAACATCTTTCCTCCAAGGTCTTGCATGTTGCTTGTCAAAAAAATTTAGTTGCCTGTGGCTGTGCTATGTTTTGGGTCAGAGTCTTTTCTTATCTCCTTTGTTTAGGCCCAAGTGGAACCATTTGATGGTAGATTCATAGGCTTAACAGGTAAGATTAAGAACTTGGTTTTGTATGTATTTCTGCATACATTGAATGGCTTTTTCTGCTTCACTATTTTTGTGCTCTGGAGGTTTTAGTTGTATTGTGTTTTGCTGGACCTCTCATTCTTTTTCTTATGTAGAGGAAATTTATTCAGATTGACTGGTTTGAATTTGATCTGGTTTGGTTTAATTAATTTATTTTAAAACACATGACTGGGAGAAGGTCATGTTTTGTTGGAGCAAGCATTTCTTTTTGTTTTGTTGGAGTAGGCATTTCTCCATTTCCTCTTTATTCAGCCTTGATCCTGTTTTTGAGAATCTAGGATTAAAGAATTTAGTTTTGTGGGTTTTTCAACTAGCATTTTAGTCTTAAGGTAATTTACATTTTATGTGGTTACTATTATTTATTAATCATTCATAAATATATGGGTGAAGAACATGAGTTTTTCTTTATTTTCATAGACGAGGGAGATGCTCAATATCAGCTTGATGTTGATTTATCCACTCTGACTTTCACCCATCATCCATTGTTCAGCAAAGAACATGTCTTAGCCTCCAGACTGCAACAGAACTATAAACAGTATACAGAGAGAAGGAGAAAAGCTCTTTCCTTACACTATTCTGACAAGGTGTTGTTCATGTTAACAATTGCATACAAATATGATTAACATGCTTCTTTTGACTGCTTTGTTTTTCAACCCGTTACACTCTATACATTTCCTATGGTGCTGTCAAGAAATATTTGTTTATTATTGCTTTCTCAACCAGTAGTCTGTCTTTCAACTAGTTTTTTTTATGATGAAGTAAGAACTCCACATTGTAGGTGAGGGTAGTCCTGTAGAAGGACTGTTTTGAGCAACCTTGTGACCAGGATCCTGTCTCTTCCTCCCTCAAGTAAGGACACTGGGAATGAGGTTATGCTTTGACATGCACTGTCAATTATGTTTTGGGTGAATTTGACTTAGGTGGTTGAAATGTCATCCTATGTCACAGGACTCCCCTCACCAAGATGCTTACAGAATACGGTCTGTTTTTTCAAACCAGTTCCTGAAAAACTGATTTTACACTTTGCCTTAATATTGATACTTTTCCTTTCAGCTGACAGCATTAAAGATTGCGCTTCATCAGCTTCAAGAAAATGCAGAAAAAGTGGTAAGGTTGCCGTTAGTCTAATTTTATACAATCTCAAGTGTGGTACTTTAACCTCCTAAATATGCTTGACATTTTCAACTCAGACAGCTTGATAATAATTGTTCTGTCTGCAGTGACATTAAACCTTAGCTGTGACATTTGAATGATTTTATGAATTCTTTAAATCACACAGGGAAAAGGAAAAACAAGGGCAATATCAATATCAGATACAAACAAAAGAATAAAAGAGTACAAAAATCAAATCAGGTTTGAGAGAATTTTTTTTTTTTTACTAACATGATTTTTTTATATAAAAGCAAAGGGTGCCATATACTTTCTGCACCTTTCAACGTAGACATAAAATTTTGACAGACTGCACTGTTTTGATATTTTAACGGGTAATGTAATCTTTTGGAAATAGCCTTAAACTGTACTTAAAAAGTCTTGCGTGGAGCCCACCAGTTTGAATATTGCTCAGCAAACCTGCCACCTAATTGTATTGCAACAAAGTTCCATTTTTCTCTCTCTCAACTTTTGACAATTTTTTTGAACAAATGAGAACAATGGTAACCAGAGAGCACTTCCTTGCAAGTTCAATTGTGGGATATCATGCACGTGGGACCAGGTTTCTGACTTTTATCCAAACTAGCGGTCTCCAAAGTTGAATTTTAAACACAAAGAAAATTTTGGAACTCCTAGTTTGCTCTTTGGAATATCATAATTACATGGTTACTCAAGCGTTCTTCTCATTTGAAGTTTTATCACTCATAAAAATATGCAGCCTCTTAGAGGAGGACCCTGACAAAAAATTTAGCTTAAAAAAATGCAGTTGTTAATTCATCTTGTTTTGGAGAAGACAGCTCTCTCCTTCTCTTCGGTGGGTCTTCAATAACAGTCCACTGTAGTGTAGTTGAGCACTCGCTCTTATTTTATTGTTTGTGCCATTTTACTTAGAGGATGTGGAGTGTAATAATGAGGAATCACCATCACTGATATATGAATCACCATGACCACTGAACCCGTGATGTCAAATGTTTCTTTTTTTAAATTAATTGTTGATTTTCATTTGCATTTTTTAACAGACAAACAAGGAAACTAAGAGATGCAGAGGACCACAGCGATAGAATTTTACTTAAGAACATGTTAAGGTAAGTTGGGATGTTTTTGTCTGATACTGATGTCTGAACTTAAGAATATTTTGTTAAGTGTTATTAATGCTGTAGATAAGTATTTTTTTACCATTTCTTATTCTTTGTTTGTGTTAGGTGTTGGCGTGAAATTAAGACTCTTAGAGAATACCAGGGTTATGTGAACACGCAGTTAAAGCTGACGATAAAAAGGTATTGAAATTGTTTGACATTGTTTAGAATACATATTGTACATACCTCTTACTAACTGAGCTCAAGTCCGTAAACAGGTTTGGGAAACAATTCTGGTTACACACAGGTCGTCCTCGGACTGATGCACGTGAAAAGCTGAAAAAGTCAGTTTACACAAAGAAAACAAGATATTCAAACTCTTACTTACTCATAGAAAATGAAGGAAAACTGGCGGTTGATAACGAGACTTTAGCAACTAAAATGGCCAGTAGAGTGAAGCCCTTCAAATTAACTAATCACAGCACGCTTAGCAACTGAGTGATGTACCAGTTGAAGTTTGTGTACAAACTCTAAAAGATAATCAATTTGTTTAGCTGTAAATCGCATCTGTCTACAGCTTCACTGTCAAGAGCATTTTCTACATTTTCTCGTCAAATAAGAATGGTAACAACACAACGTAACAACTTAGGGCTCTAATGTCATACAGTACAACGCCGCACTAAACGTACACCAAACTACACCATTTTAGAAGATTTTTGGGTTAACGCTCTCACTAAAACCTGAAACTCTTGGCCAAAAATGACGTAAATAACTGAAAAGAAAAATTTTTAATCTTTCTTCGAAAGGCACTAACTCTAATAAAACATTCTGACTCGTGGGTTTCTGTATTCTTTTCGTAGAGAGGAAACAAGTAAAGATGAGGATCAAGCATCGTTTGAGGAAGAATTAGCTGAGGAACTACAAGAAAAAAGGTTCGGACGACTTTCACTAGAAGAATATTAATTAATTCGTATTTCTTGATTGATATTTTCTTGATGTTACAATTTTTAATGAAGTGAATTTCATTTAAAAATTTTTATCACAATCCTATAAGGGAAAGATGAACCATTAAAATTTGCCTCGCTCCCAACATGTGGCATCTTAACTCAGTTGGTAATAGCGCCTCACTAATACCCAGGGACGCGCGGAATTAGGGCACAGGTCCGAATCCCATCAGTCCACGCGAGGATCATTTCTTTACTTGCTTGTCTTTTTATGTGCCTCACCATGATGAAAACCGCAACCTTTTTTGCTGACAATCTTACGTTTTTTCCACACAAGCGCCGATCGTTTTGTTACTATGGCGACTAAATTTGTAGCATTAGTCGCCAATCTGGCGAACTGCATGTGTTCGACGGTGATATAGCAAATTATGGTTTTCTTCATACATACTGAGATTTAAAAGTCTGTGTAGAATTCGTACGAAAATACACAACCAACCAATCAGAAAAGCGAACGACTGAGAAAATACATCATTCGTCCAATCAGAGACACGAAGATAGTGCTTCACAGAGGAGGGTAACAAGCGCGAAGCTTTCAATTAAAACAAAATGGAAGAAGACGAATCAAGATTTGCTATCCTTGAAGGACCAATAGATGACTTCATAGATGAACGAGAAAACAAAAAACACTAGAGCAAAGACCGCGATGCCATTTATAAATTGAATGAATTTGATTTGGCGGTGTTTATAATAAAATTTGCTCTCGCACCTGAATGGCTTCCCAGCTTTGAAATGCGTCGGTCAGTACGAAAAAATCTTAGTATGTACAAAATAAAAACATTATACCATAGAAAGTGCTAAACGATTTTTATACTGTCATTGCGATGCATCAAAAAACTCACTTTTTCACAACTATGAAAATCCCATGGAATAATCTCTATTTACATCTTATGCTTCACACCAAAGCTCATGTTTAAAAGTTGTTTTGTTTTTTTTTTTTCTTCATAGAAACTATTTAACTGAATATTTTTGACTTGAATGTAGCACATTGGAAATGCAAGTTAGCAAGTACTTGAATCCAATGGAAAATCAAGTTTTTCAGTTCTCTGTTTATAATTTTCATTCAATGAAAACCAGTTTAACAAAACATGTTTTGCTGGTGTGAATGGGGTATTAGTTTTACTGGTCTCATCTTTCGTCGTTTTCCTTTATGAAACTTTGCGTTCTCCTCTTCAGTTGCTCTAATATTAAGTTTTAAAATGTTGCATGAATCTCTAAAAACGGATATCAAACATGCTGCTTAATACAAGACTAGCGGTGTGGTTTGGCTCTCGTGTGGTATTGTGTGAAGTGTTACTTTTTTCATTTGGTGACCATTTTATTATTTTAATTCGCCAAATGGCGACTTTGAAAAAACTTGTACTCGAAGAACCGGACGAAAGGGAGGGGTGACAACAGAGGCTCATGGCGAGGCTGCTAAGAGGGGAGATCAGCAAGGGTGGGATATTCCCTCAATACAACACAACTTTTTGTACCCAACCGGTTTACAATCCTCCTCCTCCTGCGACTTTAACAGTAACTCCTTGGAGATGTAAATTAATTCCCTCAGGAAATTCTATCAATTTCATTTAATTATTTTTACCCAGTTTTGCTTAGATTTGAAAAGAAGTACATATTGTAACTGAATTATTTCTTTGCTTAGGGAGGAGTTTGATGAAGAATATCGAAGCAAACAAGAGGAGTACGAGGAGGAATTAAGAGAGTGGAAAAAAGAAGCAAAGAGAAGGGTACATGATGTCTCATTGTTACCCACTTTAGCCACTGATTCCCAAAGGCCCGGCCAAACGCGCGCAACATTTCAACTTGACATCTTGCGATATATTTCGCTCGCAACGTGTTGCACAAGTTTGGCTTTCCTTTAGCAACATGTTGCAAGATGTTGGATCAAGTTTGAAAATGGTCAAATTTTTGTTGCCACATTTTTGAATGTTGCAAGATGCTGTGTGCGTTTGGCCAGTACCTTCACAGTATCTCACAACATGTTCCAACAATGTTGCAAGATGTTGCGTGTGTTTAACCAGGCCCTAACGTATGCATCTTTGTAACGAGTAAAGGTAGAGTCTGCACGGGGGCTCGGTGGCTGGGACTCGTTTTTCACAACACATATTTGACTATGATCATTGCCATTCCCGCCCCCACCCCCCTGGATAAAATGCTGGTCCATCGCTAGTTAACTATAGTGATTGGTCCACTTTTCCCCTTAGTTATCGTAGTTATAGGGAGGTGCAGCGACACAGTGGTTAGCGCGCTAGGCTCCTGATTTAGAGGTTTGGGTTGGGGTTGGGTTTACTTTTGTGTTCTTTAGAAATCATATTTGCTCTGTATTTTGACACTGAGTCTGCTTACCTATCGATTCTTTAAATTTAGTTTGTTGTAATTGAAATTTGTGAAACAGAAAAGAGCACGCCAGGAATCCCAAGAGACCAGCCTAGTTGAAGACGAAGGTGGAACAGATGGACGTAAGTGAAGTTAACCTGTAAAATCAACGGAAAAATAATCCTCTTGATGCAAAGTGTTCTTCTTAAAGGCCGTAGGGAGTCTATCATTGAAATTTAGAATAATTGTTACGCAAAATTTATGCAGACTTCCTTGTTGGTGAATTGTCGGAATAACTGATGGAGCGCTTGCAGCGCAAGGCCCACTTTCCGGTGCCGTACTCTTGTGATTGTGCGCTTCCGCAGAGAATGTGTCAATAGCAGGATTAAGATCCGCAGTTTCGAATTTTTCATTAGATTTTTTAATTTGGTTCGAGTGCTCCTGCGTCACCGCAGCCTTATGATCAAGTGAAGTGTAGTGAACCAACTGCTTCCGTTGTCCCGCAATCGTGCAGGCGATGATTATACTGATGTCCTCTGGCTTTTGATTTTAAGTGTTAAGAACGACTCGTACACGATATTTCACTTCTGACACTTCTACACCTTATGACTGTTCTTACGTTGCTTATTTACTCGCACTGGATTAAGAGAAGAGAATTTGTAACCTTGCGACTTTTGGTTTGACATTGAAACAACAAAGCATATCGGTACACCTTGCAATCTCTAGGTTATTCATGTAAAAACGAGGGACTATGGAACAGTCGGAACAGTCGTTGAAAACGCGTAATAAGTGTGCCAGGTATCTGAAATCTGTTGTTGTATTCCTCAGTCCCTCCTCGGCCCACCCGTCCCCCGAAGTTTGACGAGGCAGGAGAGTACGAGAAACTTAAGCAGAATGCCTTGGAAAAGAGACGCGCTCCAGGTACAATGTGGTAACAGCAACATGAAACATCCGTAGCAGTTTTGTTTGTTTTAAACAGTGTGCCTTTCGTCACCTGCATTTGCGATAGTAAATGGTATCAGAGAAATCTTCTAAAGTGTTTAAGTTTCTGGGAAAATTTAGTTTTCAAGATGGCATATCTGAAATAAATATGATATGGAATAGGTAGTAGAATATTAATTTTGATTACACTATGGTGGATGTAATAATTGTATCAATGCATTTTACTTCACATATCAATTTACTTCAAAAAAAATTGTTTCCGGAAAAACTGTTGTCCTAATCAACGATATGGATCAAAATGAAGATCCTTCCTTATTACTTGAAACCTACTTCTCATGTGGAAGGAACTACAATGACTCAAAATGTTACGAAGTGGCTCGTTTGATTAAGATTTCAATGAAATTAGAGTGATTTTTAGTTGAGTATCGTAATTAATCCAAGATTGCATTGATTTTTCTTAGCTTCCCTCTTTTATTCATCTGAAAATTCACGCTATCCCCTCTATCAATCAGAAACAAAACCAGTCGTGGCGTGGTTATCTTCGTTTGCTCTCACTTGTGGAAGTTTGCATGTGATCACTTTTCCTCTGATCGTCAGACACACAGTCGAAAAGGGCCTTAATATTCCCACAATTGCCTTTGCAGGAGAACCTATCCTCGTCCCAGAACTTCAAATGGCAGCAAATGTTACCCCAACTGATCAGGTTACAAGGTATTGTGGCATTCTTGGTTTTGAGGAAGTACCCATCTTTAGAGCATTTCGTAGTCCACAGTGGTTGACTGTTTAAAGTCTCTTAGTCTTCGTAGGAAGAATTTGAAATAGTAAGAATAGCAAAAAGGGAGCGGAAAGTATTAGGAACTGACTGTACATGCTGTAGTTATTGTTAGGTCTTGCTTTATTTGTGACTGTTTTTTTATATTTTTACTATTCAGACCTGAGAAACAGAGGCGCACTGAAATGCAAAACTGGTCTGCATTCATTAAGGTTTTGTTCAATGGCAAAGAGGTGTCGAGGACAATCGTCAAGTAAGTTGAATTTTCCACACTTACGTAGTGCACATGCTACTCTATGTCATCAAGCAGTATGACGAAGAGAAACCTTCAACCAGAAGTTAGCTCGTCATGGCTTCAATTCACTCATGGCTAAAACGAGAGCTAATGTGGCGATAGTTTTGAGCTTTGCTTTGTAGTCTTGTCCCCTTCTTTTGATTTTGTTTTTTATTGTTGTTGGTGGTGGTGTTATGTTGAATAGGAGACTGTCAAATGACTTTACTATCCACTTTGGTGAGATACACAACATTCAGATTGTCCAATGGCCAGAGAACATCAAACTCCAGGTTAGAAACTTTGTACTTTGTCCATTGTTTTAATTGTTTTTTCAGTGCTTTGTCGTTGGGCTTTGAAAGGGGGTTTTTGTATTTATTTTTCGTTAAAGATGCTCTGAGCTATAGTCAGTAAATAACACGCGTTTTCAGGGAATGCGCCTACTGTAGGAGGTAAGACGTTGCATGAGTAGAATGACCGCATTCGGGATGGCAAAGACTTAGGCCACCTATAGAGGAACCATTTGGTTATTAAATTTAAAGTGTAAAGGTTTCAAATTCAGTAGTAAAAAGGAAAGGGATACGAAACTTAATCAACCCAACCACTGGCCCTTACTGTACAAAACTTTGCAAGAGAACGACACAAGCTGTTTGATTAGTTTTGAAATTTTCAGTTTTGACAAGGAAACCGTTAAGAACAGTAAGCATTACTATTAAAATGGTGAGCACTTCTATTCATTTATCTGTAGTAGAGCATCATTGCTCTTGTAATGTTTTCTTTTGTTCTCATTTCTTTCTTTTTCTTCATTTATTAGTTAATGGAATCTGGTATGCAAAGCAAGCTTGTTGCCGAGTTGTTCTTACCGATTCCTGAACCGAGTCACATGTCTGGGAGAGTGGAGCTGGGTTCTTATGAGTTCAGTAGTGATCATCAGGTTTTCTACAAACATGAAGGTGTTGGAAGTGGTGAGTACAGAACAGTTGCCTCGGAATATGCCTCATCGCTACCGTGCACAATCGGAGGATTTCATTCTCGGGTATTGTTTATCACCTCGTGGGATACGTGTCCTATTAGTGACTTTCTACACTAATTTTTCCATTCAATAACAGCCACACACTTCTCTCTTCAAAGGTTAGACTTTAGAAGCCAAGTAGCCCATACCTGCGAGTGGTTATCCGGCTGTCAGCTGCATAGGTTGAACAAGAGAATGTCTACTTCTCCAGGATGAAGATGAATGCTAAGTCCGTCGCAGTGTGGTGCACTCCCCCTTTTCTTCACCCTCCCCCCACCCCCCGTGCCCACTCTTCGCCCCCCTAACAATTTGTTCGGTTTCTCTGAAAGTTCATCTGTACCCAAGGTGGGTTTGGAGAAGCACTGCTTGTCTCGCCCAAGATCACAACACAGACTCAGCCAGGGGTTGAACTTAGGTCGTTTTATCCAGAGTCTATCACAGAAGGCGCAAGCCCATCGCGTCGGTTACACACTGCATTCGTTTTCTTATTTCAAAATTCGCTTGGTCTTTTCCAGGGCAGCCGCTGGACTTCACCTCAAACAATGCAGCTGAGCCGCAGCCCCCAATCTATCTTCTGACCTCTGGTACTGTCTTAGCGAGTGTCAGTTGGGGTGTAGGTAGTGACGGCAAAGCTATGGCTCCACCCTTACTCACTACAAAACCATCTTCCAATTTAAGGTACTGTAGGTCAGATTTGGTTCCTGCACAGTCTAATCCAGCTTTTAATTTGGTGAGGTGAATGCGCTACCCTGTTTTATAGTCGAAGGCTTCAGTCAAAAGAGAAACTAAGGCTACTCTTTACTCTCAATCTCTTTACCTCTTTTTTTTCCCAATGAGTGATGAAATCAATACTTTTGTAAAGTCCTTAAAAATGAAATAATAAAACAGACAAAACAACAGATCAAAGAACAAAATTGACAGACTTATGAACTTAGTAGAAGGCTTGCTTCACCAGTAATTTTTCTCTGGCTCAGTCGTAGATCATCGGAGCTCGAAATCCGAATGTTACGGTTCAATCCTCGTTTGCGAATCATATTCTCTCTCGTAACAAAACGAATGACATATTTCCCCATTCAAAGAACGAGCTCAAAATTTGACATCTGTGGTGTCCTATTTACAAAGTTGACGTTTATCATTCTGGGTTTTCGCTCGTTTTCGCTTTTAAGTTTGTTTTTAATGTTATAAGAGATTATCGGTTTGCGATCTCTTGATTTTACTCGTATCTTGTTTTGCTCTTTTATTTTTCTGCATATTCAATTTATTTCTTCCCATCAGTGCCATGAAGCGGTACGATGCATTGGCAGCTTTGGGAGCAGCAGGAATGGTTGACATACAAAATGTAATCAAATGGATTGGTAAGTGGAAGTTGTTGGTAGAAAAAAAGATTTCTGCTTGTTTTTGACGGTGGTCGATAGAAACAGCAAGTCTTCAGGGTGTTTTGCTAGAACGGCTGTAAATTGTAATTGCTGTCTTGTTAGTGGCGTGATCTCTCTAGTCCATAAAGTAAGTTCTTCCTAATATCTTTACGGCAGAACTCTCGGCCTTCTGGTATTTATGCTCTTCTCTTTCCTTCAGAGCAATCTCATCTGGATCCTAATGACCCCGCCAATGCTGATATCATGAACATTGTCAAGGTATTTGGTTTATTTTCTGAATCGATCGTTTAGTCCAATGGTCCGGGTGAGAGTAATCCTGAGAAAAAGACTTTTGTCGGTAGTTGTCACTGACTTTGAACAATTACTGGTGAAAGCAAACTACATTAACCTGTAATTACAGGTGAAAGCATACTAAAAAAATTGACTTTTGTCGGTAGTTGTCACTGACTTTGAACAATTACTGGTGAAAGCAAACTACATTAACCTGTTATTACAGGTGAAAGCATACTAAAAAATTGACTTTTGTCGGTAGTTGTCACTGACTTTGACCGATCACTGGTGAAGGCAAACTAAACCTACGCGATCTGGGACTGGTTCTAAGGAGTAATTGAAAAGTGATCTAGGCAAAAATGGGTAAATTAGAGTAACGAGGTTGTAGTGCACTGAAATGACTGGACTGAATTAGTTCTAGGTCTAAAACAGAGATGTTGATAGCAGAGTTATGGTTTTGCTTTGGTTCATAGTACCAAAAAATAAAAGGATATGTTTTCAACGCAATTTATTTTCTTTCTTGTACTTCAATACCTTTTGCAGCTCACTCAGGGAGTACAGGATGGACCAAATGCTCCACAGTACTTTCGACTAAACCAGTTGGAGGAAGAGTGTGAATTTGTCAGTCAAAAGGAGTTTGCAAAGTCTAAGCGATTCAAGCTTATTCAACTGAGAGACAAAGGGGTGAGATGAGCGGCCTTCCATTGACAGAACGTTCTGTTCAGTTTAGGATTTAACCCTTTACACTCTAACATCGGAATGCATCTGCTTTATATTGTTTGCCAGATATTTCCAATGGCACTGACAAGGAAAGTTTGTTTTACAGTCTTAATTTAACGTTCATTTCCTTTCTTTTGATGACCTTAGTGTGTTATTCATGGGTGATACTGTGAGGAGAAATGAAGTGCTTGAGCCACTCCTAGGAGTTAAATGATTAAATAGATTTCCATTGCTACAACCTCTTCAAAAGATGTTTGCCGACGAGGTTAATCCCGTCGGAAGAATTAGACCAGCTCTTTAAATATTTTGAATTTAGAACGGTTTGTATGACCTTGATCGATCTTAAATTTCTTTTCAGGTGACCGAGTTCAAGAATTTCAAAATGATCCCATCACGGGACAGAGAAATACCCGACAAAGTGTTTGACGTGAGGGTTTTTATGGTTTTGTTCTCGCTAACTACTGTTTGAAACATTACATTTGTTTGGCACCTAAGCCGGATACCTTTTCGCTGCGCGAAAATCAATAAAATGTGCTATTTTATCGTCAAACCGCTTATAAGTTCGTTGTTTGAATAGCGAAGCCTAAAAAACGCGGGGGAGGGAGGGGGCGGGAGGAAACGAGGTTTGAATTGTTCAGTGCGGCCATTTTGTTGCTCCGTTTCCTTTCTGTCTTTTTGCCCACATGGTGTTATGTCTTGTCATCTTTTGTGCATTCCAGTGCCCTAGTATGATAAAATGGCGAAATTTTGGAGTGACAGAGTTACTTCTTATATAGGAACAAGCCATAAACTAACCAAGTAGATAGTAGATAGAACATGGGAAGATTACATCAAAAAGGAACGAGGGTGGCTCGAGATAGATGCGATTTACACAGATTGCAAATGCCTGTTGAGAAATCAAAGCTACATTTGTTTTGAAATGTTCGAATGGTGACTCGGCTCATCTAAGCGCTCTTTTCTTTGTCTTAAAAAGGCTTATGAAAAAAGAATGCGGGGCGAGCAGGAGGAAGAAGAATCTGAAGATGAAATATCATCGCACAAAACAGTTGTTACCAAGTTTCTTAATAAGGTACAGTTTCAATTAGCTTTTTACCGAAAAGGGTCTATTTTCCTACGCCCAACTCTTTTCACTATTTAGTCCCTAGACTATGAAAGCACTCACACCATTTTTAGACGATCGAAATGTAAACATGATAACTGTTGCCCACTTTGTTTCTACCCCAAAAATTAAACATAAAAAAAGAATGGATAATTAACACAGGCCTTGCCGCGACAGACCAAGATCGCAGGATTGAACGCGGACAAACACGGCACATTTTATAACTAGCAGATAATCGGCACAGAACAACTTCCTCATGGTCTCTCAAGTTGCTATCTAAGCGCTTTAGCCAATGTCAGGGCTGTGTATTTCGACGAAAACGTCGACTTTGGTAGGCATTGCCTTAATTTTTGCTTACATCTTACAAGATCCGAAATGAGGTCACGCAGCGTTCTCTGGTCGCCAAACGGCAGCTCGAACTAAAGGACATGATCATAGAGGACGAAGTGCCGGACATTGGGTGAGTGTTATTTTTGGCCACTTTTAGACTCAATTGGTTTGAATTACCTGTAGCAGTGCTTGCTCTTAACTTTTGTGTAACTTTTTAAGACAATTCTTTGTAAGATACGAATTATTAAAAATTTAGTTTCAGAAGTTTTTAAGACCTTGTGATTTAGCTTTTTTTCCACACAATTGCATTTTGATCATTTAAACCTTAAACTTATTGTCATTGGCTTAATGTCTGTATAAAAGAGATGCGACGAATGAATAGTCTCTAAATTTTCACATCTCCGTTCTAACAATTAAAACCCTTCACTTATGTTACAAAACAAACCGTAACTCCACAGGATTCTAGATAATCTTTCAGTCGTTGCTTTATATTTTTTCAGTGAGATCGGAGTTCGCCTTGGACAGTTCTTCGCTCCCAGACGGCCGCTTCGTCCTGTCCGTAAGGAAAGAAAAGTAGTAGGAGCTCAGGTAGTTGGCAACCATAAAATTCCCCTTCAACCTTACCGCACCGCATCACAGACGCCATTGTTTTAAGAGCCTCTTCGAACCTACTTTCAGGCATCACTTGCTAAGTTGCTAACCGTTTGAACAAAACTTTACCGTCAAGCTGCCCTCATGGCATCCGATCGAGTTAACGAAAAATCTCCTCATTCATCTAATTGAGTTATTTTTGCAGCAGTCATTACGATAATACATTGTGCACGAACACTCCAACAACCCACAATCCTTTACTGCGCTGCTCCAACGAAAGGCCAACATCAACTTCTCAAAATTTCCTTTGGCGGCTAATCTATCTTTATTAAATTCTAATTGATTATCAACAAAGCATTTCATTTTTCTCGTTAGAAACTAATAACTTTGCTTCTTCTCAGAATCTGACTGTCAGTGATGTTAAAGTATTTATAAACGTTGTGCGTGCTTTGGATATCCCTGTCCGGGATGATGTGCAGCCGGCAGGGTAGGTGTTGGTAATGATAGAAATTAATGATTGATGATTTTTAGGGGGAAGGAAAGGTTCTGTTATTTACCTTTAGGTGCACAAAATGAGAGTAGCAAACCAGTCCTACTTTAAGAAATACTATGATCCCTCAGTTCTCGATCCCACTGCCGTCTGTCGTGTTCTCCAAAAGGGGATGTGTTATAACAGAAAATATCTTTATCACTCTCGCGTATGATGTTTGCTACAATGCCCCCGACCAACTCTTTAAAATTCCTGTTTTCCTTCATATTTTATTGAAAAAGTTTGTTTTTCTTAACTCCCTTCCCATGGGAACGTCTTGAGCTGCAACTGCACAACGTTGACGAGACTTTTCCTCTTCCTGAAACAGTGGTTCTTTAGGAGCCGGAGCTCGTTTTGGCGCTGGAGGCTCATTACGCGCTGGGGCCCCTAATATGTTTTCAGGAAGTGGTCCTGGTTATGGAGGGGCTCCTCCAAGTGGTCCTCAGGGAGCCCCCCGAACGACAAGTGACCCGTGGGGGAAGGTAATGTTAAATCAAACATTTCTCCCGTTACTCAAATGTAACGTTGCATTGTGTCACGTGGTTGTTGTAAGCCATCATTTGAAAACGACAGCTACTCTGCACTACGGCGGCCTGTAAATTCTGTTCTAAATGAAAGAAAAACGATGTATTTTGGCAAAGAAGGAATAACATGGATCCAAACCTTTAACTACGGATCCAAACTTCTCGGCTCGGGTAAATAGCTATAACGATGAGTGCAAAGTTCTAACTACAGATGCAAAGTTTAAACTACGGATGCAAAGTTTTAACTAAAGATACAAAGTTCTAACTACAGATCCAAAGTTATAGCTACGGGTGCAATGTTATAACACGGATCAGAAAATAACACCATGCTGATCCAAAGACATCGATTCGGATCCAAAGATAACGATTCGTATTCAAAGTTATAACTGAGGATCCAAAGTTGTTATAGAGAAATTTGGGTCGTAGTTGTAACTTTGGTTCCGTGAATATACCTAGGGATTTGTAAATGTATCGTTTTGTTGTTGACCATAATGTCTTCAAGAGTGTTTCTACGTAACAGACCACAGAATTGGGTGCCATCTCACACGAAGTAAGATTCAAACATTTAGTGGGTTACTTAAAGATTGTACAATGAGCGCGAAGTGTATTTTGTAAATGAATCCTGGTTATGCTTTAATCTTTGACAGCCGCAAGTCCGTCCCTTCGTGGAGGCAGTGTTTCAGGGACAATTTGCTAGTACTTCAGTAGCTGATGGTCCCAATCCAAGCTGGAATGAGGAGCTTATGATACCCTTCAAGTAAGTTTGAAAGTTTCTTAAATCCTCTGCACCTGGTTCAACTTGTACAGCCGTGTTAGTCGTAGATTGTTAAGTTTAGAAGACAACATTTCAACCTTTTTCCTTCAGCAGAAATTTCCTTCAATATGCTTCTAAGGCTAACTGACATTTTCAAAGGTTTGTCCAGATAAAGTTGGCCTCACTGATATGTTTTTCATTTTGTTCCTTTTTTGCAGAGCTCCTAACAATGACTACTCGCCTGAGAATCTTCAAACCGTCAACGATGTGGTTTATCTTAATCTGTTCGATGAAGTCGTATTCAACATTTTACAAGTTAGAAATCAGTTTTGCACCACAGCTTGTTTCATGAATTTTACGCGGTTATTTACCTGCTTGTTTTTCCTTGGCTTTTATCTTTTACCTTCTTGATTCACTTGCTTCGTTGTGTTCCCCCGCTCTAGGATGATCGCCAACAATCCACGAATATTCATCAACGACTTGAGCGCCACTGGCTGGGAAGTGTTGAGATTCCTTTCTCGACAATTTATTTCAATAATAAGGTATTGTGGCCATTGTACAATCACTTTTACGGGCACCCTCTTTTGTCTTCATCGAGAAATATCATTGGCAACGTAAGTGAAGATGATCTCTTTTAAGCCCGACAATCGCATGAAAGGCGAATATTTTAAGTCTGTGGTATAGACTTATGTAGTAAAAATAATAGTTCAAATTCCTGTAAGAGAAGTTAGACTTGTAACCTTCCGATTAGTGAGATAAGTTGGTTTTATCAAATGAGTTGGTAATGTAAATTCGCCACCGTAAAGAATTTCTAAACCTGACTTTTCGATCGTTAGCCCTTCGTCAGAGCGAATAGAGGAGTTGTGGGTTGTGTGTGTGTTTATATGCAGAAAATGGAGCTACGGTATGGGCGGGAACATGGTAACGAGAAAAAACAAGGATAAATTAGTAGAATGAAAAGCGTTTGTCGATACCGCGGGTACTAAGAGTGCCAATTTGCAAGGTAAATTTTTGCTCTAGAGTTTTCCTACTAGTAGTTCGACTGCTCAACCACTGAGATAGAGGATTCTCCCGGTATCTACTGACGCCATGTAAACGAGTAGCTTTTTAAGGGTCTACACTAAATTACCACAAGTCAACTTAAGCTCAGTGATTACACATCCAGATTACTATTTAAAAGTGATATAACGCTCGACCATTGAGTTTCTTACTGTTTGGTTTTCACTGAAAGTTTACGCAAAAAGTTACTTCCAAAGGTCAACACTACGTGGAACCTATGAGAACTGAGAACTTAAACGGCCACTCTAACGCTACGGTAGATAACTGATCGTGATGGGAAGAGTGGGAATTACCTATATTAATAGCTGTCTAATATCTGTCAATTCTACATTTCAGGTAGAGGGCACCTTTCGTGTGAATACTCCCCCAGTCCTCCTCGGTTATCACAAGCGGGGACGTCATTCAGGGGCACCAGCGGACTTGGGTATTATATCCAGAAATGACACTTTGCTGACACTGTTTGTGACAGTAGAACCGCCACTACAACCTTCACAACCTATGGCTGAAAGGGTAAAATATGCGACCGCTTGGTGACTCTCCTTTTGACTTGCTAAACCAACCTTTTAATTTGTTTGTTTGTTTGTCTGTATGTTTTCTTCTTTAGTTTGAAAGCAACGAGGATGATAAACTTTTACATAACGCTCAGTTGTGGCTTGAGGGCCTGAGGAAAAAGTTTCCAAAAAGAGAATTCAAGGTTTGATCTTGAAAGTGACACGCCTTCTTTCCGTTTTTTTTTCCAAATATCTGTCTCGAATGTTATTTATAGAGGTTTTTATTTTTTATTTTCGTCATTTTTGTTTTCAGCTTCAAAGGTATCATCACCTTACCAACTGATTTCTTTTTATTTATATTTTACACATCTTGATTGAGTGGAAAGACCGGATGAGAGCCAAATATTTCCTCGTTCGGTTCGATTATTTCGCATCTAATCATACGACCACTACGCTTGCTTTACCATCCTTACCTATCTCTGCTTTCTTTTGGTAGAGCCCCATACGCAGAGCCGTGCGGCTTTCCCCCCCCCCCCCCCTCTCCACCTTTGCGACCTCGCTTGCTGCCTCTAAACGAGGATTTTTTTCCCAATGTTTATCAACACGACACTCTCAAGTTGACAGGGTGTTTTACTTTAATCATTCATTTGCTCGATGTACCGAAATTGTGAAGGGAAGTTACACGTAAATCAGTTAGAGGTCGCTCTATTTCACAGGCACTGGCAACTAACCTGGCAGGCAAGAAAGTGTTTTTGACCCGGTACATCAGATCGCAGAATCCCCCTGATGAGCTCCTTGAAGAAACACAGTACAAAATGGTGAGGGTAAAATAAAATGTTGTTTAATTCCCTTTTAAATTGCTGTTCACGTAGGAAATGTAAGTTGAACAAAGAGCGACCTCTCAAGTGTAGCCACGCGACAGCGTAGAATGTGTGTATAAGCTAATTTCTAGCGCGCTTATGGAGATCTTTGTCGCAAAAACCGAGCACAAGTTGCTTTCAGTGTGGCAAGAACAAGACTCCAATTTTAGCAACTCTTTTGTGTTTTCAGGAACGTATTGCTCGTTTCGTTTCCATGATTCCCTTTGTATCTGACTCTGCTGCGTTTCCGGATCTTTGCGATATCTGGTCCACATCCGAGGTAGGTACAACGCCTAAAAAGGAACAAGCTGTAGGCAATGGCAGCCAGAATAAAAAGGTGTCTTTTCTCTTTAATTTGTGGTAGGAATTCCTTCGAATGTTGGCAGGGGACGAGGAGGAACATGCTGTCCTACTCTGTAATTATTTCTTACATATTGGCAAGAGAGCTTACGTTGTTCTCGGAAGAGGAATACCTGAAGGTTTGTATACAATAGATCACTAAAATATCACTATGGACCGGGTTTTTAAAAAAAGACCTAGCGAATATAACGGATCAATCAGTGTTAATATTTGACTTAGTTTATGGCTTTGCATAAAATTTTTCTGGTTTTGTTTTAGTTTCCTGCAATTTTCTCACACTACTTGACGAGGAAATAGCCCAAGACTTAAGCCCTAAAATATGCCTTTGATGGAGAAGTGATCAAAACTTGGTATTACTTTTGTCCTAGGATAAGCCTTAACCGTCTTCTAAACCAACAGCCATTGTCATGCCTCTTATCTGTTGAACATGCGTTCGCTTTAATCGTCTGTGGGCTCAATTTCTTAACTTAAGCTCTTTTCCAGGCTCCACGGCTTATGTGCTGACGTTGGATGGATCCCCTCTGTTGTGGAACGCTCACACGGGACATAAATACGATGTACAGGATACAAATTGCCCGTTAAAGAGCATTGGTTGTGTCTTTAATCACGAAAATGTACGTTTACTAGTACAAGGGAGTTATTTTATAAGATTACTCCTTATACTTAATAGGGAGTTCCATGGTTTGCTTGTACTTACCACAGAAGAACACTTACATTTTAGTGGAGTACTGATTCATGTTTTTGTTTTCTCTTTCTATGAGTCTTGTACGTGTCTTCGAATCGTCTCTTGCTTCAATTTGGAAAGCGAAGTCTTATAGAAGCTAAATTGCTCATAATAGCAACGTCCCTTTTTTAACGTACTGGCTGAAAGTGAATTGTTAGCTTATCAGATCCTAGAACTGATTCTTAATTCATTTTGTTTCATTTTTTCCCTTTGTTAGATCTGGGCTAATATCCAGGTGTCCGAAGAGCCGTATCGACTGATGTTTGACCTAACAAAGACCAACTCGTGGCAGCCTTTCTTTACAAAGTCGTATCCAAGGCCGGGGTTACTAAGTAACCAGGTAGAAACCTCTTGAGGACATTTTAAGAGCAGTTTGCAGTTGTCTGTTGAAGTAATTCTGGATTGCTATGGTTTTTCTTTACTTCTTGCGTTTGATTGGTCAAGAAAACTGGCGCCACTCCCTCAAACAATCAAACGCAAGATTTCAAACAACTCATCGTGACGGGGTCACTCGTGTTTTCCCGTGCTTCAAGTAATGCGCTTCTTTATACCTCAGCTGTCATGGCAATATTGAGATATTTTTCCTTTTTTTGTGATTTGCTCTTGTGATTACTCGGATTTTGGTTTAACTTCACTCATCAAAAAGCACTCTTACTGTAACCTTCGATACTTATACAAACTCTGAGAGACCAGAGGGCGGAGTGAATACCAGTGAAACCAAACTGATACAGTATACAGTTTTGTTAGAGAGGTAGAGGGAAAAAAACAATCTCGAGTTTTAGCTCACCTAAACTTCAACTAATCACAAAAGAATGTATAAAGGGAGTAAGTTTCTAAAAAAACTGTGGTGCTGCGTTGGTAGGAGAGTATAAAGAGGTAGTTTAGTGGAAACAACTGAGCTGAAAACGTAAATTGGCCACCATATAGAGTCTAAAGGCTGACGTTTCGAGCGTTAGCCCTTCGTCAGAGCGATTAACGATGGGCTAACGCTCGAAACGTCAGCCTTTTAACTCTTTACGGTGACCAATTTACGACGCTTTTCAACTCAGTTGTTAATTAAAAGAATATAGTCTTCTTTGTTTTTGTTGGTAGCGTTGAGCAGAGGACTACCCGTGATTATTTATTCGATCAAGCAGAATATCGTTGTGTTTGTTTCCTTCCTCAGAGGGAAATCCTTGATTACAAGCGTGTGGACCAGGAGTATGTTACTGGACTTCAAGAAAAGTACGTACTCTATCCGTTTAAAAAAGACTGAAATAAAAACACCGGAACATGTATTTGCAAACCGTTCTCCGATTAAATTCTGAAGATAGTCTTCACTATGATGGCCGACACGGTATCATGACACATAATTTAGATTACGTTCTTTCTTCGCTTTTTTCAGGATTGAAAAGATGTTGCGAGAGAAAATTATGTCTTGGAGACCTCGCTTTGTCACCCGATGGAACAGGTAACGACTGCGTTAAATGTTTCACTGTGTTATTTTTTGCGTGGGAACTGACAACTGGCAGCCACTGGTCTAAAAGCCTCTGTTTCTCGTCATCTGGCAGCCTTATGGAGATTTTTCTTTCGGATTGTGTGTGAAAACATAGAATGATATATTTATTTTTCCAACAAGATGTGGAAAAGTAAAAGATATTCTCATTGGGATTATTCGAAGCTTATTATCTTAACCTCAGTAATTGAATTCTCCAAAGAAACATCATGCTAGGTTTAGATTTGGAATGATATTCGTGTTTCTTTGCCAGATATTGCACACAAGCATTCAGGAGTCTTTTAGCCAGGTAAAAAGGAGTTAATTTAACATACAGCAGAATTATGCTATTGCACGTTACGAAAGCAATGAACTTATTGCCTCATCTAAGACCTCGTCCACACTAATGCGTTTTCAAAACGCTCCGTTTTCGTCATATTATAAACGCATCGTTTTCTATGCATCCACACTAGCGTTTTCATCGCGTATTTGACTGTCCGCACTAAAACATTCCAAAACGCATATTTGACTTGAAGTAACGTACCCGTTAATCTGCGCATGCCTGTTCGTCCTGTTCGAATCCAAAATCTTCTCAGTCTTTGATATGGCTTACTTGCCTGAGTCTTGCGTTGCGAACCATTGGAGAGAACCAATGCTCTTAGAATAAATATTCCTCTTCGAAAAGTTATCAGCGAAAGGGTAAATAACGCAATATTAAGGTCCGAACGAGCGATTAAACAGGTCAATAATATCAAAAATATATTTGCTCGTCCGGCATATTTGTTTTAATTTTAGACGAGAAGCCCGGAAAAGAGGTTGCACGACGCTTTGACGTCATCCAACGTCGTAGTTTTGAAAAGGCTCCGTTTTCGACCGTCCACACTAAAGCGATATGCCTGCCTTTTCAAATGTCTCCACTTTTGAGAGCGTTTTCAAATCAGTTCGTCTTCATTTGGAAACGCATCCGTTTTCGAGCGTTTTTCTCTATCCTTCCCATTTATTAATTTTAAAAAGCCGTTTCATAACATGACCACGCGCAGATACGAATTTTTTCTTCGAGTGTTGATGAACCCGGTTTCTTTGACACTTTTCATTTGTGAGTTTGTGAATGGTGCGTTCACTGCGCACGTTGAAGATATTATGTTTTGAAACAGAAGAAGCTAGGGTATTTCATCAATGTATACAAAATAGAAACCGTTTGGTTTTAAGTCCCGACCACTTTTCAGTATATTAGCAGAAATGACAGATTTTGGGTCTCTCTGTGGTATATACTAAAACAGTTTTAACCTCGGTGTCGGTGAAAATGATAGATGTTAACCTCGCATATTTACTTTTCACATCCACTTCGGTGAATTATTTATAGTTGTTTTAACAGTGTTGTATGTTTTTTTGTGTTCAGCATGGAACAGAGTGTCAGTAACACTGCTAATGTAAATCATGCGGCTGAGCTGGACCAAATCCTCGCCTCTTACAAGGTGCGTCGGCTTAGGTATCTTAATGAACGTCCTCGCGTAAACACAGAGTTTAAAAATAGGATAGAATTATGTTAAGATAAGGCACTCCAGCTTTATTAGAATCATCGAGAGGTAGCCCGCTGTTACTTTTCCTTTTAAGGTGAACCAGGTACATGTACCGGATCAATATCAGTACCTGGGCAACTGCCCACCTACCCCTCCCCTAACCCAACATTAACCCTAACTTGTTATTAATTGACTGTGATCATGATCATGATCACTCTTTGAATATGTCAACTGGCAAGAAGGTGATGAGAATTGACGAACCTATCAGTTGTCTTAAGATAACATCAAGCTATCTTGACCAAGTTTTTGACAGACGTAGGGAATCACTGTATTGACTCAAGTGTTTTGATTCCATTCAGTTGTCTGGCTTTCCCATCAACATGTCCTTTACCGACATGCCTCCGGTATCGGAAGCGGTGTTCAGCACTGGCGTGCACTCAATAGAGGACCCGGATGTAGAATTCGCTTTGGCTGTACACATTCACCCCTACCCCCAGGGGGTGTTTTCGCTGTGGATTTATGTGGGAACCTTAAGAAGAAAAGCTGGTTATTAAACGTGGCCACGCACCTTGTTCCTCTTCCCGGCCGCCTCGGGAGTGGCTGAGAGAAATTCCTTTTTAAAAAAACTATTCAGGAAGGCTCGCATTGTATCAGGCTTTGTACACTGTAGTTGAGGTCATTGTAAATAGTTATTTATTTTTCCTTCTGTGGCCTGCTGCTCTTCGAACACTGTTACGTAACCTTTTCGCCAACAGGTTAAGTTCTGTCCTTCATTTATACTGGAAAAAAGATTTTATATGAAAATAACGACAATAAAGGCTTTTTGAGTCATAAAAGGGTCAGCAAAAAAGCATTCTGCTTGCAAAAAAGGTTAAAGAAACGCACCAAAGCAGAGAAAAATGGATTTTTTGCTGGAAAAGAAAATAGGAACTTTCTCTACAACCGGTTCATTTGAGGGTGAAAGTCTAAAAGTTTGTAAGGTGATCATGGCCTGTGCAAGCTACTAGTATTTAATTTTTTTTCTCTTCTTCTCTTTCCTTGCTTTCGTGGTGCGAACAGTTAGGGCATATCTGAAACATTGCGATCTAAGGAAAAACCCGCTTAAAAGAAAAAAGAGGGCGGAAAAGATTCGAGAAAAGTTCCCTATAAATTAGGCTTGGGGTCAACATTTTAGCAAAAGAAGTAATGAAGTAATCATGCTTAATTAAGGCATGAATCAAACCACTAAACTAAGGAAATTGACTCAATTCACGAAGGTCCGCCATGTTGCCAGATGCAACGATTTAGGCCAACTTCACGAATGTGACAAATGCCATCCTTGCTGTTTACCACGGGGCAATTTCCTCCAATGCGCAATTTTCGCCATTGCGTGCATTTCTTGAACATTTTCCTGGCGCCAGATTTGGCTATGAATAGATTATCGTGTATTTCTGTTTTTTCGTTTCAATTAAGATCTGGCAAAATAATTTGGCTTTGAATAGAATATGATGTACTTCTCTTTTTTCATCTTTCATTAAGATCTGGCAACATTATGCTATCTAGTGCCCATTAACTTTCCCAAATATGATAGTTTATTGCAAGTAAGAGCGCAAAAAAATAATCGCCCTCTATGAATTAAATCTCTATCTATATATATGATAAACCTGGTGGAGTATATCGGGGAAAAGGAAAACTTCGCGCGAAACGTGCATTTTCCGTCGAAAGAAATATATTAAGAAGCAGTGATTTTGAATTACTGCATATGAATATTCATTTTTGCTTTGTGCGCTTTTCTTGGGTGTAATTAAGAGAAAATTATTATTTCCTCATGGTATGACACGTTAACAATGCGCAAGGTAGGTGAAGTTTCTCGAATCACGTTTCTTTGAAATTACGTTGTGGTTTATCTCACTTTTGTCTCTGCTCTCTTATTTGTATGTGCTGGAAAAGCTTTTCGACTCGGACTAAAAGCTAAAATAAGATTTTAACATTTTGTATGGCCTTCGACACTTGCCTTGTGTAGGATTCGAAGGTCTTTTGTTTCAGATGTAAAGACATCGATTGTTGACAGGTCAAAGTGATTCATTCAAATTAATCTAAAAGCTACCTTTTTGTTTTGGTGGTAACCATTTATTTTCCGGTGCACTCCTTAAATGGCGTATCACGAGGTTTTGCGCTAAAAAAAGCCTTTTATATTATCTGACTCAGCAGACTTAGCAAAACATTTGTCAATTTGCTAAACGCAGACTGAGTCAATGTATATTTGACTTTTATCTGTCTGATGCGGAGTCGCAAACCTTCAGATCAGGACCGGTAAGTTTTTTAGAGAATACAAAGTTTGTCCAATTCAACTCTGTCCGATTGATAGTATCATTAACGGATTTTGTTGAACTCGACTGACCCTTTTTCCATGCGATACGTAGCACTTTCAACAAGTCCATACCGTTAGGAGCGCATCCGAGATAACCGGCGAAGTGTAACACTGTTTTTGAGTATTCAATTCGTCCTGCGTCGAAAATAAATTGGATTGACTAGGAGGTAAATATTACTATTATCCTCTGAAGGTAAAATCAAATTGGATGCTACTTGAATGATACCCATGTCGAGTAAATAAATAACAGCCAGGCCAATCTTAACTACATTTTGTTCTGACTCTAGCACACTCTGAGCAACTTTTTTAATGGTTTCAAAGAATTTAACTTGAATCGTTTTACGTTTTGAGCAAGTATCAGGCTTCAGTACTCTTAAGTCGGGAAAGATAGTGAAATTTTTAAAGAGAAAAATGAATATGTCTTCATTACTGGAAGATAGCGGCCAAATTGGAGATACAGAGAATACCGTGATAAAATCTTACTTTGCGTCAAAACCGTTTCAAACGCCGTTTCTGAGCATGTTTTTAAATTCATACGTTCGTTAGAGCATGCAGGTAAATTTGGTTCCTTGAAAAATTATTTGCAATCCATACAGATTCATAATGTACTGAACGATCGTTACACTTCAGTGTAATTTAGACCAGTTGAGTTTTTTCCTGTCTTCCGGTAATTTTCGAGAGACTAAATAGTTTTTGGTGAAAAGGAAATTTGATTTGATTCGACAAGCAGAGAGGATGTATTCGATTCATAGTCGTTAGAGGTTATTTTCATGACCATGCGCGGTAGAAAGTCTAGAGCCCTTTCAACAAGCCCATTACACTACTCTTGAGCTTTAAAATTGCTTCTGGCTTATTGTTCTATTCTAGAATGAAAAAAAGCTACATTGTTTTCAAAGTAATTTCGTGTTATTAAGTGTTCCATTCTGTTGCACCTGTTCTTGAAAACATTTAGCTCTTATTTGTTGTTTTTTAGTCCACTTCAGATAATTTAAGATACTCCAATATGTCTCTTCTCTAATACATTTATGCCAACGAGTTTGATTGTTTTGTTTTTCCAAAGATTAAAATCAAAAAGAGACAAACCTACTCATCTCCTCACTACATTCGTTAGTTGACCGATAATCCAATATACATCTTCTCGAGATATCAAAATCAGTTCAGAAAGCTAAATATAGGATGAAAAAAAATTGGGGTGTAATTTGATTCGAGGTGATGTCTTTTTTTTTTTCCTTCAATCGCACACCAAAATTAACTTGTGATAAATCTAGCTCGTAGAAAGAAAAAGTCTATGATCCAATTTAAGGCTTGCAACAATCTATACTTCAGCATAGTAAGAATCCCCGATCAGATCTCCTTTGTATGAAATATCATTCATAATCCACAGGGCAACAAGGTTTTAAATTTGTCATTTAAAAGCTGTGTTGAAAGTGATCCACACCATATATCTACCTGTGACGTTCAAACGCTCTATTGATTGGACATGGATGAAGGCAAGCAGATCTTACAATTAGTATACGAATTTAGATTCTTTAGAGGAGGAGAGAAAAACATGGAAAGCAAGATCATCTTTATCAGTCCATGAACTGAAAAAGGGAGCGTTCTAATTCAGCCCTTCACTTACGTTTGTGCGGTTTATATTAATAATCACTCTACTGTAAAATAATTTTATTTATTGCAGGTGAACTTTCCGATTACCATTTCTATGCGGCTTTGTTCACCTCTTAGAAACACAGCAACGTGTGGTTAATTAAAAATATTGAGACAACAGCCAACCAAGATGAAATAAATATTCTAATTGAAGCAAGCGCTTGTACTTTTAAACTTTAAATATCACATTGTTGTTTAATTTCAAATGTAAATAATCTCTCTCGTTCTTTGCCTCTTGAGCACTAAAATTCACCTTTCCTCATTGAATTAAATACGTTTTCTTAGTTTTGGTTTGAAAGCTATACTGACCTAATGAGATAAAGTGAATAATTTCCCTTCGATTTTAAAATCTCTTCCGCACCTTGAAGCATAAAGATATTAAAGTTGTTAAGAAAAAAAAATCTTTTTTCTATTTTTAGAAAACCAATTCCATGTTTCTGTGCACGCGCGAGAGTGAATTTGATTCATTCTCTGGTTGATGGCTTTTATATCCAAAAAACACAAACACCCGTTAAAATTTAGACAGCACTTTGTTGTTCCTTTTAAAGATCCTACCGAGTCAGAGTAAATAGGCCTTCTTTTGTCTCTGATTTTAATTTTAATAATTGATCATAGTTTTCACACAACATCTGTTTGTGTCCACTGCGTAGGCTTTGCTGCAGCCGTGCGCATGAAGAGGAAATATTATGATCGCTTCTGCCCTTGTGCTCTTAATAAATAGGCATTAGTCTTACCACCAAAGGTGTAAGCTTTCAGGGAGGTCTAAAAATATGTGTAATTAGAGGCTCGTAAACACCTTTTCCTTCGTGTCTAGCGTACATTTCCCACAGTGAAATACGTCGTGAAACGCAGCTTAGGTATGTCAGGAAGGAATTAAAGTTAAGATATTAGCGGGAAAGTCATATCTTACCGGCCGATATTCCTCAATAATTAACAGTACTCTAGTGTAATAGTAACGGGAAACTTTCGGTAAATAAGCATTAAAAAGAGAGCCCTAGCCAGGTACATTACGAAATTGTCTTAGACATTTAAAGAGGACATATATGCGCTTCTTACGTCTCGCTCTCAATGTGATTGTCCTTGCTCACTATATGTAGAGTTACTAAAGCAATCTCCGATATTTTTTTCATCGTAACCATGTTATATCTATACTCGTTAGACCAGTGAAATTGAAGACATAATTTGTTAAAATAAGTTCCTGAGAAGCGACGAAAATGTCTAATGAAAGTAAAAAGGGATGGCATTAAATAGACGGGGGGAAAGGAAATTCAGCAATCGCAACTAATTTTTCAAATTGTGCGTGAAGATTCTACCGGACAATTGTGCAATACGCAATGCTCAATATCTGTTCATTTAAGACCTCTTCCTTTAAATAAGGAACTTTTTGAACTGTGGGTTGCATTATCCACACTCGATGACTGTTTATTACAGTTTGGACCCTCAGCTTGAACTGCAATAAACTGAATACGCGCAAAGGTCTAGAGCGAATCTTCTGATAAATAATTGATTTATCTGCTATTTCATAGCAGACTTGGCATGATCCAAAGGATAGGGGCGATATGATGACCACAAGACTGAAACAGAAATTCCTTGAAGGAAACAAAGGCGGGTAAGAAAAGGGGAAGCTGGGGTGAGAGAACGAATGCTTCATACGCTGTGGAAATTTATGCTCCATCTTTGCTAGGCCGAAAAAACTTTAAAACGCCACTTTATTTGTTACGGGTACCCGTTTGTCTCTCGTCCACACAAGTTCAGATGAAATTTCAACAAATTGGAGCACTCCTCAAACGGGGTGAATTTGTGAACGCGTATCTTTTTTCTTCGCTAAAACAAACCGAACACAACAATCCAGTTCATAAACGGAGCGATAGGAAACAGCACTGACATCACTTCTCAAATTATGCGCACGCTCGAGGATGACAGCGGCAATATTGTTGTGATTCGAATTTATTCAGCGTCGTGTAAACAAAAAAAGATTCATTCGTTTTTCTCTGTGTACAGCAAACCTTTGGGAAGAAAACGCTGTTTTCAAAATTTTAAGGAGTAGTGTACATTTCCCTGCAGAGTAAATAGTTACATTATGATAAGATTCCATTATAATACTAGATTTAACAGCAAAAAAAAGAGCGGGGCTCTGGACATTGGAATCCCTCGACCCCACATGCTGCATGCCGTGTGCTGTTACATAACAACAATATTTATTACATAACCATCTCAACACTTGACTTTGATATGTTGGAAAACGAATAAAATATGTTTGCGAAAAGAAAAACCTCTTTCAGTCGTTGAAAAGAAATTGATGATTCACTCACAGATGACATAGCTTTCACCTTACATTACCATTTAAAGAATTGGTCCAAGAGGGTAATGGGAAAATTTCAAGGATCTTCCACCTTTTACAGATTTTCGACTGACCTATATTCTTCAGTAAGGTTTTATCGAAACTATTTGATCCACAAAACTATTGCGAGCTGTAACGCTAGATTTTGTCTTTGTAGGAGAATCTATGCACAACAGATTGAAGTTTCCTTTAAAAAATGAGCGAGATTTGCTCCTGGAGTAGTTTGCTTTTAAAAAAATGTATTTTATCCTAATGTTTCATCTCAGCATATTTGTCTAACACGAGAGCCATTTCGAGTGCGGAGAGCTTTCTCAAGTGCAGATGCTCTTACCAAAGTCCTCTAACTAAAGTTCATAGTCAAACATTTGGGTCGAACGAAACGAGAAATATAGTGAAAACTTATAAAAAACTATAAAATTTATAAAAACTTATAAAAACTTTTCACGTCAAAAGTTCATTATACAGAAGGTTTTTTAAAGATGAAATATTGAGAGATGATATTTTAAAGCATTTCATTTTCGTTTGACATCGTAATCCAAAGCTTCATTTTATTTTCGACATTAGGTAAGTTCATAACAAGGGGTTTGAATCAAAATTTCCTGATTTGCAATTATGTTTGGGTTTAGCTGTTTCGATGTCACACTCGGCCCACACTCCAGCTAAGGTGACGACCAAACAAATAGACCGATATGGATGTATTTGTTGCAGCTATTTAAAAATATTTAAGGGAATACAAATCTCATCGACACCTACGAAGCACTTTGATAACAACGTCAGGCAGCTGATCCTTCCACAGACTTTCCATTGACTTACAGGTGTTCACACTTCACGGCCGACTGAAACTTTCTTTCTTCGACGTTTGCCGTCTCATTTTAGATACTATCGTCTCACTTCGTTACTGATTTAATTTTCACCACAGATGAAATCATGGATAACCTGCAACAACTTCAAAATCATGTTACAGCTGAAAACTCCAGCAAGACAATCGCGAGGAATGAACTGGCGCCGCATTCACCTTGGGGTCCAATGACTATCATCATAGCGAGTTTCCTCGTCATGGTCATATGCCTTGCCACAGTTGGTAACCTTGTGGTATGTCGACTTGTCTGGGTTTGTCGGCGCATGCAGATCCCGTCACTGTACTTTGTGGCTAGCATGTCATTTTCTGATTTCCTCACGGGTTTGCTGGTTTTGCCGCTAAGTTTGGGCTACCACATTAGTTATCAGAATACAGGTAAATATTTTACTTAATCGAAAATAGACAACACAAATTTAAGAGAAGGGAGGTAGGTTTCTAAGAAACCCTGGTGCTGTGTTAGCGGGGGATATTCACGCAAGATAATCTGGTTTCATCAACTGAGACGGTTGATAATACAAATTGGCTACCGTCCTTCCGCCCTTCGCCGGAGCAAAATTTTTAAAGTAAATCAAAGTCGGACTTTCCAAAAAAGCGTTTCTCTATCTTGAAAAAACAATGGGTTCAACAATAGCGTGGGATGAAAGCTCGCCTTAACTGATAGAAGAAAAAGATGATAATGATAAATCGATCGACCGATTTGTTGAGCCAAAGCTGATCGAAATTATGTTTGCTAATTGCAAACGCTCAAAGAAATTTCACTTATCGCATAGTCATCGCCCATTGCTAGTATGATTTTTGCCTAGAAACGGAAGCCGTGAAAAACGAGATGATGTTGAACAGATTTGAGACTTGACCTCTCACCACATGGGAGACACGATCATATCAAACTCTTTCCCAAGTGCGACGAACATTTGTTTTTCTCGGTTCCAGGTGTACGCAACCACTAACCTCAGGTAATGCGCATGCTCTCCGTTACGAATTTTCAAAATGGCGGACAGGTCAAAGAGGGAAATTAAAAAACACAAAGCGATTTTGCAATGAATTCTCAACATACACCCTCGTTAGAAAGGCGAATCCACGGAAGAAAGATACAAAACTGTATGATATTGAGATCGATATGATATTAAATCGATACCGAGGGCCCGTTTAATTGCCTTCCGCCACGATTATTAGCTTTCTTGACGGCTTTCTGAAGGCAGAATACTTTCTTTCTGAAGACTTCTGATATGCGGCTATTGATTATTACACCTCGTATACCTGATTGCTCAAACACTTTGTTTACGATTGTTGAAAGGACCGACTCATGGTTCTCCGTCTTCGTCTTGACATTGCTTTGAGATAGTATAGACTAGTAAGCTGAAACGAAAAATTAATCAGGGAAGTTTACGAAAAATCCAGCAAACAAGCTTTAAAAAGGCATTTATTTAGACTTCATACTTCAACGAACTTCACAAATCTTACTTGTTTATCTTGTAAGTAAACGATGGCAGATTAATTCCCGAAGCGCTTTCTGAGTTTCCCGATCCCTCTCCTACTGCTTTCACGCTTACAAAACAGGAAAAATCAAAAGGAGGAAGATACAGCTGTTTTGAAACGCCATTTGACGAAGGTAAATCTGCTTTTTGTTCGACACTTTACATATCAAAACAAAGGAAATTTGTTCCTCTTTTTGATTCTGGCGGTACATTTTTAATTTGCGCCTACGTAAAAGAGATATCGCCCGAGACCCTTCGCTCGGTCGTGTTTTGATCAAAAACGCCTTGTTAATTTCACGCAACCGCTCGGAGAAAAGGTAAAAATGACGAGGGAAAAACTTTACCTTCAAGTTAGAAAATTAGCGAAATAGAAAGCCACAATATTATAGTTTAATATTTCAGAGGTACATTGAGTGCTTTTTCCGTAGAGAATCCGCACGATGGTAAAACATTCGAAAATTACACTCGATTTGAGTGGGGTGTTGAAGTGGGCGTGGTCACTACATTCATGTTAAGACTATTTGTACCCCATGAGTTTGATATGGAGCCGTCATCGGAAACTTGACAAATGTTCTTGAAGCAGGGGGGAGGGAGGGGGAGGGGGAGGAAGGAGGAGGTAGATGGGTCAGAGACAAGCAAGAACTGGTTAGATTGTAAATACGTTTACTTTCGTTAATTTTTTTTTAATAGTTAGGAGACAAACCTGTGTTCTTTTATTTACTTCAGTATACTTGATCTCTAGGTCGATGGACTTTTGGCAATTTTACCTGCGACCTCTATTTATTCCTGAACTTTATTCTGTGCAGCGCCTCCATATACAACTTGTGTGTGGTCAGCGGAGACAGATACTTGGCTGTGACTTCACCACTAAATTATCTGTCACGCATGAACGAAAGCAGAGTCAAGCAAATTATCGGAGTGTCCTGGTTTTGCGCGCTGCTACTAGCCGGTTTCGTCACGTACGGCACGCATGCTTCCAAGGAAAACGGCGTCAACTGTTCGATCTGGGGTTTGCGATATGAGTACTCTGTTTTTGTACTTGTGATAGCTTATATTCTACCGGTATTTTTTCTCGTATTCGTGAATATGAAGGTGTTTCTCATTGCGCATGCTCATATGACCAGAATACACGTGCAAGAGATATCGCTGGCTCCTGTTTCGACGTTTACGGAGAACGCCCTGAGTCAAGAAGGAGCACCTAAGAAAACTAGCCAAAGAACACGACTGAAACGGGAGATCAAAATATTCAAAACATTTCTCATTGTCACATGTACTTTTCTGATTTCCTGGACACCATTTGTCGTGATTCTCTTAACGGATTCAATCTCACCTGTTCCGGATCTTATCAGACACTCCTCTATCATCCTTTTATACTGCAACAGTGCTCTGAATCCATTCATATACGGCTTTTTTAATTCCGAGATAAGGAAGGCATTGTCCGAGACTTTTAACTGTAAATGTATTCTACCTTTTGAGAGATAGTGGCAGAGCGGAGTCGGCCTTGAGCTGGAGACTTTAAAAAGACCATTTTGGGGCTTTTTACAGCTTAAAAAAAAAGAGGAATGGTGGCATTTTCACAGTGCTGCCTCAGTTCCGAGTTCAGGTATCTACAGCGACAAAGGGCAACAAAAATACAAGAGCCTCTTCGGTTTAGCCTTTGAAACAGGTTTTGATGGAATGAGCAATGAAACAGTTACAACACCTACAGTTCATCAGTGGTCTATTTTCTACGTGGCACTATAGATGATAACTCGCGTTATATTTACTTGATCTGCCGGTAGATGATAGAGACACCTCATTAAAAATAATTGTTTTCCAAAGACAGTTAATGCTGTAAATAAATTAAAACTTGTTTGGAACATATTCACTGTGGGGTGAAAAGGTGGGCGCCAATACTTTTATATAAGTTTGTATATCTTCAGCAGTATTATTCCCCTGACAACAGAAAGTCGAGTAATTATTCCCATAACTGCGGTCAATATCTGAAACGGATCCAATGAATAAAGGCGTAATGATACTCATATCAAGTTTTAACAAGAATAAACAACTACCTCTCCAACTGGTGTTAAAATGTGCTTGGATACTTGTTAGAGTTTGAAAAATGAAAGCAACGAGCTTTACCCCTCAGTTATCCATTGTTTAAAAACTCAAGTGAACAAGAGTACAAAAGGTGAAACCTGCGTTTTTGTGTCGGTAAAAGTGACTGAATGTAAGAAACTTCATAAGGAACGTGCGTCTGGGTATTTCAAGTTTTCTTTTATAGTATAGTTATAGTGTTCGTGATGCGAACTGACGTGGAAAATCTCGTTTCCGGGGAAACACAATGAAAAAAAAAACATCAGTCTACGAAAACACTGTATCGAGTATATCAAAGCTTCTTACTCTTAGTCATTTACTCTATCTCAATGCACTTGTTTGATGATTTTTTTAAGAGGCGTTACGTTCACACGAAATTTATAGGCGCAGAAGTTGGACCTTGCACTGATAACAATGACGGTCATAAGAGCTCACGTACGCCGCGTGTCGAGTGTCAAGTGTATGAGAGGCACCAAACATTTTTCCCTTCCATTGTAAAATTATTTATCTCCTTCTCCTACTTTGAATTAAGATTTCACTTTCGAGACGGAATAAAAACACTTAAAGAAAAATGCTTTAACTCTGAAATCTTCCGCAGAGTTCACGACGTAATGGTGTTCATCGCTATGATGTTTCTATTGAAAGTTAAACCACGAATCTTGACTGAATGGGCTCCTGATTGGGAAGAATCATCTGATTATTATAAATCACCATTGTGTTGCGGTTGATGACCTTGGCTTTGAGTGGTCAAATTCATTTGAGGCTAGGCCTTTTAATTCACTTTCAATAGGGCCAGATAACTATTACATCACCTCGAAAAAAATCACCATAAGTTTATTAAATTTCTATTGGATATTTCAGTAAAAAGTGTCATTGCATCATATGCCTAGAAGATTCAGCTACGGCATAGTACAAATGTTTACATTCAGAATATCTAAGAAAAAAAAAGGCAGTACACTGTTTTCATTTTCATTTTTTAAACTAAGAGAACACTAATGCCATGATGATAGGGTTTCAGCTCTTCCGAAGTAAAGATTTGGAAGCGAGCAAACGACCCACTGTTCCAGCGGATTCTCGTCTTTGAATCGACTGAACTGAATGGCCTCCTGTTTCTTTTTCAAGGCCTCCAGGTTTGTTTGACAGGATGACTTCTGCCAGTAAAGGTTCGTCTCATTGTCGTGAAGAAGACTGTAAAAAGAGATAAAAGATATTTACAGCTTGAAGTGATTTTTTTTTTCCTGATTTGCCCCATTTGAGAGCACTAGCTTTCGTTCTCCTCCCCCCCCCCTTCCCTCCTTACTTGCCAATCTCCATGCGCTGACCGAGGACTGTTATAGAGTGTTGTGATTATTTGAGAACTCACAATCTTTTAGTGTGAAGAATTAAAACTTCGGATTTAACCTTTTAAGAACGCCATAGTGTACGGTTATTGAACAGCAATTTAGTTACCGGTAGTTGTTATCCAGAAAGTCACATCTATTTTCTGTAACATTCAGAGCAACTTGCTCAAAGAAAAGCTTTCGCTCCAAAGCTTCAACTTCTTTCATCATTTCAGTGGCTGCTTGATATTTCTGTGTTCCAGGCCCTACGTTGGGGGCGATGTGTGACCTTTGAAAGGCCTCAAGTAATCTACATAAAATGTCAAAAGAGAACGAACAAGAATAATTAGCCCACACAAGTAATGAACAGTAACGGTAAATTGCACTAGCAAGTACTAATTTTTAGGTTTACAAGATAAAACTCTGAAGAAAAGAAAAAGCTGAGAAAAGGTCTCAGATAGAACAAATTATCCACCTTCTTTGCGTCTACCGAGAGCTAGAAATACTGGTCCCTCTCTTTTTGTCGGAATAACCCAGATGAAGCCCTCCTAGCTAAAGACATTTACATAACTAGAGCATATGGACTCTCTACTCGGTTTTTACGATTAGGTATTAAAGGGAGAAGGTCAAAGAAACGAAGTTTAATCGAGAAAGAATCAGCCACCCCAGCAAACATTACTCGAATCAACTTACTCATTTTCACACTGAAGTTGTTCCTGGAGACGAGCTATGTGTTCTTGTACTTCTTTCAGTTGCTCTCTCAGTTTCCTACTCGACGGAAAAAAAGTATACAAATTTGAACAAGATAGACGATGTGATCAATGTCCATGGAAAACAAAATCGAGTCGCAAGAGCATCTGAATATTTTCCTTCAAGCGGAAGAAAAATGTTTACTCACCTCTTGTATTCTTTCTTATCTCTTCTTTTGGATTTGTATGAACTTAAAGCAGAACCCATTTTAAGCTTTTGCTGGGTTATATGTGAACAAAGTTTACGCGCTTTGAAATATAAGTCTCTCTGGACAGTATTTTCATGCGAATGGATTGTGCAGATTGTGACATAACAAAAGAGAGTCAAGCGCGCGCGATATGATAAACCAATCAGGTTCAATTTCAGGCACTGTCATTTAAGCGCGAGCGAATTTATAACAACGGCAATAATTTTCGTAAGCTTCGTGTCAAAATGGCGACCCTTGATTGATATTTAGTAAATAAAAAAGAGTTATATCTTTGAAACCTCTGGTCCTCTTACTTTGGCCACAAGCTCGAAAATTACAGAAGTGGTCAAAGTAAAAATAGATTAGGGCCTTTCAGTGGTAACAGGAAAAAAAAAAAACACACACACACACAATAACGAAAATAATAGGTTTAAAAGTACGTTTCAACTACCAGGTATACCAAAATATGAACTAGGTAACATTTATTATTAAAGCACAAGTGCACAGCACAGTAGAGCAAACGCTGCTTCACAAACAAAGTATCAAGTGAGGTCTACGGTAATGGAGGGCTGCCCATGCCTCAAACGATTTATCCACTTGTTAAGAGCCTTTAAATGGATCTCAACTACCTTATTACAAGCAACGACTTTGCAAACGTATTTTCATCGGAACCTGTCGGTTCCAACAACATGCGAACTTATATTAAAGCGAGGAAATACCAGATTTAGCCACAATTCAACTGACCAATGCGCATTTAGTAATTGTTTGCGACCGAGGTATCGAGGTAACTGGATACCAATCAAAAGTTAAAACTAGCAAGTGCTGTTGGGATATGTAATCAACAAAATGGCGCCGAGTTCAAGTTGTAGTTTCACTTTAAAAATGGCCGTTGTTTCATATCCATGAACGCCGAAACATGATCAAAACTAATAAGCCACTAAGGTGAAAAACGAAAACAGGCCGACCTCTTGATGTTGTGCGGGAACACTATTTACAGAAAGATGTTCCTTGCCGCAGTGAAGTTTGTGCAGTTTGCGAACAAGGTAAGTAAGCGTTTGCAAGCAGAGTAAGCTACAGCCAATCTTTGGAAGTTGTTATCTTAGTTACAGCATAATGTAGTTCAGTATCACACACTTTAATTTAATTAGTTATTTAGGCAACGGAACTTTGCTTTCTAATTCACTGACTCATTACGTTGTTCCTGATTGCCAGGTAAGTTGAGTTATGTTTACTGCACTTTAACTGATCTTGGCCTAAGCGTTGTTAGACTTGTGCAAAGTAAACCTTTCAGCAATATTTCCGTATAACACCATACTTCATTGTGCGAGCAGTTCTTTGATGAAATAAAACTATGGCGAAAGATAGCATTTGAGACGAAGGCTTTGTAGAAGTTAGTAGTCGATTGTAGTATGAAGTTGCATCTTTCAAAACTGTAGCCAGCTTTTTTTGGTTACTAACTCGAAAAATACTTGTGGGGGTCCAAGTATTATGCCCTGACATATCGTATGAACCTTCCGAACCTATGCTTTTCTTGAGGCTTAAAATTTTTCCTGACAGCCATCCATCAAAGGTATTAAGGGTATTAGTAACACATTGCCAACAGGTCACCAACAGGTTACCAACAGACGGCCGACTGCTGGTCAACTGTTGGCCAACGGTTGACCGTCTGTCGGCCGATGGTCAGCCAACTGTTGACCGACAGTTGGCTGACAGTATCTTTGGGAACTGTTCTTCACTTTTACCGGTGATTCTACAGTGTAAAAAGGATGGTGAGAAAGAAAAAAAAACACAAATGCTTTGCAAATGGCCATGCTCCGTAAACAGGCACTGGGCATTTGACGAGGTTTGATTTGAAATTCAAATCGATATCCTTAGATCCTCAGGTATTTTAGTTTGCAAGAATTTACTAATAGTTAATTACAAGCACTGATGTGATGGTTGAACGGTGAAGGCATTCAAGTTTTGAATTAAAAAAAAAATGAAGAATAAATAATTGTGTCAGGACAAGAACACACAATTAAGCCAAACTATGTGGTTAATTTCCTTGAGTTATCATTCTTTGGTGTTTTATTTCAGATTTCTTGAAATATTTGAGAGTGCAGAACTTCAAGGAGAAATTTTCTTTGAAACAGTGGTCAATAATATTATGTAAGCACAGAACACCTTTTTGTGTATTTTGCAGAATGTAGATGGATATTTTGTAGCAGATAAGTGTTTAATTAATTATAAGTCAATCACTGCACTTGTACCTGATGCACTTCTGTAAATGTTTTCATAGGTCCAGCATCAAGGAGGGAGAAAACTTCAATCTCAATTAAAAGATATTGTGAACGATAACAGGCAGCAGAGCATCATATTCAGTAAAGAGTTCTGTGATGGGGCCTATGTTCCCAGGGAGCCCAGGGAAACTTTGGAAGATTGGCAATGGAGGTGAAGCTATGTTGAGGACATAGACTGATATAAAATGTGTGACTTTTTATTTTTTGTTGTTGTTGTTTTTTTTCACTAAAGATGAGAAGTATGGTCAATTATTAAAAATTTTGTTTGAAAAAAAAAACTTGTCCGTTTTGACAGCAGAGTGATTTCATAAGCTTTCAAGGCACAGCAATAATTTTTGCAGTCAGAACTTCTATAAGAAAAAGAAAATGCCAAAAAAATAATTCAAACCACAACATTATTTTTTTTATTATCTTTTCATATTCATTTGATGTGCAAAGTTTTCTAGTAAGCCTTGACTTTTGTTTTGTTCTTTTTTTCATCTCCATACTCAAGAGGGGTTCCTTTTTCTTTGAAGGTGCATTTACAATAATGGTATTATTATAATCATTTAAACCAAGCTATGCCCCTTGTCATCTTAACAGAAGACCAGCAGGTAACATATACACTGTACATGTACAGCTCCATCTCCTTTGTGCCTGCTGTAGTAGAACACCAACATTTTGTTTTCTCAGCAACATCTAAGTTTTGTCTGTATATTGATTTGAAATCTTCAATATACAATATAGAAGTTGATTTAGGAATTGCATCTTTGTTAGATACTGTAATTAGGCTTAATCATCTCTGAAATTTGCACCTACATATGAATTATTTCTCAAAATGGTCATTAATTTGCAAGAAAAATATGACAACTATGTAATGTGATGGGGGCTTCCCCTTTGGTGACTTTTATGATGAACCCTTCATACCCTTCACATGGCAAATTTTGCAGCTTTTGTTTCTAAAATTCATTTTTTCCTCTCAGAAAATGGATGAATTCAATTTCAAACTGGCTCAGTACTGCATTAATAAAATATTTGAACTGATCAAGTCCTGTATTTGAGCGATTTCAAAATAGATGTAATTAAGTAGTTATTGAAGCTTATGTCATGCAATTTTGGTCTGAAATCATACTTGTGATTTCAAATCGACCTTGCGCTGCACGTTCATGTGATTTTGAAATAATGTGTATGATTTCAGTCAAAAATGCACTCCAGTCAGTTCAATTAACATTATTTATCCTTGTACCTTAATGTTTGATTCAAGTGTGATATTGTGTGGAGAAACTAAAAGCTAGTCACTCTTTCAAAGCCAACAGATTGAATCTATAATCTAGGTAAACAGACTGGATAAAATCTTCATTTAAATACATTTAGTTATAGGTGTGTATGTTTTTTGGGAACATTTTTCTATATTGTATGTTGGCAGATTGTGGAAAAGTATGGAAACAAGTCAGCGGGAGTGTTTATCATGAGGACTGAGGACTACCTTACTGATTTCTATCCCACTTGTCAATCAATTCTGGAGTTTTACTATTCCCTGGCTGCCCTAAATAATGAAGCAAATGAATCAGGTAAGACTGAGTGTACCTTAAATTTGATAAAAAAAGATAAATTTATTAGCCTTGAGCACCCTTTCCTTATTTTTAGGAAAAGCTTACACAGCTGGAATGATTTCAGGTCAGGGAGTGCTCAATATTCCAATTGAATTTTGAAGCCGTGATATTAGTTTCGATTGCTAAGATCAAGTGAAGGTTAAAGTGAGCAAAATAGTGTATGACAAACACCAAGGGAGGAAGGTGATTGGGAACAAAATCTTGGGAGTGGAGCATTTTCTGTCTGAACTCTGATGATGAAATTGGTTCTGCACTTTGGTTCTTAGTGTTGACAATTAAATTTCCCTTGTCGAAAATCTCAGTTGAAAAGCAAAAGAAAATGATATGCCTTAAATGGTTTGGTTGATTTTTTGAAATAAATGTTTTTAAAATAAATTTCATTTAAACTTTATCGTTATTGTAGTGAGTGAAGCATCCACAAATGAATATCAAGAATACTTACCAGCCAAGGTTCTTGAAGCTGGAATTAAAGCAGTAAGAGAGAGAGATTTTTTAATGGAAGAGTTATAATTAATAATGATGATTAATTTTAACCAGCATTCTGTCACAAATGCTGCAATGTAATTGGCCTTGCTACTGGCCAATTATTCCACGATAGATGTACATGTCTGCATACCTCAGTGAATAACCCTTTAAGCCCCAATAGTGACTAGCATCTAATTTCTCCTAACAATATCACTGCCTGATCAAATGTAAGGATCATGAGAATGAATGAAATGACCACTAAAGATGAAATGTCATGATGTTTGAACAAATTCTCTCAATCAATAAAATGAGACACACATGGAGAACAGTGATGGGAATATACATGTTGATATTAGGACTGGAAATGATAAAGTGAGTGGCCTATTGGTGTGCTGTTGTAAACAAACCAAAATGACTCTACTCTGTTTTACATGATAGCTGATCAACTATGCATATCATGCCATAGAAACCTTAAGATTTTAATCTCATTGTTAATGTAGAAATATCTTTCCTTACCAAGGGTTGTTTCTTACAAGGATGTCTCAATGTCAACAAACATTGTGCACAAGATAAGGCATTTGTTCAAAAGTGAGGGTATGCTATGTTTACTCTGTTGTAAATCTATGATATCATTACATTCAAATGCAGCTTATTCCAGTGCATGAAGTTAAGGTTTGCACTAAACAAACTTGAATACCAAAAGACAGAGGATTGAGGTCCTTGTAGCATAATGCTTACCTTGAATTAAAATAAAGTTTACAATCTCTCATTTCAAACTGTTACACATACATTTGTACATATGCTATATTTATTCAGCTATAAGCTGATCTTGGTAAGAGGTTGAGACCCTCAATGCTTGGAATCAACCTAACCAGCATGAAAAATAAAACAAAAACACCAAGCCTATTTTGCAAATAAATCAATTGCATTACATTATTGTTTAACAGTGATTTTCTTCGTTCTTAGCAAGAGAATGTCAGACAGCAAGGACTCACTAGACTCTTATGTACTCATCACTGGCATGGTGAATAGGTAAGCAAGTGTGCAAACCTGCAGTAACTGTCAATCATTGGTCAATATTAGTATTACTAATATCAACAAAAGTGCGACAAAATTTTGACTGAGGCTTCACATAATGCTTGGAAAACCTTTTTTAAGTGATAGGTGAAATAGAGACTCAGTTGCAGAAAAGAAAGAAGACATCAGAAATGTCTGATAACATTCTGTGTTGTTAGAAATAGACATTTATGTTTTTGAAAAGAAAATGAAATAAAATTTCTTTGCTGCCCTACATTCAACCTCATAAACTAGACTTAGTAAACAGGTGTAAAATCAAAGTGCTCTGTGAGCAAACTCGTGAATTGACACATGATTTTTTAGATTATGTTTAATGTTATCTGGTTTAGGGAATTTTGTGGTTGGTGCCATTCCCCACATCGTATCTACAACTCGCTCTTGCGCATGCGCGCAATTCACGAGTTAAAAAGGAAAAAAACTTTGGAAAGAAAAGTCTGACTCATCCTTGAGACCCAAGTATAGGGATGATATCAACTTGAAGACCCCATTCTGCAGAGCTTCCCTGAACATCATTTTGGACTTTTGATTGATTACTCTACCTTTTAAGCCTGAGTACAGTACAGTTGTATATGTTCATTGCACCCTTAAAAGTTTAAATTTACCACAATTTACAATTATTGCATACCTTATGTAATTTTAACACACCCGTTGATGCAGCCCAGTGGGTTTGTATGAACAACAAAATGTCAACTTAAAGTGCTTATATTTTTATATTATTTAGTTTATGTGTACTCACTTTAATCCTTTAATTCCCATGAGTGACCAAGACAGAGTTTCTCCTTACAATATCAATACAATACCAACTCGTTGAGTGATGTGAAGAAAGAAAAATAGTAATAAGGGGATTATTAGTTTATCTAATTCCAAATTCTTTGCACAGACATCATAAGAATTGTATGGCATACAGTAAGGGGAATTGACGCTGACGCTCAAAACGTCAGCTTTTTTAGCCTTTACGGTGGCTAATTTACGTTTTCAACTGAGTTGTTACCACTAAATTACCTGTTCTTCTAAACCAACGGATTTCCAAAACGACGATTTTTTTTATTCGCTTTTGAAGAACGGGAATTGCTTTGGTTTCCCCTTTAAGAATAACACTTTACTCGTTCTTTTATAGGGTGTGTTAGTGGAATTAGAAACACTCGCCTTTTAGGTTCCCTTGGTTCTTTGTACTGATTTATTTTGTTTTAATAAGCTACCTAGTAGGCGTTCGACATTAACACATGAAACGCGCGCGAAAGGGAGCGTATACGTGGGTGAAAGAGAGAACTCCTTTTGTCTTACGTGCGTCTTAATCCAAAATACTTGCATACTATTTTGCTTTATGGACTTTAATGACTACTTTCGTACTTTCGTTTCCGTTTCAAGACATTCGATCGAGAAATCGAGGATAAAAACATCTGTCCAAACATAGTCAAGTATTGGGGTCGAACGAAACGATAAATATAGTGTCTTTAGGGACGTTCACGTCAAAAGTTCATGAAACAGAATGTTTTTTGAAGATGAAATATTGAAAGATCGTATTTTGAAGCATTTCATTTTCGATTGACATCGTTATCCAATGCTTCATTTCATTTTCGACACTAGGTGAATACATAACAAAGGAGTTTGAATTAAAATTTCCTGATTTGCAATTATGTTTGTGTTTATCTGTTTCGATTTCACAGTCGGCCCACACTCCGGCTAAGGTCACGACCAAACAAAGAGACCGATATGGATGTATTTCTTGCAGCTGAAAAATATTTAAAAATATTTAAAGGAATACAAATCTCATCGATACCTACGAAGCACTTTGATAAAAACATCAGGCAGCTGATCCTTCCACAGACTTTCCATTGGCTTACAGGTGTTCACACTTCACGGCCGACTCAAACTTTCTTTCTTCGACGTTTGCCTTCTCATTTTAGACACTATCGTCTCACTTCGTTACTGATTTAATTTTCACCACAGATGAAATCATGGATAACCTGCAACAACTTCAAAATCATGTTACAGCTGAAAACTCCAGCAATACAATCGCGAGGAATGAACTGGCGCCGCATTCACCTTGGGGTCCAATGACTATCATCATAGCGAGTTTCCTCGTCATGGTCATATGCCTTGCCACAGTTGGTAACCTTGTGGTATGTCGGCTTGTCTGGGTTTGTCGGCGCATGCAGATCCCGTCACTGTACTTTGTGGCCAGCATGTCATTTTCTGATTTCCTCACGGGTTTGCTGGTTTTGCCGCTAAGTTTGGGCTACCATATAAGTTATCAGAATACAGGTAAATATTTTACTTAATCGAAACAATCAATCAGCTGAGACGGTTGATAATGCAAATTGGCTACTGTCCTTCCGCCCTTCGCCAGAGCAAAATTTTTAAAATAAATCAAAGCCGGGCTGTCCAGAAAAGCGTTTCTCCATCTTGAAAAACGATGGGTTCAGTAATAGTGGGAAGAAAGCTCGCCTTAACTAATAGAAGAAAAAGGTAATAATAATAAATCAATGAATCGATTTTTTGGATTCCATTTAACCACAGCCAAAGCTGATCGAAATTCTGTTTGCTAATTGCAAACGCTCAAAGAAATTTCACTTATCGCATAGTCATCGCCCATAGCTAGTATGATTTTTGCCTAGAAACGGAAGTCGTGAAAAACGAAATGTTGTGGAACAGATTTGAGACTTGACCTCTCACCACATGGGAGACACGATTGAGCTGTCATGGGAAACTTGACAAATGTTCTTGAAGCGGGGGGGAAGGGGGGGGGGAGGAAGGAAGGAAGGGGTAGTTGAGGCGGGGTTAGGGGAAGGAGGGAGGAGGAGGTAGATGGTCAGAGACAAGCAAGAGCTGGTTAGATTGTAAATACGTTTACTTTCGTTAGGAGGCAAACCTGTGTTCTTTTATTTACTTCAGTATACTTGATCTCTAGGTCGATGGACTTTTGGTCGATTCACCTGCGACCTCTATTTATTCTTGAACTTTATTCTGTGCAGCGCCTCCATATACAACTTGTGTGTGGTCAGCGGAGACAGATACTTGGCTGTGACTTCACCACTAAATTATCTGTCACGCATGAACGAAAGCAGAGTCAAGCAAATTATCGGAGTGTCCTGGTTTTGCGCGCTGCTACTAGCCGGTTTCGTCACGTATGGCACGCATGCTTCCAAGGAAAACGGCGTCAACTGTTCGATCTGGGGTTTGCGATATGAGTACTCTGTTTTTGTACTGGTAATGGCTTATATTCTACCGGTATTTTTTCTCGTATTCGTGAATATGAAGGTGTTTCTCATTGCGTATGCTCATATGACCAGAATATACGTGCAAGAGATATCGCTGGCTCCTGTTTCGACGTTTACGGAGAGCGCCCTGAGTCAAGAAGGAGAACCTAAGAAAACTATTCAAAGAGCACGACTGAAACGGGAGATCAAAATATTCAAAACGTTTCTCATTGTCACATGTACTTTTCTGATTTCCTGGACACCATTTGTCGTGATTCTCTTAATAGATTCAATCTCACCTGTTCCGAGTCTTATCAGACACTCCTCTATCATCCTTTTATACTGCAACAGTGCTCTGAATCCATTCATATACGGCTTTTTTAATTCCGAGATAAGGAAGGCATTGTCCGAGACTTTTAACTGTAAATGTACTGTACCTTTTAAGAGATAGTGGCAGAGCGGAATAATTTTAATAAATTAAAACTTGTTTGGAACATATTCACTGTGGGGTGAAAAGGTGGGCGCTAATACTTTTATATAAGTTTGCATATCTTCAGCAGCATTATTCCCCTGACAACAGAAAGTCAAGTAAAAACTTTTTTAATTATTCCCATAACTGTGTTCAATATCTGAAACGGATCCGTTGAATAAAGGCGTAATGATGCTCATATTAACTTCTAGTAAGAATGAACAACTACCTCTCCTACTGGTGTGAAAATGTGTTCGGATACTTGTTAGGGTTTGAAAAATGAAAGCAACGAGGTTTTCCCCTCGGTTATCCATTGTTTAAAGACTCAAGTGAACAAGTGCACAAAAGGTGAAACCTGTGTTTGTGTTTTGGTAAAAGTGACTGAATGTAAGAAACTTCATAAGGAACGTGCGTCTGGGTAAGTTTTCTTTTATAGGATAGTTATGGTGTTCGTGATGCGAACTAACGTGGAAAATCTCGTTTTCAGGGAAACAAAGGAAACAAAAAAACGGTCTGCGAAAACACTGTATCGAGTATATCAAAGCTTCTAACTCTTAGTCATTTACTCTATCTCAAGGCACCTGTTTGATGATTTTTTAAGGGGCGTTACGTTCACGTGAAATTGATAGGCGCAAAAGTTGGACCTTACACTGATAACAATGACGGTCATAAGAGCTCACGTACGCCGCGTGTCGAGTGTCAAGTGTATGAGTGGCACCAAACATTTTTCCCTTCCATTGTAAAATTATTTATCTCCTCCTATTTTGAATTAAGATCTCACTTTCGAGACGGAATAAAAACACGTAAATAAAAATGCTTTAACTCTGAAATCTTCCGCAGAGTTCATGACGTAATGGTGTTCATCGCTATGATGTTTCTATTGAAAGTTAAACCACGAATCTTGACTGAATGGGCTCCTGATTGCGAAGAATCATGTGGTTACTATAAATTACCATTGTGTTGCGGTTGATGACCTTGGCTTTGAGTGGTCAGATTCATCTGAGGCTAGGGCTTTTAATTCACTTTCAATAGTGCCAGATAACTAGCTACTACTACATCACCTCGAACAAAAAAATCACCGTAAGTTTATTAAATTTGTATTGGATATTTCAATAAAAAGTTAAATCACATCATATGTCTATAAGATTCAGCTACGGCATAATAAAAATGTTTCATTCAAAATATCTAAGACAACAAAGGCACTACATTGTTTTCATTTTCATTTTTTCAACTAAGAGAACACTAATGCCATGATGATGGGGTGTCAACTCTTCCGAAGTAAAGGTTTGGAAGCGAGCAGACGACCCACTGTTCCAGCGGATTTTCGTCTTTGAATCGACTGAACTGAATGGCCTCTTGTTTCTTTTTCAAGGCCTCCAGGTTTGTTTTACAGGGTGACTTCTGCCAGTAAAGGTTCGTCTCGTTGTCGTGAAGAAGACTGTAAAAAGAGATAAAACATATTTATAGCTTGACATGATTTTTTTCCTGATTTCCTCCATTTGAGAGCACTAGCTTTCGTTCTCTCCCCTCCCCTCCATACTTGCCGATCTCCAAACACTCTATGTACTGACTGAGTTCTATTATAGAGTCTTCTGATTATTTGAGAACTCACAATATTTTGGTGTGAAGAATTACAACTTTTGTATTTAACTTTTTAATAACGCCACAGTGTAAGGTTATTTAACAACGATTTGATTACCGGTAGTTGTCATCCAGAAAGTCACATCTATTTTCTGTAACATTCAGAGCAACTTGCTCAAAGAAAAGCTTTCGCTCCAAAGCTTCAATTTCTTTCATCATTTCAGTGGCTGCTCGATATTTCTGTGTTCCAGGCCCTATGTTAGGGGCGATGCGTGACTTTTGAAACGCCTCAAGTAATCTAAATAAAATGTCAAAAGAGAACGAACAAGAATAATTAGCCCACACATGTAATGAACAATAATGGTGAATTGCATTAGCAAGTGCTAATTTTAGGTTTACAAAATAAGACTTTGAAGAAAATAAAAAGCTAAAAAAGGTCTCAGATAGAACAAATTATCCACCTTCTTTGCGTCTACTAAGAGCTAGAAATACTGGTCTAACAAGAGCTAGAAATACTAGGTAACCACCTCAATACACAGTCCCTCTCTATTTGTCAGAATAACCCAGATGAAGCCCTCCTAGCTAAAGACAGTTACATAACTAGTGCATATGGACTTTTTACTCGGATTTTACGATTAGGTATAAAAAGGAGAAAGTCAAGGAAAAGAAGTTTAATCGAGAAAGAATCAGCCACCTCAGCAAACATCACTCCAATGAACTTACTCATTTGCACACTGAAGTTGTTCCTGGAGACGAGCTACGTGTTCTTGTGCTTCTTTCAGTTGCTCTCTTAGTTTCCTACTCGACGGTAAAAAAATATAGACGATGTGATCAATGTCCATAGAAAAAAAAACCGAGTCGCAAGAGCATCTGAATATTTTCCTCCAAGCGGAAAAATGTTTACTCACCTCTTATATTCTTTCTTATCTCTTCTCTTGGATTTGTATGAACTTAAAGCAGATCCCATTTTTAGCTTTTGCTGGGTTGTATCTGAATAAAGTTTACGCGCTTTGAAATATAAGTCTCTCTGGACAGTATTTTCATGTGAATGGATTTCCCAGATTGTGACATAACAAAAGAGATTCAAGCGCGCGCGAGATTTGATAAACCAATCAGGTTTCATTTCAGGCACTGTCATTTAAGCGCGAGCGAATTTATAATAACGGCAATAATTTTCGTTAGCTTTGTGTCAAAATGACGACCCTTGATTGATATTAAATAAGTAAAAAAGAGTTATATCTTTCAAACCTCTGGTCCGCTTACTTTGGCGACATGCTCGAAAATTACCGTTCTCTAAGTAAAAAAAGATTAGGGCCTTTCAGTGGTAACTGGGAAAAAAAACACGATAACGAAAATAATAGGTTTAAAAGTACGTTTCAACTACCAGGTATACCAAAATATGAACTAGGTAACATTTAATATTGAAGCACAAGTGCACAGTAGAACTTCACAGACTAAGTATCAAATTAGGTCTTCGGTAATGGAGGGCTGCCCATGCCTCAGACGATTTATCCACTTGTTAAGAGCCTTTAAATGGATCTCAACTACAATCAACGACTTTGCAAAATTATTTTTATCGGAACCTGTCGGTTCCAACAAAATGCCAACCTACATTAAAGCGAGGAAATACAAGATGTAAGCACAATTCAACTGACCAATGCGCATTTAGTATTTGTTTGCGACCGAGGTATCGAGGTAACTGGATACCAATCAAAAGTTTAACTAGCAAGTGCTGTTGGGAAATGTAATCAGCAAAATGGCGCCGGGTTCAAGTTGTGGTATTACTTGAAAAGTGGCCGTTGTTTCATAACCATGAACGCCGAAATATGATCAAAACTAATAAGCTTCTAAGGCTAAAAAGGAAAACAGGCCGACTTCTTGATGTTGTGCGGGAGCACTATCCGCTGAAAGATGTTCCTTGCCACAGTGAAGTTTGTGCAACAAGGTAAGTAAGCGTTTGCAAGCAATGGAAGCGACAGCCAATCTTTGGAAGTTGTTATCTTAGTTACAGCATGCTATAGTTCAGTATCATTCACTTTAATTTATTTTGTTATTTAGGCAGCGGAACTTTGTTTTGTAAATCACTGACTCATTACGTTGTTCCTGATTGCCTGGTAAGTTGAGTTTGTTTACCGCACTTTGACCGATCTTGGCCCAAGGGGTCCGTGTGTCATTCGTCCGTTCAATTTTTTTTTTAAATTAAAAATTGAAAACTGACGTCAATTCTTTGATTTTCGTTATTTTATATCATAAAAAATGCGAAAGTGCCAATCGAAAATTTTTTACTTTTTTTCCTTTTAATAGAATATTGAAACGCAACTTATATTTTTAATTTAATCCTGTTAACAATAAAGAGAAAAATGAAACAGAGCGGCAATTTTGCTTTTCCGACAATGTTTCAGTCTGTGGCATGGTTTAGTTTTTCTGTTTTCAGTGGCAGTATATTCTCAATTTTTGTTTTTCAGCCAAAACACTCAAAATAGTTGACAGAACTACCCAAGAGGTAGGGGGAGGGGTCCATTCACACGGTAATTTTTGCCCCCAGCACCCTCTCCACATGGTCAGGTCCACTTCCTTGCTTAAAGGGATGGGAATGAAGTGAGAGTTTAGCTGTCTCTTCATGGTCTTTCATTACGTTTTGGAGTGTCTTCCTCAGTCCTGTCCATTACAGCAAGCAGCCAGTCTTTGGACATTAGCTAAGAAGTTAAAAAGATCTTAGACTTTGTATTGGAGCATATTGGTGTGGGTAATGTAGCCATATTGACTTTTTCACCATACTGTAAAACGTGGTTGGAAGGAAGGTGACGGAGAGGGAGTTTCTGATACCACCCCCTCCCTAATGGCCTGCCTGGAGTCTGTGAAGGAAGTAAAAGTTTCGCACTCTTTTGGACTGTCCGTTCGCCGACATCATGGCAAGCAGTAAAACCTTTGATTTGAAGAGGGACAGAAAAGTGCTTAAATTATGAATAGCAGCTGGGGATATGACAGTTTCAAGGCTTTGTCAAGCTTTTCAGGCAAGTACACATTGTATCTACATTTGGAGTCTTGCAAAATCACCCGATGACATGACTGCAACAATGCAAAATTAAATAATCTTAAACAAAATTTAGATCGTGTTTAACTGTGGTTACCCTGCAAACAGTTGTGTTGGGGGTGAGATCTTCAACACTGAAAAGAGCAAATGAGAAAAATTGTATTTCTCAGGTGGAAACAAAATTGTTGTACTTAAGGGATGAGTTTGGAGACATGATGTACTGGCTGACTGACTCAGGACAATTTAATGTCTTGCATTTAGATGATGGATCTTCTCTTCTTGTCATGGGGGAAGATTTGACCAATTTGCCATCAAACATCCCACAGATAGGTGGACAACATATACAGGGCAATTAAGTCATTTGTTAACTTATGGTGGCTCTCAAGCAAGTTCTTCAAGGACACCACTTTTTGGTAATGCAAGACAAAAAGGTGGTGCTCTTGCAAAGATTATTCATGCAGAAATAATACACAAGAATGTGAAGGGACCTTCTATGTTCCAAGAACTAGTGGCAGATACATTTTGGAAGAAACCGCTCATGTAATCTACGTTCAGTCCAAGACAAGAGATACATTCAACAATTCACCTCTAGTGTTTGTGATCATGCTTGAACAAACACTGAAAACTGATTGAGCTGTTCACTATGTTTTGGTAGAAAGGGAATTTCTGCAAGAAAACATGTTGACCAAAATAAAGATTCTGATGCTGTTACATACGCATTCAGTGTTTAATTCCTTTCAGTACTGTTAATAAATCATGTTGAGTGTTAAAGACGTGTGCTGACTGCTCATTTATTATTGACAGCTGGGAAAAAAAAGAGCCTCAACAAAAGCCTAAATTCACGCTAAAAGCTGAAAAAGTATTTTGAACTCTGAAGGGTGCTTATACAGACGGCTATACAAACAAGGAAGTGAAGGTAGAAAAAAAGAAGAAAATAGTGAACAACAAGCACTTAAGTCTAATAAACTTATTTAATTTTTATTTTTGGCTGAAAAAACAAAAATTGAAAATTGATTGTAATTTTCAATTTTTCCAAGCCATGCCACAGACTGCAACATGGCTGGAAAAGCAAAATTGCCGCTCAGTTTTATTTTTCTCTCTATTGTTGACAGGATTAAAGTAAATATATGTTATGTTTCAATATTCTATCAAAGGGAAAAAAAAGTCAAAAATTGGGCACTTTCGTATTTTTTATGATAAAAAGTAATGAAAATCAAAAATTGGTATATTTTCAATTTTGATTTTAAACGAAAATTGAATGGATGAATGACACACAGACCCTACAGCCTATTAGACTTGTGCAAAGTAAACCTTTCAGCAATATTTCCTTATATACTTCACACTATACTTCATTGTGCAAACAGTTCTTTGACAAAAAAAATAATGGTGAAAGCAATAGATTGCATTTGAAACCAAGGCTTTGTAGCAGTTTGTAGTTGACTGTAGTATGGAGTTACACCTTTCAAACCTGTAGCTAGCTTAGCCAGAAAATTACTTGTGGTGGTCTAAGTATTATGCCCTGACATATCACATGAACCTTCTGAAGTGATATTTTTCTTGAGGATAAAATTTTCATCAAAGGCGATTCTACAGTGTGAAATGGATGGTAAGAAAGAAAAAAATCACAAATGCTCTGCAAATGGCCATGCTCTGTGAACAGGCACTGGGCATTTGATGAGGTTTGATTTGGAGTTCAAACTGATATCCCTAGATCCTCAGGGATTTTAGTTTGCAAGAATGTACTAACAGTTTTAACTAAGTAAAATTACAAGCACTGATGTGATGGTTGGACAGTGAAGGCATTCAAGTTTTGAATTTAAAAAAAATGAAAAATTATTGGTTGTGTCAGGACAAGAACAACACACAATTAAGCCAAACTACGTGGTTAATTGCCTTGAACTGATTCCTTGGTGTTTTATTTCAGGTTTCAAGGCTGTTTCTTGAAATACTTGAGAGTGCAGAACTACAGGGAGTAATTTTCTTTGAAACAGTGGTTAATTATGTAAGCACAGAACACCTTTTTGTGTATTTTTCAAAATGTAGATCTATGGATATTTTATAGCAGATAGATGTTTAATTTTCAGAATCAATACTTAAAGGTATAATTAAAACATCTCACATAAGAACAAGCAAGAACAAGCAAGTACAACATTTGTTGATATGCCTTCTTTTTAACATATTTTATTGTCTTATCATGAGTGAAATATGTCATTTTTAGTTTGCTAACTTTATAGCACTGAGCTAAAAAGGCCAAGAACACATTTACTTTTAGTTATGAGTGGATATTCTTTTACCAGATAAGTCAATCAATGCACTTGTACATGAAGCACTTCTGTAAATGTTTTCATAGGTCCAGCATCAAGGAGGGAGAAAACTTCAATCTCAGTCAAAAGATATTGTGAACAATAACAGGCAACAGAGCATCATATTCAGTAATGAGTTCTGTGATGGGGCTTATGTTTCCAGGGAATCCAAGGAGTCTTTAGAAGAGTGGCAGTGGAGGTGAAGCTATGTTGAGGACATAGACTGACTTAAAATATGTGACCATTTTTTTTTCTTTTTTTTTTTCACTGAAGATGAGAAGTATGGTTAATTATTAGAAATGTTTTTGAATATAATCAGCTTTAATACTGGCTAACTATTCTATGATAGATTAACATGTCTGCACACCTCGGTGAATAACCCTTTAAGTCCCAACAGTGGCATCTAATTTCTCTTAACAATATTACCGCCTGATCAAATGTACAGTTTATGAGAATGAATGAAATGATCACCAAAGATGAAATGTCTTGATGTTCGAACAAATTCTCTCAATCAGTTAAATAAGAAACATATGTAGAACAGTGATGAGAATATACATGTTGATATTGGGGGTTAAAGGGATAAAGTGAGTGGCCTATTGGTGTGCAGTTGTAAACAAAGTGAATCAACTC